CCACTCTAAAGACGAAAGAATAAGATGAGAGGACAATATGACAATTGATTTTAGAGAGGTTCTTTGTTAAGCTGTGGACTGAACTGAATTCGGATCGCGACGAAATCAAATCTATAATCTATCTGACTGACTGTTTTCCGTAGAGGAGCAGATATTTTGAAACACGCTGTGTGTATATTGATGCAGTCATCACTACAACTGAAGAACGTGGCAAGCTGCAGTATCAGCGACATCTTACGCTGCAGAGGTCAAGACCCCCTCGATCAGACACGGCCGCGTGGACACTTTCCGGTGGCAGGAGCAAAACAAATGAAGGGAATAAGTACTACGTCATGTTGTCTCTCCCCATTTGTCTCTTACAACAAAAAATAACAGATGTACATCGGCAGAGTTCAAACACGTACTATAACTAATGATTAGCAAATTTTTCAACATAAATTGTGAGATCATAAAGTCGCGGGTGAACTGTTAGCACCTCTCTTTCCCGAAGACCGCCTCCTTCCACATCCTCTACTCTTCATCCTTCACAACTCGTTCTATTTTCGCACTTCATTTGCACGACTACTAGAGGGCTAATATAAAAGGGGATGTACAATAGATCGCAAATTGTTGGGGGGTGCAAGGATTGTTAATAGACCACCCCTTATTCATTCGTTCACTCACCCCATTTGAAAAGCATCGTTAAATAGACCAATACAAAACTGAACACACTAAAATTATGTTTAATATTTTCTTGTACTATTTTAGAATGCTAAGACAGTTGCAAGTAAGATAATATTAAACATAAGGAAATAGGTTGATATAGTTGCGTCATATTGTGAAATTTAATTAATTATTCGGTTTTTGTCCGTCTAATCACAATTCATATTTAAAATTTACAATTAAGATAATTAAAATATCATTTTATGTTCCTCATCGAACAATCGATTTACAATTGGAAGATCTTTTTACAACATGTTTCGGTTTCTATATAAACCATCTTCAGGTGTAAAAGTCAAAATTATAAACTTAAAACTTAATTACAATTTCTGATATGCAACTTTTTGGTGATGTTCACTTTTAGATTCATTTTTATATATAAGGAAATAGATTGTCAGAAAATAAATTGGATTTAAATGGCAAAAGTTACATTTGTATGTTAGTTATCTATTTGGTATCAAATTGAAAGGATGTATGCTGACCTACTAAAAGTTTATTTTGGTGTGAATTATAAGAAAGCAATTTAAAAACGAACGAGGAAACTGCCGAGGCCTATTTTAAGATATTGAATTCAAATAAAGAGTCGAAGGAAACCACTAAAAATATTCGTCACGATCCGGTTACCAGAATTGAAAGCGGTTGTTCCGAAATGTGAGTCAGCATAGTTATCACTGAGATAACGTACTCAGTGAGCAGCTTCAAGGTTTACTTTTGTCAAACGATAACCTTGTTCACTCTCGTAGCAAAATGTCGTGCGTCTGAAACTTTTACATGGTTTTAAATGCTTTTTTGTAAATGACAGCGGAGGTTGCAGTATTTGGAGGCGACTTACCTTTTCAACCCCCCCACCAAAAAAAATCAGTTTCTGTGTACGCTGACTGGATGAGAGGGCTAGGTAGCCATCGTAACCAACGCCACAGCGAATCGACATTCTCAAATGTTACGTCCTCAACAGTCAACAAATTTCCAACTTGGAACCTGAAGGCTCATAACCGAGTGCCGTCTGTTTAGCTTTACACTGTGCCAGCTGAATCCACTCCTACATCCTATTTTATCTAAGCTTCAGTTGAATGTTATTCTCTCATCTACACTTTGGTCTCTTAAGTGGTTTTATCTTGAGGTTTTCTTTCCAAATATCACTTGCCCGTTTGTCTCCCACACTGGCACCTGATCTCCGTGCATATTTTGTGGTTTCAGCTCGGATCAAGACAGGCTCAAGGCACAGTTGCTTAGTGCAACAAGTAAGCCTGCAATTTAGCAAGGGAAGCCGACGGTCTGAAAGTAAGACCAATAACCACGGTCCTGTGGAATTCTAGCTGTTTCACATTCTAATGCCTAGAGATGCAATTAATGTTATCCTTCCGTCTCCTTGGTAGCACACCAGCTTCGTATTCAGGTGTTGAGCTATCAACTGATCATTATCGATGTCACAGGGGATCCCTTTCCAAATAGTTTCCTCACTACAACTTTGTACGCATTCTTTGTTTCTCCTAACTGAGCTACATGCCCACTTCATTGTAACCTCTGAAACGTCGGCAAAGTTCTGTTAGACTACACGGCGCAACAACCCAGAAGACAACAAACTTCAGGGCAAAAATGATTGAAGGAATGCAAGTGGGCGGAAAGAAATACATGTTGCTCTTACTGAAGATCACCCTGTATCATGGAGTCCATCGTACAAAGGCCTCCTTAAGCAGCGACGGCCAATCAAGGAATTTCCTATTCTAACAGAAATTTCAGCAAACGCAGTCATAAAATTCCGCCATTGTAGATGTTACTCTAATTAGTCTCGCATCTTCAGAATTCACTTTTGTTAAGATCCACTTTCTCGCCACCACGTCGGTGTAGGATCATAGACTTATATTCTGAAGCACCTGGTTCATATCCCGCTAACGTGACTAATTATTCCCGTAACTTTCTCAGGCTCTCCAGGCAAATTCTGACACGATGCCTCGAAATAATCTACAACGACCTCCTTACAAATCCGTACCTACAACCTCTGCTACCAAATCGGTATTATTAACCTAACAAAGAATAAATTATCACGTCCTCCATTCGCGTTGCATATCCTCGATCTATCTATCATCCTAATGATACCAGATTAATCTCGTTGCCACGTATGTTTCTGTCTTCAGCTATTAATTAATCTCTTGTGTTCAAACATTCTTTTACACGCCTCGTTCTGAAATGTCAGTAGCAAGGGATGAAAAGACGAATTAAAATTCATTGGGGGTTCACGATGGAGCCTTGAATGATAAAGACACGTTCACAGAGAAATCAAATGGAACACTTGTGACCCTCACCGCATGGTATTAACTTTCAACCCCCCTGAACTGACAACGAGCGGTTCTCATAGTTTACAAACAATGCGGGCGAAGCATATCGACTGCTTCCCCTCAATTTGACTACAATGCTACTTGTTGAATAGACTCTCATGTTCATGTTTGGGTTCTGTGTACAAGGTAATAGAAGTGTACTTTGCGCAAACACGTGGCCATATGCTTGATTAACCCCGGGGAAAATAAGACTGTTCATTTACAGCAACGATGGCCCAGTTAGTAAAGTGACTGCCTACAGACTGGACGACCGGAGTTCGTATTCCACGCGATGCTATATACAACGGCTCTGTGGCTCACCCAGTTTCTTATTCAACGAGTTATTATATTTATTATTTTATTTAGTGTTCTGTCTGAGGACAGGTCCATATGAACAGGATCCTTCCATCCTTTTCTCGGACTGGGACCTGTTCATATACGTTCTTGGCAGATGATCCAGAAGTGGTTTGCCATTGCCTTCTTCTGTGTGTGAATGAAGTAATTGTTGGGATGCCACGGAGGAAAACCCCGTGTTGCCTAGACCACGGCCTTGCCCAACAAAAGTTATAAATTCGAACCCGAGACCCCAGGATTACAAGACCAGCGTTCTAACCGCTAGACCACCACCGTGGCAATCAGGCAGTTACTTTTTATTATTTCAATTACGTGATCATTTCCTCAGTTTGTTGGCCAATTGGAAGATAGACTACAGTCAGATGTGATCCTTCTTTTTATTAATCGAAATTCGTTTTGTAGATTTCAGTTGTGTCCTTCCATTTGCCGCAGCGACTAAGGGACCTCATAACTTAATTCTTTAATCACACTTTTAATCAGAGTAATTTATCCGTTAGCAGTTCAAGCTTAACAGCAGGAGAAGTTGCTAATGGGAATAACGTTGCATCTGCGTCATCTCACTACGTGTCGACTAGTATCGAGATACGGGCGAGTGTAGAAATGATTCTTCTCGTTTGGCAGTTCGTGGCTTCGGGTGGTGGTGTCTTACTTAAAATAGTTCCTCGTGTGTATAAATAAATAAATAAACAACTCCTTTCCCTCCCCTCTTCTCAACCCCCTCCTCTTCGCCATCGTCTTGTAAGTAACAGTTCAATGTAGCTTTAATTTTGTAGAACTCATTATGCTGTGAGTCTCCATTCACCACGCCTACTATACGCTAAATTAAATTCGACTGAAAGTCTTATCAGCTGTGTGTTGAAGTTGAGCTTCGTTTCTCTTTCGTCCTTATAAAAAGTATAATGAATTTCTGCCATGCAGATTATTCTATTTCTATCCTATCCAAAAACACGAAGATTAAAATTATCAAATAATTTTACGATTTGTTTCGTTCAAACATTTATCGCTGTTCCTGAATCACTTACCAAAGCGTATCCTGACAAGGAAGTACTGAATAAGACACCAAAACACCGACTGATAAACAACATTTCGGAGCGCGGGAAATGTTTGTCTGTGGTAAGTGGTCATCGAGGGACAAAACGGTATAAATGACGGCCGTTAACGATTTCAAGCAACAATTTAATATTCTCATTCGTCTTGTCGCTTGGAACGTCAAGGGGACCGTATACGAGACATAAGATTCCAATCTACAGGCCTAACCTTACTATTAACTGAAATTCTAGTCCCGTTAATATTTTACGAAATATATATTTAAAAATTTAGCCAGACCATCCAGATACGTTTACGAGTATACGATCTATAAAATAATATAATTTTTAATCAACCGCTTCGTAATAAAACAAACTATTCTTCTTAATATTTAAAAAAAATAAAACTTGAATGATCTATTATCTTGTTTTCAAGAAGGGGATATCACCTGTTAGCTGAGTGCGGTGACTAGATCCATTGCATGAGATACAATTTATAATGCCTTAAGAATAATCGCTCAGAGGGACAGACAATATCATTAAAAACAGCGTAGCACCTGTTTGGTTCATGTATCCTCCACAGCTGCCCTCTGATACAAAACTTTTTAACGGTCATCGCCGAGACGGGGATCTAGAGACACGCGTTATGCGAGGAAAGACTGCGTCAGAACGACTAGAGCTAGGATAGAGCTTTTACACATCCTGCGATGTTACGCGATGTTTTAAATTAATAAGAAGTAAAGAAATTATCGAAGTGTGAAACCTAATCTTTAGATATTACAGTTCTTCGTTAGTATAAAATTATTGTACAGAACATACGTTGAAAATCAGAATTATGGTTAATATTTATATAGGAATATTTATAAGAATACTTCAACGCTTGCCATTACGGTTAAAGTAAAGAATTTAAACTGCAGTGACTTGATCGGTGGCCATTTTAAGAATTACGTTGAAATAAATGATGAGCATACCCTTGATGATGATAGTCTGGGATCCTGCGCCAAGTATGCTGCATGTCCCAACTGATCACGACAGATAATTTTACCCGGTTCAATGAGGAATCCGACCATCCTTAGGTTTCCACTCGACTGTTGGAATAGAACCTTTATAGGCCACTTTCTCCTATTTCCAGTCACCCCATTCAAAGCTGCATATTACCTGCAGTTGACAAAACATCTTTAAGTAATTCAAGAATCTAGCCATAACCATTAAATATAGTATTAGCAACTAATAAGACGTCTACAAATAACGTACGTCCGGAATGAGTTACAAAAATATTATTAGTAGTAGTTATTTTCCTGGAATAACTTTAAAATACGGTGACCACGTACAACTGTTTCTGAATTCAAGCTTTGTTTACAGTTACTAACCACATCATAATTGTTCCAATCCATAAGCCACTTTAACTCTCACTCAGTTTGGGGATTGGCTTATCGATGTTTGCTACGAATTCATTTTCCTCAAAACAAACTGGTCAGTACGCTACGATTCTCTGAACAGACGAAGAATGGAACTTTTAAAATAATATAACTCGAAGTCTTCCTTTCATTACAAAATAGTCCAAAACCGCAACTGCCCGAGCTTTGAATAGCTTGTAATGGATAAGATTGCAAATTTAAATAACCAATCAAAATTAAGTTATCAAATTGAAACAGCTTCACGTCGATATATATCGGAATTAGTACGCCACAGTCTGTCAGATAGCAGCACATATATTGCTGCACACGAAATGCTTATATCCGGACTTGATGGCAGCACATACCACAGCGAAATAAATAACGATTCATGACTACCAACTGCTAATGAAATATAATTTTTTTTATAATAAACTCAAGTCCGTTGCCGGACTTTGCCTGTCAATCCGGAAATCACACCAAAAAAATGTTCATTCCAATATCAATGCTGAAGCTTATCTGGGAGTTTTTAAATTCAAACATAACCAATTGGACCTCACGAGATGCCATGTGAAGAAATATTAACCTCAAAAGTTAATAACTGTAAATGTCATACCTTACACATCTTTGTTTTGTGTATCAGAAACAATATGCTATAAGATGGGCATCATTGTCCAAATTCTGGTAGAGTTTACCAGTCATCATTCTCCTAGTATTGCACTATGTCTTTATGACAGTACTTTAACTCCACAAAAGATCTTTCTCATAACACGTAACATAACATTTGCACTGCAAACAGTATGGTGTGATGATATGAAAAATACTGACATAAGGAGACCACATCAATCCTACCAAAGTTCATGTGCGAAAGATATGCAAAGCAATACTACAATACCTACATCTAAATGGTACACAGTATAAAACAGTAATGCTGCCATAGAAACCTGTACTTTGTTCTGATACAGCAAATGGTATACAGGTATGATAAATTACACAACACCATAACAAAATGTCATATTATTATGTCTAATGAAGTTATACACATTTTAATATATGTAATAATCTTCTTTTTCTTTAGCATTTGTCCTGCATTGGCAGGGTCTGCTTTTTCCTCTCTTTTTGGAGGTTGCTTGATCTAATTTAGACATTTGGTAGGACTCCTTGGACAAGTGATCAGCCCATCGCAAGGCCTCTACCTGTACACAGGACAGCACAATACAGAAAGACGCTGACAAACATCCATGCCTTGAGAGGGATTCGAACCCACAATCCCAGTGTCCAAGCAGCACAAGGCCCATGCCTCAGACCTCGCGGCCACTGTGACCGGCTTTTAATATATGTAACATAAGCTAGAAAATCCTTAAAAAAGCAAAATTGTAACCAGTAATATAAAAATAGTAATGTAAGTACTTCACCTGAAACCCTAACTCCATCTGCAAATCGAATAGTTTTATAACAAATATATACACTAACTTATGTATGATATTTTACATAAATATTTATAACACTATACATTATGCTCTTCCATATCCTTATGCTGCTTCCATCTTTGTGGGTCAACTTACTTAATACATGTAAGAGACTATTCATTTTCATGATGGGACTACTTTCCAAAAGTTTCATAGCAGCAGTCAAACTGCAGAAAATAAAATGACTTACATGGCAATAAAATACAAACGGATATGCACATATGCACGATATATGGCGTAGCATGCCAATGACTTCAGTTCTTCCGAATTTGCAAAGAGCAAAACAAAACAATTCCAATCTAAACATGTTTTTCACATTTACCGATTTGACTTATTTACTGTAGGTAACAAGAAACTTGGATATACATCTTAATTAGACAATATCAATATGGGTTATCAGTGATACAAATTGTTGTTCTCTGCATTAATAACAATTAATTGTTATCATCGTCATCAATAGCTTTCCACATCTAGTCTCATGCCAGCATTTGATGGTCTCCCCAAAGACTTTCACCCATTTGATCGGTAAGAGAGAATTTGGATCGAGATTCTTGAGCACAGTATTCAAAGAACACAGTTCTTTGTTTAGCTCTGTAATTGTCTGTGAATTCCAAGTAGACTATGCATTTACTTTCTTAGTCTGAATGAGTTCAGCCTCTTGTTCTCCCCATTAATTTAATTTGTTCATCCTTATTACATTTCATTTTATCCAAGTATATACCCACCCCCCAAAAAAAGATCCATTTTCTACTCATTCCTTCAAGCATTTCAAAAATGCTTTGTTCCTTATAAAGTAATGGAATATTATCTATAACACTATGACTGATAAGATTCATACTCTATGAAGAAAATAAACAGAAGCACATAACAAATAAAAAATACAGCATTTGACACACTGAAATTCTGTCGGCACAATGGCCAAATTAAATGAGATGAAACATATGTAGAGACGTGTAATATCAATGGAGCTCATAAATTCATCAATTCTGTTCTTATGCTAAAAGGAACTAATTACATTAAAACTAAGGAACAAGGTTCAAGGCATCAATATCACGTATTTCTCCGGAGGTTACCTCTCCTTATTAAAAATAAAATCATAGCCCCACCTAAAGTTTGCTCATGACAGATCCTACATCTTGTGGGCTAGTAACTGTCGGGAAGCCACCAGCGAATGCAGCCTGCAGAACTTCATCAACATGATTCACCAACACAAATGCAAGATCCTTCTGCAATGAGATAAATGCTATCATGAAAATGAGTGAAAAGTCTGTGTCTAGAGCACACAAAGTTTTCAAAGGCATCTCTTGCAGTTAAGTTTTTATGTTCACTTATTACAAACATAAATCTTTTGCAAACAGACAGCAAAATTCATGTGGGATAAAAGAAAATAACAGTGTTAATCGGGAACAAAATGCATGTTTCGGAAATCCGCATCTAGGAACACACTACAACTAGAAACACGAGCAAAAATATTCTAATGAGAAATGTAATACAAAGTACTATATAAGGGAGGTAACGGGCATGAGAAACATTCTTGCCTATGAGTGGATGTACAGGGCATGAGAAACATTCTTGCCTATGAGAATATAAACATACTTGTACATATGCATAATGATCAATCTATTACCTTCACATTATCAGGAACTTCATGCAAATCCTTTTCATTCTTTTTAGGTAGAATAATTCGTTTCAGCCCAGCACGATGGGCTGCTAGAACTTTCTCCTTCACTCCACCGACCTGATTAAATAAATCAAATACGAACACTGTGACGTAACAGATAAAATGTTGAAATTACAGTAATTTATATTAACACGCATTGTAATTTAAGCCTGAAACAAGCATATTTTAAGATAAATACAGAGGTATGGAATCACTTAAATATTTACAATCTGAATAAAGAAGTAGAAAATCAAAATAGAATTGGTATTAACACACTTTAAGAATGGACATCCCCCCTACACACACAAACTTCTGAAGTATTATAAAATTACAAACCAGTAACAGAAAATCTATTAAAGTAAATCCCATTTAAGGAATTTAAACTAAGGCACATCCTCATCTTCAACACTGCAGACAGTCCAGTTTACCAACGAACTCATTACATAAGAATGCAGAACTTAATGCATTACTCACTGGAAGTACTACACCTCTCAATGTAATCTCGCCTGTCATGGCAACATCAGTATCAATGGGTCGCTCAGAGAACAGAGAGATCAAAGCTGCTGCTATGGTCACACCTGCAGATGGCCCATCCTTACCAACTGCACCAGCAGGAAAATGAATATGGAGATCTGTGCGAGATAGGAGCTCGCCATCTATCTGCAGGCCATACTGCAAAACCATGAAAAAATTCAATTCACATGAAGAAACTTAGATGGATCCACAGTCAAGACAAATTTACAAACATTCATAACTTTTTGACAACGGCACGGGAAACTGAACGTGTCTCACCTCACGTGCAGATGTGCGAACCCAGTTTAGGGCTAACTTAGCAGACTCTTTCATAACGTCACCAAGATGACCAGTGAGCACTAGTTCACCATCTCCCTCCATCTTGCTTGCTTCTACAAGCAACACCTCACCGCCGACAGTTGTCCATGCCAAGCCCACTGCCACGCCAGGTTGCCCCAGTCGAGACCACAGCTCATTGCTGGAGTACACTGCAGGCTACAGGTAGATATGACAACACACATTTACATGGAACAAACCTGTAATTTTCATGCATTAAAGAATTTTAGAACTTGTCCAGTAATGTACACACACTCAGCTTTTAATGACTCAAATATTATCTGTATAATTACAGCTGCTTGAATGAGACGGCATTAGCAAATTAATCAATTGAAGAATGCAAAGCCTAAAAAAGATTATCTTTAATAAACTTGAAGTGCTAAAACCTTGAAGATGGCTGTCTTTCTCAAACTCACCGCCATAAAAACTTTAAATCCTACATGCTAAAACCAATTTTGGAAAAAAATTAGAAAAAAGTGTGGAGAGGTACATCAAAAGAAATTAAAATGGGGAAGCCAGGGCCAAAATTGAGCTGTAGCATGATAAAGGAAGCAGAATATAAACAATGATTAACCTAAACTAATCTAAACACTGATTAACAAAAGAAATACCCCTAATATATCCTGAAGTGCAGCTTCATCCAAGAATATAGGCAGTTTTGTTCTCCCACTGTCCTTGCTAGTGAGATCCCCTGTGGTATCCATATTCATTTCAGCAACACGAACAGCTACTGCACGGCACAATGCTCCCAATTTGCGCTCCAGAGTTCGAACCCCAGCTTCACGAGTGTAGTATGATACTATAAAATAGGGTTTTCATGAATAAATTAAACTCTCACTTAAAATTCAGTCTTAATATGAGGCTTATATCTTTCCAGTTCTGGTCGTAATATGAGGCTTATATCTTTCCAGTTCTGTAAATCTCATGACAGACCTCATCCAAAGAGTATGCACCATTAAATGTTTTGTAAACAATATGAGCTTGAAATGAAAATATTTAAAATAAGATATCTAAATTGGACTGCACAATATACTGTTTTCTATTAATCCCTAACCCAGACCAATCAGACTTAATGATGCCAGTGCTCTGAATAAATAATTTCTGAATGGTATAAAATTTTAGATCTGTACAATATACAATATACTCACTGAGAGTCTTGATGCTCTCCAATGGAAGTTGCAGCATGTGAGATGTGAGGCCATGCTCCTCCAGTTGCTTGGGCAGAAGGTGACGTGAAGCAATATGTAACTTTTCTTCCTATACACCACATTTAGTCTTAGAATATTTTACAAAAAATGATAACACATATTCCATCAATTTTTTTTCAAATTTAAATTCCAAAGTTTAGTTACACAGAACATGTAAAAAATTCCACATACTTTTTAAATGCAGACTTAAACTTTAAATGTAACAGATTGTAATAAGACATTTATAAATCTGTGATAAATTTAATATTCAAATAATGCAGAGTTACACGAGACAGAACACAGCATCCTGATGGGCTTTGTACATTATTCTCGAGACTACAGCTGTACCTGTGTGTACCCTTGGACAAAGATCAGTTCCATACGGTCAAGTAGAGCAGGAGGAATGGTTTTGGTGTTGTTGGCTGTGGCAATAAACATCACTTGAGACAGATCAAATGGCACATTCAGGTAGTGGTCCACGAAGTTGCAGTTCTGCTCTGGGTCCAAAACTTCCAGCAGAGCTGCTGCCGGGTCCCCATGAATACCTGTGCCCTGAGTAAATACGTACCACACTGACGTAAGGAAGATACAATACTGATTATAAAACAAAACACAGTGCTTCAAACTTAAGTAAATTCTCTTAACTTCGATAAAGAAGTTCCTTTAGTAACAATATATTTATTTATTTAATTGCCAAATGGTAACGTTAGTCACCTTACATAAGTCAATAATGAGAAGCCCACTTGAAGCCACATATATCCACATTCTACACAAGGGAAGTTTTGGTCTCATAAGGCAGAGATGGTCAGTTTCTACTTGTACAATCTGTTTTATATTTATATTAAACAAAATTCAAATATTACTTAAAATAATGTTAATAAATCTAAACACACTAAAAGCTATAACGTCCAGGTAGAGAATTATTACTCTAAGAATCAAAGACACTTGTATTAACTATTTAAAGCCTACTGGTAAGTATTTGTACCACCTGCTTTAATGTTAACAACTCTGTATTTTGCCCACAAAGTGTATCTATTTCTTTGCATGATCCTCATAATAAACAGTGACTATTTCCCTAAACAGCATGAACCACTTAATCTTTGTAATGCTGAAGTGTTGTCGGCAGTACACAGTAGATGTTTAAATATTATGTAAATCAGCTTCAGGTTTAAAATGGTTAACAGATGACACATGAAGACAGGAAAGTGTCATGAACCCTTAGGAGCTGGTATTGTGCATCCAATATGTCCACAAAGGAGCATTAAGGGTTAACAAACAGAGGATACTTACTAGTTTGTCAATCTCATCAAGTAGCATGACTGGGTTGTTAACGCCTACCGTCTTTAAGCCGTGGATGATTCGGCCAGGCATTGCGCCAATGTACGTTCGGCGATGACCCCTGATATCTGATTGGTTGCAACTGCCTCCAAGGGATATGCTAAGCAAATAATTATATAAGGATAATAAAAATTATACAAACACTGCACTATATGACTTTGAAATATGAAAACAGGACCATCTTGGGATTTATAAATACAAGGTTAACTCTACAAAGTTCATGATGATGATGATGATGGAGTATGTTAATAGTTAGTTATGAAGGTGTTCATTAGAAGAGGGTAGGGGACTAATTTTTGTAAATACAACAAAGTAAAAGACAGATCTGACATCATGAGAAAAACCAAACGTCTTGCCTGAATAAATATATTTTATAGCAGACCCTAAAGAAATTCTCTTAATGTAGTGTTTCCACATCTGTTTACTATAGAACACTTTCAGCTCAAAGAACACTACGAGACTACCACCAGGAAACAAAAAGAAATAAAAAAGTTAGGTCTTTGTAATGCGCTTCATTCTATAATTAGAAAAATAAATTATGCTGAATTATAACATCTAGACCACTCTTGAAAAAACATAAAAAACTACAAGACAGCAATACAATCTGTGTTGAAGTATGTTTACTCATTAACAACCAAAGAACAGTAGATTTACTTCATATCTCAGAAAATTCAGTTTCACCATTTTATGAAATACTATCTACACATCATTATGCTCTCTTCTTCTTCTATGGCTCTCCGGTCCGTATTCGGTCCATGGCCTCCTCAATTCTCCTCTTCCATTCAGTCTTCTGTTAGGTCCGTCTGTCCAAGGCTTTGATTGAGGTTTCAAAACATCTTCCTTCTTACAGTGCAAGGTTGTTAGCCTTGCGACCAAGCCCCAACCTGGAGGACCAGGGTACCTGTCTTAGTCTGACCTCTCCCCCTCGACCAATCTGACTAGGGAGGCCCTACCAGCAGCTATGCTACCGCCAGCATAGCTCTTGCATTATGCTGTCATTAGGTTCAAATTAACTGTGAGATTTCTCATGCAGTTTGTGCAACAAAGCTCCTATGACACGGTACGTAAACAGTTTCTTACAGGATCAGATAAAAGCCTCAATAACCTTACTATTTAGAAAGATATAAAACATGCTTAACATAATATTTCTAAGTCCTTCTAATGGAAGAGTAAATATTTTGTATGTGCATTTCCTAAATAAGATGATGAACACCTTTACAAGTTCTCTGAACTCTACACCTTCCTCTTCTGTTAAATAATCAATGAACACAACACAAAATGAAATATACTAACCGATGAAATTCACGTCCAAGAGTTTGGGCAATGGAACGCCCAACACTGGTTTTGCCAACACCAGGAGGCCCAACAAAGCAGAGAATTGGTCCTCGAAGGCTATTTTTTAACTGCCTGACAGCCAGATACTCCAGCACTCGCTGCTTCAACTTATCCATCGCATAATGATCCTCATCCAAGTCCTGAAAAACAATTGAAGTATGACTAAATGTTTATAAGTTTAAACTGACGGTGACAGAACATGAATGTTACCACAATGTACGTATGGTACATTGTGGTAACACACTTTACAGGCAAAGGGTGTTTAAAAAAAAGTACTTTGTCCAGTGTCATCATGTGGAAGGAATGTGCAGTGTGGAGATGAGTTATTTACTCTGCTGAGAACAAAGCTATGCATTTAGAATACTGCACATGGGAAGTCAATACAGCAGTTACAGAAATAAATATCAGCAAACTGATATTCTCATAGCTGTGAAGATGTACACAGTGCCTCACAGGTTGAGTCTCGAGTTAACAGAGCTATATGGAATATACGAGCACGAAACCAACAGACTACTTTATATGAGCAATCTAGGCAGAATATTCGAGAGAAATGCCATGTTGTACTGCACCTGCACGTTTTGCATGCTATGGAACCCTTGTTGGGGGAAAGCCATGGAATAATGGGAAGATTGGTCAAAGGATGGAAAGAAAATAGGCTGATGATTATGAAACCTTCATTCTTGAACTACTTCTTACCATAACCCACCTGTCGTGCCTTATTGATATCAATTGTTTCAGGAGACGATTTTGACCACGGAAGTTCGGCCATCAGTTCTACATAGGTGCGTATGATACCACTCTCTGGGCTAATTGATGCCAATTTCTTTAAGCGCTGCAACTCCTTCATTGCCACTTTATAAGCATGTGGAGGTAGCTTGGCAGCCCTGGTAAGCAAGAAACATACAAAAACTTGAAAATAATACCTTAACCTTTATCATGTGGTAACAGAGCACTTAACCTTGGGTTAATGATTTACTGGTATGCTAGTGCAATGCACGGCCAGCTGAATCATGTGTAAGCACTGACAAACAAATGATAAAGGTTAAAATTAGTCGTCATGTAAAAGTGGCAAACCTAACTGGCCAGTATGGATCAAATTTTATTTTAAAGTCCCAAAAAGAAACACAAAACTTAATTCACAAGGAATTAAAAAATGTTAACTGAAAAGACGAGACCTTGGGAAAACTGGACTGTACTGGCTCAGTATCATGTCAAATGAAGTTTGGAAATACGCATACCGAATCTTCAATTTCTACAAAGACTCAGTTTTGTTACTTCACTCACACAGAACAAAGATGTGAATTAATCCGTACCTCAGTTTGTTCTGAAGTTCTTGGAGTTCATCCCCTTCATCGTCTGTTGGTATGACGCCATCATTTCTAGAAAACATGCCTCGCTGAGGTCTTATGATCATAACTTTAGTTTTAGGTGGTACAGTGTAGTGTTTTTCTGTATGACTGTTTGGAGATTTGTGCAACATCTCCAAGCCTTCAATCTGACGCACAAGGAGAGGCAAAGCTTTCTTCAGACGTTCTGACAAGTCCACTGCATCCAAAATTTGCAGTTTCTCTATGAAAGACGCACTGACAAGAGATGCACAGAGATCAGCGAGGTGATGAGCTGGCAGAGTGCCAAGCATCTTCTATAGGCAACAGAAATAAAGAACACTGTGACTAGAACAGTCTCGGCACCAAATTAAACCTAGAACTGTACCTCATATTGACTTCTTCACCAAAATTCCAGTTACTATGGAGGAACAATGATTAAACCTCTTAAAAATATGCCTAGTGAATACCAGAAATGACACAGTTTTGTAACAACAGGTTATATATATACATACACACACAAAACAATTAAGATTTCCATGATATTAACAAAGTGATATTCTGAAAATATCAGGAGTGTTCATCACATTTTTGTCATACAACCTGTGATTCAGTGCATAGGCCTATTATTTCATGACAAAATACTAGATTGCAATCCTTAATTTAAAAATATGTAAGGTGTAAAAATAAAAATAAATATATTAACGTGATACAAAAATATCCACTGTATTTATCAGACAGTACCTTCAATCTAGCCACAGTAGAATTAGAAACATCCAACATTCCAAGTAGTTTTGAGGCTTCTAGTCTGAAGCTCTGAATAAGATCCATCAGTTCCTGATTTTCATCATCTTCTGTTAATGCAAGAATTGGAACGATTGTTAGTTTTGATCACATAAATTGCCAAATGTCATGAAAATACTGAATCATGGTTTATTCAAGAATACTTTCAAATGTACAGGTTAATAGCTGAGAATTGTGAAAGAGATGGAAGGAAACAGTGAGAGTTCAATTTAAGGTATAATCATGTCTGGCTGGAAGGACCTCAGTCAAGATAGCCAATGTCTAAGCAAGGATTTGAACCTCAGATCTTCTGAATATAAATCGGGCACACTAACCACTTTACCGTGACACCCAGTCACAGAATGAAGCAGCAATATCAAGCATGGGGTATTCTGTGAATACCTGATTAGCATTCAACTTCAAAAATTTTATACTTTTATGGATACTAAAAATTCATTATCAGTCATTTTAAATGCAAGTCAGATGTACCAAAAATGATACCAATGATACCAGATCCACATATAAATGCAAATTATTCTTTGTGAAGAAATTTGAATGCATATTGCTAGAAAGCTGTCACTTATGGCTCCTCTTTCTTGGGAAAAAAAAACACCTAGCTACATTTATGGTGACAGCAGAATACATTTGTGATTGTTTGTCAAAGAATCCCCTGTACTGTCTACATACATGAAGTGTGTACAGTAAGTTAAATATAGGCTAACAAAGACCATTTTCATTATTACAATGCTCTGCTTTCAATTGTTTCTCAAATTAATGTCTGTGGGTGAACTGACTTCAAAACACAAAATTATAATCTTAGCACAGAAAAAACTCACCATCATCAACTGCCAGTTTGTCAAGTTGTGTGACTACTCCAACTAAATATGGTACTTCCATTACAAGTTTCTCCAGTCGAAAACGACACAATCCTGTCACAAGGAGTGTAAATGCTGGCTGGGGCCAACTGATACCAGTGACTTGAACAACAACTGCAGCAGTACCAACTGTATGCAATGGAGCATTGCCCTATAAGATTTTAAAAATGTGAACAAAAATTAAAAACCAACCTGTATGTAAAAGATGCTAATATCACAACACACGCATTTCTCTTGTTTAAAACGCAGATATGTGAAAGTACATGAATAAAATTAAATAAAACTGCTTTCTAAGGAATTAATTATTACGATAAAGTCTTTGTCATTTACCACTGACATGATATATATTGCAAACCATGTTTATGCTTTATACAGATTGACTGAAAATTATATTTTTAATTTAAATGCAAAACACTGTTTGGGTCTCCACCACACCATAATTCAGGACAGTTTTTGATCCCACAACGTCCTTTTCGGATTGGCTTAGTTTGTTAAGTCTGGTTAGATTTTTCTAGGAGCACCCAAACCATATTCTGCATTTGCTGCCATCCACTTTTACTCTGTAAACAGAACTTACAGAAATGTCCAAATGTTGTTCGGGTTCTTTAGGTACAACTCCTATTATGGTGCTTGTCAGTGAGCGTTGATTTAGAAGACGACTCTTAATCATTGCCATGCTTTAAACAAACACAAAGTGAAAATGAAACCTCACATAAAGCAAACCTTTGATGTGAAATAAAAATTACAAGCAATCATTACAGTTTCCCGTATTACAATCTTCCTTCACAACCGACAAAGTTTTGGGTACTTCCATTTCACTTACTTTCGTGAATTTGTAACGGGGATTTTCATCGACGATCCCGGCAGAAGTACCTCTTCGTCGACGACAAGCAATGGAATTTGTCGAGGAATACTCATCATTGATGTCATTTTGAAAACTGGATATCCTCACTAGTGGTACAAATATTATTACAATACAAACACAGAGCGACAACTACTGTCACATCACCATGATCAGCATATTCACAAACACAGATTACAACTGCACACACTCCATAAGAACCAAGGAGCACAGAATGGAAACTCAGCTGTATAAGTGCCTGTAGAGCACTCTGTTGATAAAGAATTGTAATATCCGCTAGTCAATCTGTAGGTATTCTGTGATATTTACGTTCATAACTTTTGAGAAGATTGGATAGATTTATTAGATTTCATACTACTTCCATCAAGGCTAAATAGAATTATCCTTTTCAGAAATCCAAACATTTCTCATATTACAGGTAAGAAATATAAACTCCAGTTCTGGAATCTGTTATTTAGTCCTCGTACATCAGAATCTACGTTTTTCTTTGATTTCACTTGTTTTTAAAGTTTACGTAGCGGTGGGGCTGTCTATTTAGTTCTATGGAATCGGCCACAAACTTCCCCCATAGAACGTACTAAATTTCCTCCTGTTGGTACTATGATATGTGACGTCACACAATGCGCATAGAGTACCCGAAGTATTATGTTACTAGTAATTTGTGACACGAAATCTTATGCCCCTCCAGGCAAATACCCAGGATATTACCGCTAATTACGCTACATTCGCCTCTTTCCATAGCCTTTCCAATTCTTTAATCATTAATCCTACCATTCGAAGCTATATAGCCAGAGCTACTAACAGTGTCTTTAAGTAAGCCATACGTAAATATTATTTTTGAAAACTCCGGATATGAAAGCTCAAAAATTTGGTGAAAGGGGCATGCAAAAACTGTCCACTGATAACTTGTGGTAACGTCTTACGCAATATGCCAGTCTTTACATGCTGTAGAAACAGCTTTCACACGATTACCTACTGCTTCAATAATATAAGACATTGTTTTGTAGACTTCTCAGCTATTGTAACCATTATCAAGAGTTCTGGAGCAGGCCACTTGTAGACCCATTACAACCTTCCTTGAAGCGTGCAAGTAATTGAAAATTCCTTATGATAAATCAAAGAATAGTCTGGTGATAGGACTGTAAACTTTTATTCTTCGATCGGGCTTATGCATAGACATTTTGGCCAAATCTAATATGGTTATACATCACAACTCAGTCACCAAAGTCTTGCCTATTAGAGATGAAATCCAACTCTTACATCCCAGCAAGTGTTAATTCTTCTTAAAGTGCCTATCCGTTAATACAGAGAATAAATATGAATTGTGTTTCTGACAGTCATGGAACTTAATGTTTGGGAATTCACAAGACACTTTAAACTAGAAATGCATGAGACTCAACCTGAATTTATTATAATAAGTGACATTTTTTCCAGAGATTTTTGAGAAGAAACTTACTTTGTGCAACGATGTCTGATGCATGGGAAGAAATTCAGGCCATTAAAAGTAAACGGAACAGCCTTCGTGAGAAATTACAAAAAAGAAAGAAAGAACGACAAGATATCTTAAACCAGTCTGGTGGAGCATTAGCATCAGGTTTCTGGAACTAATTTCTTAACAATTTTTTAACCAGTGAATCAACTGAGTACATACAGGTTCTGGCAGACTCAGTATGGTTCTTATAGATGGATTTTTACTACATGTAATTCATATGTATGTTTAAAAAATGGCACTATGATGCAGAATATTTCATTCTGAACTGCTGCTGTGGCTCATTATTGAGTTTCAGTGACATCTTTAATGAGTGTTACTTAAAATTTTACAAACCAACTAGGCATTTCTCACATACCCTCATTAGACCTGACAAAAAGTTAATGACCTAAGACATCATTGCTAGATCTACATTATTTATAGCCTATTAATCCAACATATTATTGGCAGACTTTTATTTCAGATGTCAGTCCTTCTCTATCAAAAACAAAAGTGTTGTCTTCTGAAGGGAGTACAAGTGGAGTACCATCTCCAGTAACTCAAGCCAAAGGTAAGGAACACGTCTGAAAGTCAAAATAACCCAACTCTCTGGTGGTTTGGTTCAGGATGTACCTATTTTTGATGTGGTAACTGGTAATGGGTAAAGGTAAAGTTGCCCCCATGCTTAAGCACCATGTCATGAAGATGTATGGTGGAATGGAGGTGAATGCTCGCTCATCTACACACTTTAGCATTCTGGTAACTTTACTACCAAGGAAAGAGTCTCACACTCATATGATAGGAAGCTAGGCAGGATCTAGAGCCAGTCGGGATGCAGTGGTGAAAAGAAAAATGTCTGCCTCTGCCAGAAATCAAACCGTAGTCATCCAGTCTATGGCCATGTGGGTACGTTGTGACTAAACATGATCAAAATTAAATGTCTTGAGTGTGACTTGCAGGTGACATTTTTCCACATTCGTCTTAGAGAGTAAAACAAGATTTATATTTATACATTATTTCAGATAGTCTGATCATCATTTAATAAACCACAAGTGAATAAATAACATTTCAAACAAATTTCTGCAACATTAGTTAATTAACTCCATAACACAAATGACAACACTAATATCTGTGAAATCATCCAATCATAACAAGTACCTCCTACTTACTGTTTGTTTAGGTGATTCAAATAATGATTGTTGCTCTAGATGAAACAGAAGTGGAGCCAGAAGATGCAATGAAACCAGACCCAGAAATTGAAAAGCGATTACTGCGCTGTCTCAGTGAAGTGTCCCTTACTTTGCCAACGACATCAAGGGAACTAGCAGCTGCTGTTGGGAAGCAGCTAGGGCGCCATGTTTTCCATATTTCAGTAGTCAACCTCCTGCAAAAGTTTACCACTCAGCAGCTCATAGTGTGAGTCACGAAATCTGGATAACTTGCTAACAATTATTTTTTCACTACATGGACTCCCACACAATGATTATCATCTGAAACATGCATTTTTGACAAACCAATGAACCATTGGACCTCAAAAAATTTGCTACAACCTTAGAGATTAGACTGTCTGATTCAAAAGTACTGAATTATGTAGTGAGGTGTCACCTCACCAGTATTGCCGGTTGCAGCACAAAATCATGAGTCTGGTTATTTAATCGGTCCTCATATTTTACAGTTTGAAATGTTTAATTTAAATATAAAAATAAGTGCATATTAATTATGCCAACAACCCCAAATTAAATGTATAGGACATTATCACTGATGAAAAATTAATATAAATACTGCAAATAAGATTTCAAAGTAGGTTATTTTATGTAGTGTATTGTTTCAATATAGGGGGCTGTTGGTTTCAGCTGATTCCAAAAGAACAATGTCAGTATAATCTAAAATCCTTGCATATATATATGTCACTTATTCTTACTGTTAGAAAGTGAGATGAAAATTTTATTATCTTCACTGACAAATTTTTTTTCACATTTTCTAGTGTCAAAGATGGGAGTAAGGATGGAAAAACGTTCCTTGAAGTGGTCACTGCTGAACACACAAAGCTGGTGGCAATGGTAAATGAGGTAGAGGCTGATGAAGCAGGGCCAGAAGCAGGGGACGAACAACCTGCAGATGAAGTACCCAAGAAAAGGAGGGGAGAGGAAATTGAGAGTGAACCGGCTCCTAAAGCTGCAAAAGTGGTGGCTCCTGACAAAGATGAGAAGAAGAAAGAAAAGAGAGATCCAAAGGCAGCTGATATCATGGTACAGAATATTTAGGGGAAAAGAACTGGGAATAACTTGTGGTGAATTATATATTTTGTTAAGTTCTTTTGTTTACTGTTGTAATGCTCACATGTGATCTGTTAGGGTGGATTGAATGAAAATGGCAGAACATAATTTTTTGTATGCTTGTATATCAGTTATCTGCATAGTTTGGTTTATTTCTGTAAACATACAATGGCTTCATATGCAGGAGCAGTGGTTACCAAACTGTGATTCACTAACATCTTCTGGCTAAATGAAATATTTAAGGGGTTTCACAGAAAAAATGCACAGTAGTGGAAAATGTTCCAGTTGCATAGCTGAGGTGTAAAGGCACATAGTTTTATTTTCTGTTCAGAAAACAAATTATTTGTGAAATACTTTATAAAGGTTCAGAGCCATGAAAGTGAAAAAGGGGGAACTTTTTGATAACATACAATTTTAGAGGAAGTGAGTATATTTGGTTATAATGAGGAAAGATTTCTCATGGTGATAAAATCTGGGAACTACTAACAGAGGAATATTATGTAATTTGTACAATAATAAGTAAATTAAAATGCCCTCTTTGCAGTCACTGTTGTCAATGCCATCAATTCGTGAGAAAGAAAACAAGAAAGTTGGTGAAGAAATACTCGATTTGCTGAGTAAGCCAACAGCTAAGGAACGATCACTGGCAGAGAGGTTTCGTTCACAAGGCGGTGAGAACTGCATGAAGTATTGTTTAATGATTACTACTCTGTAATACTCTTAAAAGTATAGAAAGAAAAAAAACACCTGAATAATTAGAAATTCATGTTAATAACAGATTCCATGGAGCAGAATTCTCGACAACTAATAGTCTCTCTTTAGTCAAGAAATTCCCCACCTTTTATGAATTCAATGGCTTGTTACCATGTTCAAAGAGCCCACCACTGGATCACATACCACAAATTCAAAATTCTCTCTGTTGGCTCAAATATTCCTTATATCTAAATTTTAATAATCACACTGTTTGACAGAATCGCCAGTGATTCGTAACTACAAATACAGTGTATCACCAAGTACCCTATCATTCTTAGTCTGCTTCTTATGTATTCTTTATACAAAGAAAATACAATTAATGTATATGAGAAGGTTACGCCTGTCCATCTGGATTTTTCAACTTCAGAACTGCCCACTGGAATTTATATTCGGAGTTTGTGTAGTAGTTAGACTAATTAAATTTTCTTGTGTAATTCCTACCTTTGCAAGATTCACAAAATGGAATCTCATGACAGTGAAGATATCCATGGCAGTCTTCTGGGTTGTGGTACTGTGTGAACTTATAGATGGGAACCACACACAAGTCCACACAGCATCATAATGCAGAAGACCACCACAGACATTATTTGATATGTTTGTTCCCGTAACAGGTGCACAAGTAATGGAGTTCTGTCCACATGGAACTAAGGTTGAGTGTACCAAAGTAAATGCATCAGAACCATGTAAGAAATTACACTTCAAGAAAATAATTCAGAAACACACGGATGAAAGCCTTGGTGATTGCTCATTTCTTAACACGTGCTTCCACATGGACACATGCAAGTATGTACTCCTAAATGCTAGGATAGGACAAATTATTTTACTGAGGAGAATTCCATTAAAAAAATTGCCATTTTCAGTCACTACTGTTATGAGGAATATTATCATTATTTTCTATTGTGGTGATAATTTTACATAAAATTTGACAGCAGCTTTAACAAAATCATAAATAGATATTTCACATTTATAATCATCCTGACATCTGAGACTACTAATGCTCTGCACTTGTTGCATCAGTCAATAACCCGACAACCTTGTATTAATTCCAAGTTAGTGACAATACCAAACTTAATATATGTTGATATGCTTTTATTAAGGTATGTTCACTATGAAGTGGATGGGCCTACAGTACAGTTTCCAAAAGAAGCTGGTGGCAACAAGGTAGAGTGTGTGGAAGTAAAGACACTGGGCCGCACACAGCAGGACATGACAATTCTCTACCCTCCCCAGTGGGTGCAATGTGACCTCCGCTACCTTGATATGACAGTATTAGGTCTGTGTATAACTTCATAGAAGGTATAAAATTAAATTAATGGGTTCAGTGTTATTTTTATGAAATCTTGTAACAAAATTGGAATAGAAACACAGAGTAAAGGACTGTCAAATAAAGCTGCCAAGTTGTTTTCTAAACATTTCATTTCAGATTAGATTTTAAGTTAAACCAACTTCACCAATTTGCACTTATTAATTCTAACATCAGTATTGAACATATTCTTCTTCTTGTGGCTCTACGACCAGTGCAGGTCTTGGCTGCCTCCTTTCAGAGGTTTCTTAGTCTTGTTGAACATATTAGTTCTGCTGTATCCAGGGCTCCAAAAACACAACTTAAATTTACCAAGTACTTAACAAATTCACTTGAAGATAGTCTGTTACTAAAGGAGATATTTATAAAACTAAATTAAGATTATGGGACAACAGTAATATATTCTTGCATTTGTTTATTACATTCTTGATACATTTAGATAAAACCTAACAAGTATTTGCTACTGTTCTCACTTAACTCAAAAGACCATAATCAGCATTTTCACTGCCATGAAAACCTCAAATATCAGTTAGTTAGTAACATATTAAGATGATGATACACAGAGTTAAAAAGACACCCCAATTTAATAACACATTTTATCTGACATTTTATTCAGGAAAGTTTGCTGTAATTATGGCTGACCCTCCTTGGGATATCCACATGGAACTGCCTTATGGAACCATGTCTGATGATGAAATGCGACAACTTGGAATTCCCACATTGCAAGATGATGGACTTATATTTCTCTGGGTCACTGGCAGGTCAGCTGAAGGTCATGAGCATGGAATTATGTTTTTAAAAGTTGCAGTAAGAAAAGCTACTTTTGTGTGAAGGCCAAAAATGTCTATAAGATCATTTTGAGAAGACTTATATTGCTAATAAATGTGTCATTCTTTCACAACTGCTGGACCTCCTTATATTTAATGAAATATAACCTGTTTATTAACTAGCATGCTTTACTTCATAGTAGGGTGGATTGTGCAACATTTCAGAGCCATGGAATTAGGTCGAGAATGCCTCAAGCTTTGGGGTTACGAGCGTGTTGATGAGATCATCTGGGTGAAGACTAATCAACTACAGAGAATTATTAGAACTGGTAGAACAGGACACTGGCTGAACCATGGCAAAGAACACTGCCTTGTGAGTACATATAATTGTAAACAAGAGCTTCACCTAATGTTAGAACTGAACAAGATGAATGAGATATGAAAGGCATGAATCATATGTGGGAAAAGAGGAAATGAACACAACATTTTGGTTGGGAAACCTGAAGGGAAGCAATTCATTGAGAAATCAAGTAGTTAAAGGGAAGATATTAAGGTACTATCCTGGAATTACTTGGAGGGACTCATGAAAACCCTCAGTTAGGACAACTAGTCTCCAGGTTGAGATTTGAACCTGGGATCTCCTGAACATGAAGCAGGAGTGCTAACTACTTGACTGGGGTGTTCCGTGATAAACCACGTACTACAGATTAAATACAGGATTTACAGACTTTTTGTGATAGTGGTATTATGTATTGTTTACTGAAATGACAGTCTGAAACATCAAGGGAAAGCAGTCACAAACTTTTATGTTCTATAATGATTTCTACTTTGAATGGTGTGTATTTGGATATGAAATAAATAAATAAATAAATGTCCTATAATACTAGCAAGTAAGTCAGATGGAAATCATATCACAGTATGTCATGAAATATGATGAGAACAGATAAAGTGATTGTTCCAGAAATAGAAGGGCATATATCTATTTCCTATGATTTTAGTGTTTTACATAAATTTTCCTATTGCAAAACATTTTGGAAGGTGTAACATTTGTACCTGCAGGTTGGAATGAAGGGTAATCCAGACAACTTGAATCGGGGTCTAGACTGTGATGTAATAGTAGCAGAAGTAAGAGCAACTAGCCACAAACCAGATGAGATCTATGGAATCATTGAGCGTCTCTCACCTGGGACTAGAAAAATAGAATTATTTGGTCGTCCACATAATGTTCAACCAAATTGGTGAGTGTATATATTCTGAGGAATGTTTGAAAACACAGTGTTAATCCTATGGGCTATTAATATTTATTATTTTCTTTAGGATAACACTGGGCAACCAGGTGGATGGTGTGAGGCTTGTTGATCCTGAATTAATTCAAGCATTCAGGAAGCGTTATCCAGATGGAAATTGTATGACACCGCCTAAATCATAATGTACTTGATGTGAAACAAAGAATCAATTTAAATTGCAATGTGGAAAAATATTTATTTTTAACACTGCTCATCTTTTTAAGTACAATATTCTTAGAACTGAATTAGCATGTACACTGTTCCTTCAGGGGCCAAGAAATGATCCTTGCACTGGCAATAAAACTTTTAGGTGTGTACCCAATTGAATTTTGGTGTTTGTGAACTTCAGTTTGGGTTTTAAAGCTTGAAATAAAAAATTAATCCAACCCTGTACAGCATCCTAAGTCCCAAGATGCACAGTTGTGTTATATTCTGCATGAATTGGATAGCTTTGTAGGCCTGTTTCACAAAACTGAAAAATTACACAACTTATAATATGTACAAGGAATCGTATGAACCCTTCCCAAACTGTGTTCACAATACTGTAATTTTGTTACCTATGGAATAAACATAACTGAATTAATAATCAGCAGTCCCACAGGTATGACCCTCCAGAGCTTAATCAAAACAATATTGCATACCTTGACCAGGTTTATCAATTTAAGCTTTCATTCAATTAGCTGGAATTTGAGTTACATACAGGTCAGTACTTGGTGATAGCTTAAATTTGATGAAGGGTGTATATTGTAAAGGAAACCAGAATGACTGAATTTTAGAAATCTGCAAAGACCACTGAATTTAAAAACAAAGACTATAATTACACATGATTTAAATTTAATGCCTTTAACATAATTATGCATATATTCACTACCATTTACAATATATTTGTACATAGGCAGAGTGATAAAGCACATGCAAGGTTTCCATATTGAACCTTTCACAGATGTTGAGAAAAGTGTACCTAATGTGAAAGAAAAATTCTTTTTTGAGCAAACTGGTTTAAAGTCAGCTGTGTACCTTTCTTCTTCTTGAAATACCTTGAGCCATACTGACCTTGTTTCTTGATTTCTCTCCCCTCCTGCATCCTCTTCTTTGCTGTCCTCTTCAGTGAGTTATAAAACATATTGTTCTGCATTTTTATTTCATTTCTTACTTTCATGTTATCACCAGCCTTTACTCATAATTTGTCTGCTTGTTACCTTGCAACTGAAACAAATAACTACATCAATTACATTTATATATAACATGTTTAACCCTACAATAGTAGTCTTTTGTATTCTTTGCCAAATGCGGTTGCTGTAATGTTCATTTGCATTTTGAGATTTTCCAAGCAGCCTAGCATCAGTAAGGTCCCTATATACTATTTTCATAGCATTTATCATAGTTTTTGGTAGTGTATGTTTATGAACAGACTGTTCATCAGTGATCACAGCTTTATTTTACAAACGGCAGTTATCTTAGGGGCAAAGACTATGATGTGAAAATTACAAGTTTGTACCTACCTTATACCACCATGCTTCCAATATAACCATTGTAATTAGTAGTGCACTTGTGTATCTTTATTTACTGACAATGTGTAATATATCATGAAAACCATTCCATGCTAATTACGCAAATTTTCATTATATTTGTTTTACGGATGCTATTGACGCTTTGTTAAAGCCACATGCCTAATATGGTAACGAAATACTTATTGCTAATCCCTTCCAAGTTTATGATCAGTAATGTGTAGTTATCACAGTCACAACTTTTATAATTGATAGTTCCACTTATTGAGATAATATGCATATATTAATAATACTATTGCCAAACTCAGTGTCATCCTTCTTTATATTCATCACGGTAGTTTCGAACATCGCACTTCTTTTCATACGGTCGACAAACTTCTAGGTTAGAAACAACTACATCTGTAGTTAAAACAAACTGCTTACCATAAATTTCGGTAAACCGATTACCAAGACACTTCCGTTTTAACGAATTTCTAGTCCTTCTCATAGTGCACATGAGAAATCGCATACAAAAATGTCACAAAATGAGCAGACACTATCACAACCACGAATAATTTACATGTAACTTGTAATTACAAAGAATTTAAGTTGAAAAGAGATGCAAATCGGAAAACAGCCTTTGGTAAGTCATCTGTAGGCAAATAAACAAACTAAATTTCCCACATATACGACCTAGAACAAAATTTATCCAAACTCTACACATCACATTGGCCTACGTAAATTCATTTTCAGTACATTAGTAACACCATCCTGCTGTACGATAGTGATTTGGAGATAAAAGCATTCCTAACCTTCACACTAGCTGTAAGTGGCTGGCTCCCTGCTATGGCCATATTTACTCACAAGCAATTAACTCCCTGGTACCTATTACAGGAAAGGCTACAGGAGGCCCATACATGTGTTGAAAATGGTGTTGAATAATTATCTAGAAGTGAAACCCAACCATTCACTCCACGGCAAATTACTCCAGTGACTACGCTCTCTTTAACCTCTCATGGGAACATGTCCTCAAGCTTTGAAGGCTTCATTTTTCTGGAAATTTAGACTGATGCACTCATGTGCAGCATGAGTAATGTGATTTTTTTAACTACGGTTTGAAAATGTTTACCATCGTATATCATTTTGTTGAACCGGTACCAGAAATGTGCTAAACATTACTTTTGCCACTAACAGGTATACCTATGTGATGAATACTGGCAAAAGAAATAAAACTTCTTTCAGAAATAACTGTACACACACTGTACAGACCAACATGACATAAACATTCTAAAACCAAACTACCCTTACTCCGATACCAGCCAAATGCCAGGTCAGATAGGAAGCCCCTTAACTATAACATATAGCAGTCAGTACTCACTGGAAAATGAAAATACTGAAAACCTTACAGTAATACTTTTATTTTGATCTTTGTAGAGTAAATAAAAAATAACAGTACAGTAAATATTACCATCTTCGATCAGTGATAAGTAATAATACTTGCATAAGAATATCAGCTGCCTATCAAGTACTGAATTCAGTTTTAGTACATGGAGTGTCATATTTTTAAAAATTGTAAACTGGATGATCATGAAGTTCACAAAAAATTAATACAAAATTATTTAATCTAAAAATACAAAGATTAAAATATCTCTTGCTCTAAAATTAATGTCTTAGAATTGCAACAATTTTTCATAATCCAACTCAGATCAGACACAAAGACCTGCAGAGAATAACTGTACAATATAAAATAAAGCACAATCAGAACCAATAGCAGGCCCAATCTTGTTTCACTATAAAGTAAACCTTTAAAGTGCAACCAAAGTTACAAACAGCATTTAATTTTTTCAAATGTAAGAAGAAAGAAATCTCTACACTATTCATTTGCTGAACAGATTTTGTAACCATCTTCTGTAAAATTAAGTAATATCTATGAAGTTTTTACAATGGGAAAGACAAGATACAAAATTATTTACAACATGAATGATGATGAACTCTAAATGCTAACACAATCATAACAACAGACAGCAGTTTCTAACCGGACGGAGCTGTCTAATCCCTTAGGCACATACTGCAAGTACTAATGATTCTTTATCATTATCAAACCATGCCAGTACACATCTACCATTAGTCCTTCACTACAGCTTACGTAGTTTTGTGAACTGCAATACTGAAACTGTTTGACCCAAATGTCTCATTAAAAATGGAATATTCTAATCAATGGCATTATGCATACCTGCTATTATGAGTAATTACATTATGCACATCCTGTAAATTCATGAGGTTGGATTAATACCAAAATTAACAGCAGAAAGAAGCTACATTACTTCTTGCTATCACCCTCATGTAAGCTTGCAATGAAGCAAGGCCAGATGCCTAAGAAACATGTCACTTCTCTGCACAACACTAACATTGCACAGTCTTTACAATAAATTCCAGTGTTGTTGAGGAGCCAGCTCTCCAGACCACTACCTGTAAATATTAATCAAGTTTCTTTCACAAGATTAGGCTTATTAAAATGAAACAAAATAAAGAATAGACAAAACAGTTTAAAATATGTAAATAATATTTTCATACTACACACACAGTCTCTTTAAATCATTACAGTCTGCTTGCACAATGCACAAATATTGTGCATATAAAGAATACAAATCTATATTGCCTATGGAAAATATGCAAAAGTTGGCATCCATGTTACTGATAGTGATGTGTTCATTGACCTGTATAATTAGCAGCAAACAGTGTGCTGAACTCAGTGACACAAATTAATACATGTATATTTTAAATATCGCCAGTAATATTGACATACTGATTGCTTGCTTACAAACTTCTTAAGTTGGCTCCATTAATATTTTATGTACATAACAGTCTTACCCATTAGCATCTGAATCTGTTATAGTATGATAATGATTCCGCATACAAATATAAATTAATACAATGGAAGTTTCTCAACAGTAGAATAAGCATACAAATAACCAATCAGAGATTACAATGTCAGTATAGCATACTAGTTAAAACAGCATCACCATAAAATGAATTTTTCATTTATAGAATGTCAAATTTTCATAAAACTGACTTATGATTAAGAATAATATAAATTTAATACATAAGGGCCATGAACACATTACACCAGACACATCTTCATAATCCAAATATATGGCTCTTTTAACTGCACTTTATAACAGATTTAATTTGGGGAAGAATTTGGAAACTGCTCCAGTAAACTCTGTGATTTTTCCAATTACCCTTTGATCAGTACATTTTCTATAATCTGCCAGACCCCATGGAGTGTCTTCATATTTTTGTAATTTAAATAATTTCAAGTATCATCACAAGTCATTCACCTTCAAAACATTGCACTTTCCAAATTGATCCATAAACAAACTAAAATTTAAACTAATGATATATGATAAACTTCACATTTCATTTCAACTTAAATTTTTTCAATAAATTATGGGAAGACAATGAACAGGGACTTCAACAGAGTAAGGTTCCAATGGCAGAAATTCTAAACACCCACAGCACCAAGAAATACATAATCTTAGTGTGGAAATACTGCTGAAAAAACTGTTTAACTTTCATTTTTCTCATTTGCATCTGATGCATTCTAGACAACATGAAGATGCCTGTCTTCTGGAATGTTTTGCCATGTGGTTTCGTAGAAGTAGTCTTGTAAAATTCTACATGACATAATATCTCAGAAGACAGTCATCTTCATACTCAGTGCTATGAGAAGTTTAAATATACACAATACATGAATTCATTAATCTTTATCATACAAGAGTAGTATATTTAAATTCCCATACTTTGGGGCAGGTGGCTGGAGTTTAACTCCTTAAATATGGGTAGTGGTACTTGCTTCTGCAACCACAAGTAAGCCACGACACATGACCGACAAAGTTTAACCATCTAACGACATTCTTAAGTTAAAGTAATCTTCAATGAGAAATGGAACACAGGTCTTATATTGGAGGGAGGTGGGGAAAAAAAACACCAAGTACAATGTCTCAAAAGTTATGCACACAATTTACATATTAGTGAGCTAAACATAGTACAAATACAGTACAAGAGAACATAAAATTATTCACACTATTATCTTACCAATTCTGTTATATTTTATATAAGCATGCTGGTACCAAAGAGGCCCAGTGAATGGCTAGGTTAGACGAGGAATAAGAATTGTCAATATACAGTACTTCAAGTGAAGTATATAATGATTACTGACAAGCTAGTGGCAATAACAGTGTTCAGTTGCGTTCATTCACAGTGTATAAGAGTTCATGTTTTGAGAAACAGCATGGTGAGGAATATTACTACACAATTTTCAGACAGCCCACAACAAGACTGACACCACCAAACCTTCAAAAATAGAAGCATGCTTTTTCTTAGTGTAGCACTGCAAAGAGAGTAACTGGCACTTCAAGGAACTGCAGCACTTAAATTTTAAAACAGATTATCATATTGGGGCAAAATGTCACATATCTTAATTTTTATCACTGCACTTAACAGAATCCTAGCCACAAAATTTTTATTCTTCTGATATCACATCACAACTTTATGGCAACCTTTGCAGTATGTGAAACTTTTGAGACATGTGTTTAAAAAATTGAAAACTGTCTACTACTCTCACGCAATTCCTAACGTATTGAATCAGCACTAGATTGTGGTAGCTATCTCAAAAGAAATTATTATGTACACCTCCTTGCATGGAATGTTATAGGCAACATGATTATCTTTGTCTGGAATGAATATCTACAGTAAATTTGACTATTATACTTCTAGTTAATAGCATTCAAGGTCCTTTCTCAGTAATCCTAGTTCTAAAATAAAGAGTAAGTCAAAAGTAGCTTCACACGTTCAGAATCCTGTAATTTTGTATACCTGATTCAAAATGCACCAACTGTGGCAATAACATGACAACAAAATGGTGATTTACACTGGTTAAGAGAGGTTACAACAAGTATTTTGGTTTCAGGTAACAAAGCCTGTAATTACAGGCGACTAAAAATATTTTAGATTCCGGACCTTACTCAAACTTTTTTTGTGGGTATTCACTGAGGATAGGGGTTTTATCATCTGCCATTACAGACCACTGCATATATTTCAAGAGCCACACCCAATATTCAGCAGATAATGGCAAGAAACTAATGAAATTATATGATTTGAGCATACAGCAATGCTACTTATTTCTTTTCTGTGTTATAACAGTAAAGTTTTACAAGCCTTGAAACCTGTGATGCTACTTCTAGCTTGCTGATGTATTATAACAACATACAATACTTTCCCTGTAGTCTCATTTACAATTAAAAACAGCATAAATTTCTCTATAAAAATACTAAGGAAATATTTCATATAACATTTATAATACAAGTTATTATAATTAATTATAGTAGTAGTCACAAAGATGGACACTTCCCCTTATGAATGAACACTTCTCAATATGGGCGGATTAAGTATAACTTTTAGGCACTGGCAGTTACCATGCTAGAATATTACCCATCCTGATCTGAGACTACTTTCAGCAGCTGCCTTACAAGTCTCATACATAATTCTCTTTCCGTTGAACATGACAGATAGATTAAAATTAAACATTTCATCTCTCTACCACACAGTTGAATCACAGCTGTACATTTAACACATAAGTCATTCACATCATTCTCCAGTCTTGATTATCTTAAGCCATTGAAATGTCAACATGTCTTTTTGACTTCCTCAAAATACATAAATATTGAGACCTATCAGGAATGAAGCATTCATGTTAACTGAACCATAAAAGTAAGACAAGACTTTTTAATTTTTCTCCAAAGTGTTAGCAGGGATAACACGGCTAACACGAATGCTCCACCCGATACCTACGTGTATTTCACAGAGAATAAACTAAAAAAAATTTCATACACAAGAAAAGAAGGAGTGTAAATGTCAAAGGAAAGCACTGTCCATGATGAGCAGTTTCACAAACAATATGCCAAATACACATTACCATCTTATGCACACTCTACAGCCATGGGAAAGAAAGTATGATGCAGTTAAGTTCATCTTAACTCTTTCACTGTTCAAGAAAAATGTCAGTTGGTTACATATTAGCCAATATTTAAAAAATGACAAAAAAAAACAGTATTTCATCCTTGCACATGTATATATCAGCCAAAAAATCCATAAATATGGTTTAACTGTAGTACTAAACCTTCCTTTCTCTTTCAATAAATTTCTATGTTTTTTGGCAATCTTGGGTGTCCCATCAGTTATACTACATAGGCATTTTTGAAGGTTATCAGAAGAAAAGTAGCAGTACAGAAAATTTATCTGATAGTCTCTTTTCACAGTTTCATCTAATGTTTTAATGCAAACATTTATAAAAATACTAATGTATGTAAAAGCAGATTATGAAAACAAATGTAATCATGAAAACAATATGATACATTTAAACTAAGAAAATAGAAAATTTGCCCTTTATCCAGTTGGATATTAGTATCCATTATGACAGAAGGGTGTATAACTTTTAACAATATTTGCATACTGAAATCATTCAAAAATGTTTTCTATACAGTTTGATCATTTTCTGAAAAACATAATTCTACTTCCAATAACAAAACCCTAATATGTATGGTGAATGAAAATAATGGTATTTCAATACTTACTTCACTGTACTCAGTAACTAGATAATGATGTGATGCACTTGGTCAGCAAATCAAATTACAAAATCCTAGGTCTGTAACCATGGAGCTAAATGTTAATCACACTAACAACATACTTCTGTTCATAAAGTGAAGAAAAAGATGCATATATACACAGATTAATAAGCTGAGAGGTGCCCCAATATTAATTTCTATAACATAATATTGTCATGAATAATACTGAAGTAAGAAGAGTCAAGAGTTTCCAACAGACACATTGCTAGCACTACAGTACCTGACTTCTGTTAATTTTCAATGCAGAAATAAGAAATAATTCAAGTTTCCATAGTGCGAGAAAAAAGTGAGTGTACTGACACTGTCACTGGATTGGACGTTTATGTAGCCAGTTAGTGAAACGTGCCCGAAAGTTCTTTGTTAATACTCTTTGGTTCTGAATACTGAAAAACAAATACAAATTTCTTGTTGACTCCTCTGGTATTAAACCGATACATTAAATTCTCATGTGATTAACTCCCCTTCTCTCCCTTCCCATGACATTCTAAAACTGACAATATTGCTTTGAAATATTTGTTGATAAAATATTTCCACTTTTTATAAATTAATTATGAAGGATCGATGCTGAATAGGCAACACAGAACCTTACAATTAAACAAATAATAGAATTTCAAAATAAAAATTAATGTAACTCTCAGGTCTGAATGGGAAAGGAAACTAAATTGTTGCCTTCACTTATAGGAATGATTTCAGCCCACAGTTACATTTTATATACTTATTTCATGCAATTAAGAAGCTACCATCAAATTTCAAATGCAATTTCTGGTGAACCTACCAGCAATACTTACATATGTAACGCACATGTTCATATCTGAACAACTGACTTACCTGAAGTGACAGCATTTTCTTCAAAATGGACAAATACATTTTTTTAAGCATCTGTATCAACGAATGAAATAAATTAAAAAAAACTGTTCAGTACCGACAATGTTTCAGAGCATTCAAACATCTGACAAAAGCCACTTCTTGGTAAGTAAATATATTACTGTTTAACTGCTTTCAGAATACTTGCATTTATACACATCACTCAACAACATACAGCTTTGAATACCGATTAATAAAAAAAAGACACTAATCACTTTTCTGCAACACTCCAATTCTGTTACATAATGATTTTGATCTGGCATTACTGTTTAACCTTCAAAGATAACCAAACAATGTCATGCCATATAAAACAATTATTAATAAAAGAAGGTTTTAAGAAAATAAATAAATTTTTCCAAAACATATGGTCTCTGATAATGTTCTCCAATGAACCATAATTTAAGCCAGTGTTCAGGATGAGATACATACGCAACGTTCAGAGTTCAACCAAAAATGACCAACTGAATTTCAACCTGATCTCAAAATGGACAGGCCAAACACATTAATGCCTACAACAGTATGGAATGTCTTTCATCATCTATCTCTTCTCCATAATAACTGGGCATACACATCAACTCCCAAGGTTTGACTTTTTCATTAAAACTTATATTGTATTTTTGGTTTCACAGGTATAACTAAAATCTATGTCTTGATATGACTAAGAATATCCACATGAAAAGAGTATCCCATTCTTGCACTATCAGAATGGAGCACCTGTTCCTTCTAAAGCCGCAAATTGCTTTCTAGCTATTTTGTCTTTACAGTCTCCCTTTCCAAAGTACATTTCCCGCATCTTTTCTTACGGTGTAATGCTGTATCTGTAAATGTATATCATGCTACAACATATATAACATTTCCAGCATGCACAGAAATACTGACCTAATGAAATGAGCACCAAATGGAAGGTAATGCAACATGCTTTCTGCAATTCTTTGTTTAAAATGGATTCATGTGTAAATATTACAAAAGAAATATGACAGGACTGGGAAGTTTCTCATCATTTAACTATAATATCTGAAGTAGTCCCTCACAGATGAAGAATGCCTTCATCTTTGCCTGCTGTTCCACTACCACTAGTGGTTAGATGCGCTGAGCCCGAGTCATCCAAATTCCCACCCGTGAGATCCACAATCTCATCTTGATCATATCGATCATCATCAGAACCAGTTGTAGTAGCCGAATGAGTCGACTGCTGCGAGCCCGATGACAACTGGCTCGTACGGGAGAAGGAGCCTCGACGTGGTGGCGCAAGTGTACGCTGGTTTGCAGGTTTCACTGTGATGATCAAATTGGAGCTGTTTGCTACCATCATATCTGTGACCTGTACAACACACTTACAACTGTAACTTCTCAATACAGTCTTCACCTAATATTAATACATCAGGGTGATTAATTAAATCTGTAAGGATCAGCCGGAAAGGTCATGTAGCCTGTATAGAAGATATAAGAAATAAATACAGAATTTTGGCTGATGAATATCAAAAGAAGATACAATTGGGGGGGGGAACCATCCATAAATGAGCTATTATTACAATTGAATGCAGTGATATAAGTTGTGAAATGAATGACATAGCAATAAAAATGTTAACTGTGATCTTTTGGTTTGTAACATTATGTAGGTACTTACCAGTGTTTTGGAGGAACGCATCATGTTCTCCATCTGAAGATGGAGGCAATACATTTTCCAAAAAGATAACCAAGTATACGATTACACATTGTCACAACCCAAAAGAATTCATCTGCTCAGCACAGGGAGCATTAAAGTGCAATATTATTAACATGGGGCTCTTTCACACCACCACTCGTGACTTAAATTACCATTAGCTCTCATGTAAGTGTAACTTTCTAGATACAACTGTACCAGTATGTGACTTCAGAAATGACATTACCTGATCAAGAGTCTTGCCATTGACCTCAATACCATTAACCTCTAGAACTTCATCATTGACTGCAAGGAGTCCTGTACTCTCTGCCAAGCCACCTGGTACCAAACGTGAAATGAAGATACCAGGCACTTTCTCCAGACCAGCCGGTGTAACCCGAACGGATGTACCATCTCGGATGTAAAATCCCAGTGGTTTATCTGAACCATGCTTCAACAATCGCACTCGACGACACGTCTCAGGTACAATATCAACATCAATTATTGCTGACACCTATCAAGAAAGATGGTTACTTTTACTTAATCTCTTGTAACTGATAAACTTTACTGCCATCTGATTTTTGACAATACATATTTTTCAAATGTTTATAACTACAATAAACATAATCAAATATAACTCACAATTCACTATCCTCATCACACAGTTCCAAATTAGTAAGAATTTCAAATCAATCAACAGTAAGAAAGAGCTATTATACTTTCAACGTCATGAATACATAAAGTGCGTTCATACTGATGACTATAATTATTTTTTATTTCATAAGTGTAATATCTAAATAATACACATCTCAATTTCATCACATGACAAAAGATAGAACAAGAGGAATGACTTAAAACCAACCAAACATGCACAGTAATTGGAAAAAAAAGTGCATATGCATCTACATGCATAAACCATCGAAGGATAAATGTGAAAGCTGCAATTTCTGTTCACTTTCTTACCACAATATGGCAGTAATAAATTAGAAAAGTGAATATTAACTCTCAATAAGGTATGACCTACTTATTCTGAGGTCCTGGCTAAGCAAATGCCTAAGGAAGATAATACAAAGAAAGTGTAACTGCACTCTGTGCCACAAAAAGACCACAAATTTGTACAACATAATTGCTACCTCATTTGAAAGACTCTAATATAGTTACACTGAACCACTATGTTTTTTATATTGAATGACACAAAGGCTGTGAATGATAAATTACCAGGAACCTTGAAGTGAACACTTCAACTGAGATCCAATCCCAGAACTCCTTGAATATGACAACAGTGCCAAATATTATGCCATTATATTTGGTTTTATTTATTTATGCATTTATTTATAGCTCATTTAACAATGCTTACAGTAGTTCAGACTAAAAATCATTGAATTTGATGATGACGGAAAATAATGAATTGGAAAAGATGTGGCCATGGCCTAATTATGGGTACTATACCAGCATTTTCCTGGTGGGACCAAGGAAAACCGCAGAAAAGCTCGGTCAAAATAACCACTCTCTGGGCCAAAATTTGAACCCAGTATCTCCCAAATACAAGGCAGGAGTGTCAACCACTAGACCATGACATTCAGTATGATATTTTGTGGAAGATTCTTTGTAATCACCTTTAACCATTACAACATTAGTAAGTCTGCATTTATTACAGTGTACACAAGAAAATTAGTTCAAAATGTCATGATGACAAGTTACATACCTAAAGATTAATAATGTTAATGATGAGAGAAAACAAAAACATTCCAACGAAATGACAACCTTCACAGGTGGACTTTCACATCTGTTTCTTCTGTCAAACAGGTGGCTTTATTTGTGAAATCTTCCTTTACCTAAACATCCTGTTTTTCTACTTTTAGTTCTTCTTTCGGTATAATAAACTTCAGTACAAACCTCTTTAGTATTACAAATATGAACAGAGAAAGAAAGCTTACTTGTCTGAAATCATGCGGATTTGAGATACAAAGATGGGCCTTTGGTCGGCCAGGTGTTCCCAAAATGGAAGATATGAGGTTGCGAGGCTTGTATGTACCATAGCCATTTAACTCCTCCAGACTTTCCCCTGCAAGGAAACACACACAGATGCAACTATTCAGTTGGAGGGGGGGGGCTGTATAAATACAATTCAGTACCTTAAAAATACCATTTAAAAATTCATTATATATTGTTTGAATAATTATTACCATTTTAAATATTACTGATGTTGGTGTCTCAACAAATTCCTACAGAAAAAAAGCAACTGTTTATGTGTTACCAGTAAAGAGAAACTAACTTTCAGCAACCAGAAAATCTTAAAACCTGGGTAATACAAATCATACATGATGGGGGGGAAAAAAGAACACTTAATGAAGACAGATCCCAAATTTTCCTATACACAAGGCATGACAAATCTACATGTATCAATCTATATAAGAGGCAAGTGTCTGTATCTGCATCCATTCTCGCTTCATACAAGGACTCCAAAGTTACCGCCATGGTAAGAAATACTACTGGCACTTATTTTCCAAAAGTGCTTTTAGTACTGTCAATTCGCTCTTCTTCTGTCTTCAAGTGATTCAAAATTACACTTTCACAGACAATTTCAGTATCAGGAACATGAAAATGCAACACAAGGGCAAATCAGGTATTATGGATGTTCCAACATTGATAGTTGATCTTTAGCACAATTTAAGGTGCTATACAAGCAAGCATTTGCCTGGTAGGACAGAAAACCACAAAAAAAACCTCAGTCAGGATAGCCTGTCTCTGAGACGAGATTTGAATCTGGGGCCTCCAGAAAACGAAGCTGAGTGCTAACCACTCGGCCGCGACTGTTGGTCCGTCTCGTATACTGATAGATGACAGAAGTTAAATGCGACCAACAATTTCTGGTGTGGATTTCAACTTAAAGTTTAAGTGAAATCCGCAGGTGGGTGGACGAAAATAAACCCAACCTGACGACTGTCTGGGAGGTTGCCCAGTGTAATCTCGCAGAAACTGATCGACGTTTCAGAGCTGCTTACTGCAGCAAGCACCTCTGAAATGTGGGTCAGTTTTTACCAGACTACAGTGCGCAACATCCCAGTAGACATACTCGCCGTCAACACAACCTCTCTTGCATTCATACACTTCATCGTTTCTTTTGTGAAGAACAGAAAAGAAATCAATGTGTAAAATGCGTTTTTATATTTCAAAAAAACAGTCGTTTTATTTCAGCTAACATGAGAGCCAGGAACCTAGAACTTGCAACTTTCTACCTAACACGTGGTAAATTCCTTAGTCAACACAGCTTTTGTGTCATTAGCGACAGGAATACAAATCTAAGCCAACTAAACACGATGACTGAGAATATGGGTTAACCAGAAAACAAAACAGCCGTGTACAGAATTGACCACAGGTGTCCATTTGTGTAACAATGTGCAGCGAACAATGGCTGACTCATACTAGAGATAAGTACCCAACATGTCGGAGTCCTCCCTCCCATGAAAAGCTTGCAACACAATAACTACGCACTGAATACGATAAACTATTTACGTTCTTCTCTCTGACGTGACAAACAGGCGTTGACCTAAACAAAAAAAAGCTGTGGGGTTAACCCGACAGTCTCCCGGCTCATTTTAATCAGACCCGTGGTTATACTCTGCTGCGTCGCAGTTCCTTCAGTAGTTCCTGAACCAAGTTTGTCCATATTTCCTGAAGATGAACATCTTGCAGCAACACTGAACACGAATTACGAAATTCTTAATAAGGCAGGAAGGAGACCTCTCGAAATTCTGAAGGACTATTTGCATGTATTCATTTATCTGCAGGTCATTTAAACACGCTGTCAGTAGTTCAGGCAATATAGCGTTGAATGATGGGATTAACAATTAATTGGAAAGGGCGTGGAAGGAAGCGGTAGTGGCCCAAGGTACTACCCCAATATTTGTCTTGTGGGACTGTGTGAAACCACAAAAAAAAATATCATACGATATATGACAACTCGTCTCCAGGACGAGACTTGAACTTGGGACTATAGAAAAGAAAGGAGAGACGCTAACCACTCGGCGGCAACGTCTCAGACGTTCGTTCGCGAAGAGAACCGGTAGCAATACTTGGAACGAAGCGACCGGTACAACGCTCTGAAGAATTCAGTCACTCGGAACAATAAAACACGCAGTTAATTTTCCCCCCTCCTTGGGAAACGGAATTAATTCATGTAAAATGTGAAAGTCAAAAAGAGCGTGGTAGAAGAAACGTATGTATGCAGTTGTTCACTTATCTTACAGATAGAATCCTAAGCGGAAAGAATGCATGACGAAAGTTTCTAATTCTACAAGAGGTTCATTCTACATTCCTTTCCGTCAAGATAGTGTTTGCTCTCTTTTTACTTCAAACAGGATTTATTACAAGGCTGACTAAAATTACGAGTATTCAATAGACGTTATTAACATTAATCACATAATGACAATAATAATGTGTTTCAACAAGGAATATTAACACCATCTGTCTACGGTCCTGTCAAAGTCCGCCCTCAATCAGCAACATCTGAATAATTCAAAGTACAGTACTATGCGCTTGAACAAGCAAGTAACAAAACTGTGGACGACCTTGAAATATTTCAAAGCACTATTCAAGAATTTGCTTTACACGAAAGGCAAAAAATTTCGGTGATACGATCAGGCCTCAGACATGAAACAAAGTACCCCACAAATACAAAGGGGTGTGGTAAACCTTTCAATAAGAGTGGGTGATCACATGAAATATCCAAGTAATTACAGTCTCAGTAAAGGCAGCCATGACAAATTTGTAAAATATCTGGGAAGAACCTTCTTATTCACAAATTATGAAACACAAATCGAAGGTGTGTCACTCAGTGACTATGTCATGACGTCATCTAGGGATCCCCAGCGTTTCGGGGGGATTCCCCATGTAACAAGAAACACTTGTACACACAGAAACATTTATTAGGTCTTCATGTAAAGTGCCTATTATTGCCATCTAATTTCAACCAAATAGGTCTTCATGTAAAGTGGCTATTATTGCCATCTAATTTCAACCAAAATTGGAATGTAATGATATATTTAATTAAATTCCCCCCATTATTACTTTTAATGAAAATCCATTCAGCTGTTCTCTCAAGTTGTTACATGCAGGCATGTCCAAGCTAACATGTGCATTTTTGCAAATTTCAGTTGTGAACACACCCCAAAAAATTGTGGTAACATAAAAATCCATATTTTTTGTGAAAAGCTTCGTTTTGCTAGACACTGTACTGGACAAGCGCAAACTGATAATGTATGCCAGGAATCCCATCTGTCAAATGAAGGGCCCAAAACAGATGTACCCACCAATCTCATTTGTAAGGAACAAATAAAAAACATAAAAAAGTTTCCATTAGAATAAGATGAAATATACTGGAACATGAATTAATTTCCCAATGTTGTTTCACCTTACTTATTAATAACTGAAATTTATTATTTCTTCCTTTTCAATAGATATGAGAAAAGCCAAAGTATTGCATACAAAAGCAGCCAGGGATATAATCATCAGCTGAAGAGGATGGACTCATGAATAAATCAGGTATAGCCTTGGGACTTCATAAATGGATGTACTTACAGTCTGCATAGTAATGAGGAACTCAGGAAACATTCCATACGATTGCAGGCACATGCCAAAAGTGGTTGGCTTTTATTAACAGGAATTAATAAATTAAACACAAAAATGCTTGAAAAGAGTACAAATATTTATGTTTCCTGTGGTATATTTAATTACTTTTGTTAGTTAGAAGTAATGAGGATGTTTGAGAACAAAGTCCAGAGAGAATAAACTGAACCTCACAGAGGAACACAGTTGCTACACAACAATGGCTGACTTCCAGAATTACTCAGACAGAGCCATATCCAATACTAAATGCCATTAAGATTCAAATGACACATGGCTTGTCATCTGTAGAACACTACTGTGAAAAACAAAAAAAAAGAAAATGTGACATAGATGAATGTTCTAATAATACAAAATCAAATAAATTCAACTACACTGTCAGCAACATGATGAACAATACCTACCTTTCCTCTGCACGATGACCCTAAGCAGTGGACGGGCTGTGAGCAACGCACGGCCAAGGTTGTCGTCATTGTTGATAGGTAAGAGGTCTCCATCCCGAGGATCTGTATATGAGATGAGGAAAGGCACATCGGCCAAACGGTGCAATTGCTCAACCAGCCCCCTGAACTCTTCATACTTGCCAGCATTTTGTCGTGACACAGAGAACCGACGGAACTCTGCATCAAACTGGAAGAAATAATAATTACTGTGAAACTACTACTGCTACTTTTCTGTCTTTTCCTTCTTCTCATAAGATGATTTAACTTCAAGTGGATCACCTGACAACCTAGAATTCCCACAACTCCTTCGCAATTTCTTTCCAATGTCTTCCTTCCTGCTGTGTGGCATCTTTCCTAATATGTTATTCCCCACTTCATCCCAATCTCCATCTTGGGCATTTTCCTTTTCACGTACAAGTTAAAAATATTCTTTGGTATTTTCTCCCCATTCAGTCTTGAAATGTGGAATTATAACCTCAAATAGTGAATTAACAATGTAAATTATAGGAATTTGCTAAAAATCAAACAAAATCTTAGCACAAGTACCTGTAGTAAATAACCACATCTCAAATGTGGTATCCTTGTTTTTCAGTTATCCACATTCATAGTAGAGTTTTTTGGTGCTGCATCACATTGAAAAAATTAAAATATTGGGACTTTTTCAACATACCGCAACATCCAAAATACTCTGAAAAACATCTCCATTCTTTGTTTATTGTGTCTTTTACACTGCAATACATTTTCCTTTCTCATACTCCACGATTACTTGCCATTCCCATTTCCTTTCTCCCATTATTTTATCCATTCCTTCTAACCACGTTCGATTTCCTTACTCCACGTTTTGCAGTTGCATACAAAACTTAATGTAGCTGTGCTGTAAAACAGCAACATTTATTTTCTCTGTCTGTCCATAAATGAACACTCCACACACAAAACATTTCATGTCACCTTTCCATTGGAAATAGTGTTAAAATGAAACAATGCGTAAACAAACAAACAAACAAACAAAGAAACAAAATTTAACATTTTAGTCCGTCATCTGTGTACTCACTAGTTTTCCAGCCAAAAATCTGTATACTTCTCTCTCCCTGCATGCTGCATGCACTTCCCATCTTAGTCTCCATGAAATCATCACAATAATAATATTTGGTAAAGAGTGCAAAGTATGAAGCTCAGTGTGTATTTTTCTCCAGCTTTTTGTTGGTTCCTCCCTCTTAGGGCTACATACTCACCTCATCACCCTTCTTCAAACAGTCTCAATCTATGATCATCCCTCAAGCTTCACACCAATACAAAATAGGCAAAAACATGGTTTTAAATATTTTAATGCTTGAGTTTTTCAATAGGTACAGTGACTTCAAAATATTCTGAACTGAATGGTAGCAAGCAAGAATACGAATATATATATATATATAATGATGACTACGACCAACGTCCACATTTTCACGTCACCTCTTTAAGTGTGTATGAATGGAAACTACAATGTTTACAACTATCTCAAATTAGAACGTACATAATCAACAATTTCCACTCAAGTTGTAACACGTCATAAATTATTTTACGACCATGTATTGTTCAACTATAACAAGAATAACGCAAAAATATCATAAAGAGTTGCATAGCACTTCGTTACATGAAAGGGGAAGACAGGTAATTAGCCTTAGTTACTCACCTTGCTTTTCACCTCAACAGTGCCGCTGTCAATTTTAAGTTGACTTTTGGAGTTCTTCGACATTGCGGAAACATTTAAGACTTCACCTCCCACTTACACCGAACATCAGAAACATAAGAACTAAATAAAACATCACACATAGGCACACTCACGACCAGAATTCTTCACATTACTTCATTTTTCAACGACTCGTCACACTAACCACGAAACGAGTGAAAATGACGTCACACGCACCTGCTCCACGCTGCACCAAACTTGGTACATTTACCGACTATTGTTACTACCTCATATTGTCTGACAGAAAAAAACAAACAAAAATCTAATAACTTTATAATATTACAATTTATTTCCCAGTACTTCAAACTGAAGCATAAATTTATTCAGGCGTCTGTGAACGAACCGGAGCTAAAACGAGCGGAGCAGATCTGAGGTGCAATGTAATGAAACCAAAGGAGTGAAGCCACAACAGGCTCACAAACATTACTGGATAAAAATATATCTATAATTTTTTTAATTTGTGTGTGAAAGTAATTGATATGTTCAATGGATCGTATGGATATGAAGAACCTAAAAGCAAAGAGGAGCGTGACGAATTTAGGAATAAATTACGTCAGCACAAGAATGAAATCAATAACCCTTGTATAAAGGTTGGTATAGAACACAGTTAATACCAACATAAAAGATAGTACAGCTAGACAAAAAATATTAATGTTTACATGAACTAGTTGCTGGACGTTTTCTCAAGGCAGGCGAATTAACTTCGCACTGTATTTGACACTCGTCTAAATGTCCTCTCATCTACGTCCAGGTTTCTAAAGTGATCCTTACCTACAGATTGTGTATCAAAATTAACTTTTGTGTTGTTGTAAGCTATATCCATTCTTAATATGATCACCCAAATTATGTAGTAAAGAGAACAAATTATGAAGTTTTCTGTATCCCATTTATTCCTGTTAACATTTAATGTCCATGCTTCACACTAGAGGGTACCTTTAGCCAGCTTTACTTCCACTTGCCTGAAAATTAAGCATGGTAAGAAACTACTTTTAATTACTGAAACACAAATTTTACCCTTAAAAGGGAAGCAGCAGTTACCCAGATTACTAACCATCAACAAGGTGTATAGTGTCACAACCCAGTAGATCGATTTCCAAACTCCTATTGCCATTAAAATGTCAATCTCATGTTCATTTATTGTTTACTGATGCAGGAAAATGATATGGTTTTCAAGTGCTTGGAGAACAACAACTATCAGCATGACAAATGTACTGACTATTTTCAGAACTACAACAGTTGCAAAACTTTTTGGGTATGTGTTTTTGAATGCCTTGGTCATTTTTAACTTAGCAGTACAAAATTAAATAAACAAAAAAAAAATGAAATACTTTTGTCTCTAGGGAAAAATCCGTGCAGAGAGAAGACAGCAGGGTAAAGTGCCTCATCTGCCTCCACTTGAGGAACGTGAAAAGATTCGAGCTCACTATGTGACAAGTAAGAAGTCTGCAAACACTTAGTGGCTGAGTTTGCAAGCAAAATGTGGCAGAAATATTATGCAATGAAACTTCATCAACTTGTATAACATTATCTAGGATCTCATCAAAGTGAAATACTAGTGAACTCTCAATTGCAGTGGTTTATTGGAAATTTTTCATACTTTAGAACTTTAGCATATATCTGTCACTATTTTCCTTACTGTCAATGATTTACTTTTATATACCAATTATTGAATTAAAGGTACATATAATTATCTTCCACAAAACTTGGTTAAGTTACTATATTATATTTTCATTTAATTATAAAGCAAAATAATTTAAACTATTCTTTTTACCAGAAAATGTTGAACTTTTCATGTCACTGTATATATAGATTTGACTGCTTTGCAAGTTACAGAAAAAGACTCAAGTAAACCACTTCATTTCAATAACTGTGTTCTTATATTTATTTCCCATGTTTTAACTTTGTTTATTTGTGTTATATGGTAACTTTTAATTTAAATTTACAATAGTGAAATTAAGAAAAGTCTATGAAGTTATCATTTGTTTATATCACTATTTCCCTTCTTTCCTTCCTGTAGTTGATAAATTTGCAAGTACAGTAATCTGGCAGTTTTTTTCTTATTGACTGATGTTTCATATTATGTAATACTGATATTTAACATGTAATTTGTGAAGTTATTTTTTCAAGTTATAAAGAAGTTATGTCACAGTACTGTGAGTTTATGAAAACTAGTACATCCTAATAGAAAAAGCATCTTTTACAATTCATAATTAGATGTTCAACATTGCCAAGGAGCACATGGTGACCATGAAAACTTGGCATTGAATCTGAGGTTCATCTAAAATTATCCAGTAAAGTAAAGAGCAAAGTTGTCCTGGGTACTTCACTAGATTATTCTAACTGATCAGTGAGTTTCAGTTTTATGTATGTGTATTTGCCCTCATTCAGCTTATCATATTTATAGATATAAATTCTGTCATGGAAAAATCCTGTTCTCTGGGATCTTCTTGAAATATTAGGCAGTTACAACTATAATTACACAAAAACTGCTGCCATGTCAAATATTAACATATTTTGAATCAGTTTTTTAAAATAATCTGCATTTCATCCAGAGGAAGAAAAATCAATCCATGCAAATTAATTTTCTTGAAATATAGTCAATATATTTTATCGATTACATGTATATTTGAGGATGAGAGATGGATTTTACATCATGCAATATGGTCTTCAGTCAGCATAACATATCTTTCTCTTTTCTTGTGTATTTAAACAATAACAAAACAGAGGCACAACAAAATGCATAAAAATTACACTGAGAATCAACCCTACAAACTACACCTGATTATGTACAAAACATAACCAGCTTTGTCATGATTAAAATAAACTTTGCACTGTATTCTTTAAAGTCCTGGAATAAGACTCACAATATAAAAATAAAGTAAAGTCCAATGCTACGAGGGTGGTTAAAATTCGAACTGGAATTTTGATCAGTGTGTCGATAGTATTATTTGTTTCATATTAGGTGGTATTTTCAAGGTACAAAAACAATACTACAGACTATACAAAATGACATTGTTGTTTGTAAGAAACAATGAAAATTCCTTGTCAAGTTTTAACTCCCTTTGTAAATACTATGCAGCTAGTGAAGTAATCTACAAACATTAACATTGGTGCTTCATGCTGAAAGAATGGTAATACAGAGAACTTGAATTTGAGAGTAAAATATTTTGTGTGTGTGTTCAAGAGCACTATACTATTCATCAAGAACATGAAAGCACTTTAAGCCAGGGTGGTCATAATAAAATTTAAGTTGCAAAATGTTTTAAGTGCTTACTGCAGAAACATTTCTATACCAGAAAATCAGTCATCTTTTGTGTAGTTTTAGTTATTCAGTTTACACCCATCATATTTTAAAATTTGTCTTCATATTATAGATGGAGATTATAAGCACATGACAGAAAACTTACACTTGGGTATCTTGAATTATTCTGGAGCTTTTCAGCCATGATGATAAATGTCACAAAGCATATGGGGCTATCATAACTGACCAGCTATAGTCACTTGCAATGCATTTAGAATGATATGTTATTTCTATGAAACTAGGTGTGAAAGTTACAGCATAATATGTAATTTTACAGGCCATATTCTTTAAATTTGTCAGCAGGACTAGTTTGGTAAGCACACTGATTATCACACTTGTAAAAGATGATTGAAGCTAGAAGAGTCAGTAGAATGCAGTGGGTTTTAAAAGTGAGCACTGATACACCACTAAATAAATTAAAGCTTTTATGGATGTCATTATTACTTAATGAATAAATAATAATGTGTCTGAACAAAGTATGGACTTTTTCTCATGAATATGAAAATACTTCTGTATGCATGTGAGAAAAACAGAACAATACACATCTGTTTGCTGATATGATGGTGATTTATGAGCCTTTGTAGCTATAAGATAGAATGATTAGAAATTATAAGCATACCTGCAAATTTTGTATAAAACAATGTTTCTGTTTAATAAACCATTGAATAAAGGCTTATAGGGGATACAGAGCTTAAGCTCAAAGTATGTTGTTTGTCTTCTGGTATAGATGTACAAAACATAGTTTTCACCTCAAAAATCATTAAATAACCACGGTAATGGTACTTAAGACTACCCTGGTTTAAAGAAATAAGTTTTAGGACAATATCCTTATAATACCTTAACTGTTTAAATAATTTTCTATTGCAATCTTTTTAAAGTTATTTCCAAATTACACAAAAGACAGAGATGTTCAAAGACTGAAGAATTTCAGATTTCATTATGCAGTATAATAAATTATATTTACAAATGCAAACATCCTGGGGTGCAAGTCATCATTAGTTAGACCTGGCATAAAGGAAAGTACTTACTTATTACAGCAAATGACATCACACAGGTATGGAAGAGAATACAGAGTATTCTGAAGCATGGAAATGTCTTTTGGCAGTTCTTTAATAAGTAATGCACATTCCTTTCTCTAGTAAAATGTTGCATACAAGGGCAACCCACCAATCATTCCATAATTATATCCAGACTGGACCATGGAATGCTGAGGTCTTTGAAGTATTTGTCTTTCTGCTTAGTGATGCCCATTCACAAAGCTAGAACATCAGATTTGCTTCTAAACATGTCATGACTACTATAATTAACCCTGAAAGAAATACTTGAATTTGTACCATTCCAGGTGGGACAAGCAATTTCTTAATAACACACGTCCTGTATAAAAATATACATTAAATGAGAGATATAAATGTATTTAATTTATATTTACTTCACTAAGTTTTCTCATTATTTTTTATTATTATCCTTTTTAATGGGACACATTCATATGGAATAGACACCATTCTCCATCAGTGTATATTTTATGCTATTTGACCTTAAATCTCACATAAAATTGTATTTATTAAAGACATAAAACATAAAAGAACTTCAGATGTAAGAAAAATTAGAAATGAAATGTTTAATTCAATGGAGAATTCCAAAAGTAAAGCCACCAGTCTTGAACATCCCTTACAATTTAACAATAGTTTTCACATATTTCATATACTTTGTAACTTAAACTATTATGCATGTGTATTACAGGTATATTATTTACACATAGGCTATTTTTTTGATAAAACAGTCATTCATTGTAGTACTACTGATACTGCAATAGTCTTAGCAAAAACAATGTACACTCAGGAACAATGAAAACACCCACTTCTGCTGTCCAGTACATCCTTGCTTGCATCCAAAGCTGGGTTCATACACACAAAGATAAGATGACCAGAACAGAAGAGCTTCTTTCACTCTCCCTACATAAAGCCTGAGTTTTATATTAAATAAACATCATTAAAACTGGATTTCAATTAACGCTTTCCAGGATTTATCACAAAATTATTGCAGAAATATTAAAAAACAAAAGAATTTCCTCTCATTGCAAAAAAAGTAATTAACTGTTAACAATGACTGAAAACGTGTTGCTCTTATTTTATTCATCTTTTCCGTCTGGGAAAAGTATTTTTTAACCGACAATCACTACAAACTTTGACAACAGATTTTCAAATAGGGAGGGTGTTGAAAATGTTAACAGGTTAGGAAATGTAATATATACAGCTAAAAAATCAATTTTGTCCAAAAAAAAAAGTGCAAGTCTTCATGTAAAGTGTCCATTATTTTTTTATTTTAATCAAAACTAGAATTTGTTGACATATTTTAGTACAACTCCCCAATATCAATTTCATGGAAATCAGTTTAACTAGTCACAAGCTGTTACATGCATACAGGCAGGTAGATGGAGCAATTTTAATAGGCACTCCACAGGGTTGCAAATGCATCAAAATGGAGTAACACACTTGAAATTGGAATGAAACCCCTATCTCATTTACCTAAAAAATTCCAATACTGAGATCTCATTGGACTTATAGAAACAAATAAGGAATTATTACGCAAAGATCTCAGTTCTGAAGGAATATATTTTTAATTCTTCCTACTGATATATCAATTATGCATGAGTATAGATCAAATTCCAAATTTAATGAAAGAAGATTTCTTTGACACCTTACATTACACTACCTAATTCTGAAAACAGCAGTTCTCAGACATTTACAAAATCACTTGATATGATGCATTAACACACAGCTTAATCTTTGGATGGTGTCTGACTGCTATGCAATTCAAAGACAACACAGAAAGAACTAATATGTGTTCTAGAACAAACAGAGCATAATTACTTAATGTTAATTTGCCATAACATATAATATTGACAAGCAATGAATATTACATACTTTTTCCAGCATAGCTTTTGAAACATTCTGTGTTCCCCAAAAGATTTACAACTCAGTGTCATGAACCTGTTATAGAAATCAAATGCAACATCCAAGGCTACGATTTTAACATATACCTTCATGTCTCAAGTAACATCACCTGAATTTCAATTAAATTTTGGAAACCACCATTTTAAAATGCATTAATATGAATAACACTAAAATAAGTTTACATACAGAGCATGTCACAACAAACATGTAATAACTCATATAAAACAATTCGTAACTTAATTATGCGTACATTTTATGGAATGGCCACAAATTGCTTCCCCACTTTTTAACCTAGCACTAGGTGAGGCGGTAAACTTTACACCAGGGAATGGGACCTGAAATTAATTTGACAAGAGGCCAGGTAGTCCCAGTCATTCTGGACATGGCAGTGAATAGAACATCCTGAAGCCCGTCAGGAAACAAACCTTCGTCATTCAACACATTACCAGTCACTTTACTCATCATGGTTCCTATTAAGTCTAGAACAGATAAATTAAAATAAATGGGTTATGGGTAGTCTCAAAATGTTGCATGTGTTCAGAGTATTGTAATTCTGCATTCCTTATGCAAAAAGTGGATATCATAACATAAAAACAGCTAATAAAAGTGCAAAAGTGTGTCAAAATTAAAAATTTGGGAACAACAGTAACAAATCAAAATTGCGTTTATGAGGAAATGTACAAAATAAAATTCAGGGAATGTTTGCCACTATGCAGTGCAGAATCTTTCGTCTTCTATCTAAAAACATAAAGATTAGAATATACAACATTATAATTTAACCACTTTCTTTGAAAAGAGTGTCTGAGAATATGGAACTGAAGAGAATATTTTGACCAAAAGGATGAAGTTACATGAGCGTGGAGAAAACAGTATAATGAGGGGCTCTATAATTTGAGTTCGTCACCAAATAATATTTGTAGAGTTTCCAAAATCTATTTATTCCCTAATCTCATAATAAAATTAATTCTTATCTGTTAATGTTGTTTCCAGATCTTTAATTTTTAAAGTTTTTAATTATTTTTTATGTAGTTATATTTTTACTTCCTGATTTTGGTTTTTTGCCATGTTCATATATTTAGTTTCATTTATTTTAACCTAGCCTATAAAAGCTCTATTTTATTCTTCACGGTATTTATATTCTCCCTTACTTACATCATCAGCACATTAACAAGTACCATGGCGATTTAGTTCGGTCTCTTCCTCATGTTTGTATTATGGGTATATGAAACACTGTTATGTATTATGGACAATCTGTACGTGTTAACACATACAGATATTATGTTTTGAAAGTCACATTTCATCTTATATGACTGCCACAGCTAAAGCCAAATTTAGAACTTCACAGACAGAAGCATCACCATTACAGTGCAACATTGTTTAATGATGAAGTCAGACTTCAATATAAATTGAAGTGACAACATAAGATGAACCACATAGAACATGGGGAAAAACATAAAACAGACTTCTTGCATCAATTGCAGTAATTTCTCCTAACCATTACTTAATACAGCTCATAAAATATACGTAAATATTTAGACTTCTGTATGCCCTCTTTCTCCCTACCTGGCCTGATTTACACAATGTCCACAAGTTTATACTAAAACATAACATTAGCATCTGTTATTTGAAAACAGTGTTAACAGTCAAGAATGTTATCTGAAAGTGAGACAAGATTCCCTATGGCTGTAAAAGCCCTTGATATGATACAATTTGTTCTTTATCATTAATCCTTTCAACACCAACCCTGAGTAAGTATACAGGTTAAGCATACTCTGCACATTGTTAGTCTCAGTATGACCTGAAGTGTCATGTACATTTATTTAAATGTTTACTCCAGGTAGAGTATTCTATATATGTAATATATACTATGCTGTCAGCAAGTGAAAGGGCTCTTTTTCGCAGTTCTGCCTTTTTCCACTATTATATTTTTGAAAGTAGCTATGGTAAACAAAAAAGTCAAGTAGTTGATTTGTCATACGTAGCAGACAATCTGTTCTGTCAATTATAACAATTAAAGGTCTTATGACTGTCCAGTTGAAGTTAGTGTCCAATAACAAAATATACAAATACAAGTATGAAAAATGTACAATTCAGAAACACAATGACAAAGTATATGTGATCAACACATCTTCATTCAGAATGACCCACTACGTATACCATAAAACTGGGGTTCTCAACCTTCCAAAACCCATGGTAACATTCACCCTTTATTACTAACTCACCTCTTGGTCATAAATAATTTATCAAAACTTCATGGCAATTTATTAAAACTACTACTACCTTACTATCCCAAACAGGTTCACATATCACCCATTCATTTCCTTTACCAAATGTGTTTATATGTTACTTGCTTAATTATTCACTTAAAATTAAATATTTAATTTAGGCCGTATTTTTCTTTATGAGGGGAATATAATATTACAAAAAGTGAAAGCAGGCAGCATGTGGCCCACAGGTTGAGAATCCCTGCCATAAAACATAATACCTACTTGTTTTTAGGAAAGAGGACCACGGCTTTTACAACAAACTGAAAGAAACTTTATATGAAATTACACTCTTTAAACGTACCTATTTTTACTAACAAAGAACATCCTAAAACCAAACACACTGGTTTTATACAAATCTGATGATGACTGGCACAAAATTCTACAAAATAAAGCAGTACTATACTTTCTATAGTACAAAATGTCAAATCTATTGCTGAAGTTCGAAAATATGTCCGAGGGACAGCACGTGTTCATAAAAAAACCGAGAAATACCACTGTAAAACAAAATATCTTCCCTAAAAATATGAAAAGCATGAGTTAAAATGGTAGCTGCAAAGATACTGACCAAATGTGTACATGCAAGTAAACTATTAAATGCATGACAGACACATGTCAAAGACCCACAGAAAATTCTTAAATAAATTAATGGAAATCTATTACAACAAACCAATAACAAAAATATTCTAAGATTAATACAAGACAATGGTCATTAATACGGAAAGTATGTAATGCTGTTCCTCCTCCAGCTGTTCTACACAAAATGACAACACCTGGAATACATTTTTACTGCAAAATACTGATTAAAAATGGGTAAAATGAGGACACTGTCCACAGTTAAAACCCAAATGCATATAAGAGCAGGTGACAAAATACCAAGTTTTACTTCTGACTGTGATAAGTGAGGAAGAGTTGAAATATATTTTATGCATATCTCAATAGGAATCATACATAAATGCAGCAGCAGATGAAGTAAATCTTGTTACTGAAATGACAACAAAAACTCACAAATAATCAACAGGTTCCATCCAGTTCCTTGCAATCTTTAATTTATTACTATATTGGGAGGGCAATTACTTCTTTTTATGCCATGACAACTATAAAAATGAATAAATACCACATGCAGGGCTTGGCCATCATCATAAATTTGTTAGTATTCACTTGTGCCCCCAAAAATGCACAGTGAGGAGGAGAGAAACTATTTAAACACTTTTAATGTCACCTCCATATTTTTAATAATCAGGAATTTGTCATTCCATAAAAGCCCATAAATTTTATTGGTCTGCAGGTTAAAATAATGTTTCTACTCACGAACCTTCAACAGTGTCTGTCAAGCACTTAAGGTCCAGTATTGTGAGCAAGTGACAGCAGCATCTGCCCCACTTCAAGTCTTAGGCACTTCTACAGAGTGCCGTCACTTGCTGTTTCTTCTACATCTTATTGTTCTTCTTAAAATTACACTACAGTGGCAGTAATAATAAATAACTAACATTACTGTGCAAGTTCCCCTTGTACATGTCTAAATGTGTACAAACACATGGCATTTATAGAGGTGTGATGATCATAAACGAAATATTACATTCCCTTGTTCGTCGTTATCATTAATTATATGTGGTATATGTTTGTATAGGTATGTGTACACAGTGTCCAGTGGATAACAGCTCAAAAGGAGCTTGGCAACAGTTTCTGACAAATTCATAAATTTCTCCACCAGAACAATGGTACTTTTAATTTAACTTTCATTTTCTCTAGGGACATCTCGGTTTTAGTTTATGTCAAAGAGTTCAACACGTGCTGTCTGCTAGTAGTCATTCGCTATGCTGATGGATGCGGAAACAACTAATCCGAAAATGCCTGCACATTTGGCGCACCTGTAACAAAACATCAAAATAAACAAAACCACATTTTAACTTCTGTTTTTATAACACAGACTGACAGTATTACTATGATAGTAGTTTGGACATAATCAACTGTCTGTTAGTGAAATTACACCAATACAGAAATTATAAAATCTGGTTGACAAAGTTGATTGAGAATTAAACTACCCCAGAACCATGTCCAACAGCATGCTTAGGTATTAATGGTATTCAAATTACAAGTTATGTAAGTTATTCACCAGCACGTACCACACAAGTTCCATAATGGACGTGTGCCACAGTTGCAATCAATGCCAAAGAGTAGAGCATGCCCAGCTCCACAGAGGCCCCAACAGACGATGGTAACATTAGAGAGGCAGCCAAGACAAGTCCAGTTGGTACTATAAGCCAGTTGAACAGTTCACAGCGCATTGACGACATCTGCGATACTATCAGTCTACACTGTAGGAAATGCGGGAAAGTGAACTGTATCAGGAATTCACTAATTAAATATCATAGGGCATTACATTTAAATATTCTGTTATACTAAAATTTTAAATGTGCTGTTCTTTTCTTCTATCCTCCTATTGCAATAATTTTGATTAGAATACTGAAAGACATATGGCATTATTCATTCACCACACAATATCCTTTCATCTGCCAATATGAAATCTGATTCATAATCACACTCTATGCCCCCTGCAGAAAGGCACAAACCAATTAACACCAATCATCTTAAACTTCTCACTGTCCAGAATAATTTTCTGATGACAGTTTTTGTAAAAATAAATCACAAGTACAAGTGAGTGTCATAACCTAATTTCAGTGATGTTTATAAAATTATATAACTTTCTTAAAACAACGAGACCTAGAATTACAAGTTTATGGCTGTAGTTCTTCCATTTTTTCATAAAATAAACATTACAAAGAAAATCATAATTCTGACGTATTTATACAAGAATCAAACACCAAACTGTCAGCAACGTCTAGGGAACCAACTAATACCACTTTCTTGTGCCATATGATTGGAAACAGTCCACCCCATGGAGTGGAATGTGACACGATCCATTCTGCAAAGCCTACAACAATTTCTTAGATTTGCAAAATCAGAATTAAATTTTGTTAGTGGAAACATAAACAGAAACATTCTCATGGTATTTATAACATGAAAATTAATACTCACGCTGTTGATTGCATATGTCAATATAAAAATAAAAATAATGCAAAGCAAACTGCATGAAACTATAATTCTATGCTTCTGAGCAGTGGGGTATGTTCATGTATATTATAACATTACAGTTCCTGCTGTAAATATGTTAAAATGAATTAAATTCAGAACCTGAATTAAATTAACCAAAACTTAGCTAGTGAAAATTTATTCACACCACCACTTCATCTTCTTGAGCGCCAGATGTCCTGCTTTTGATAATAGGGGTCAATAAGCGAAAATGAGCTTGAGAGGTGAAATTTAAGAGATGTATCCTACACCTACACTCTGAGTACTAGCTCTTGCCATTCTTCCCACAAAGTACTTACATGTTCATTTCTTTTTCTTCCACTTTATGCAAGTCATCTATATATGTACATCAATCACACTGACTTATTTATTTCTTTCTTTCCTAATAATAATCATTTTAGCAAAAATTGTGTCACATATACACTCAGATATAAACAAGCAGTGCAGCTGAGTCGCCTATGTATTCTACGGCCAGCCAGTCCCTATAAATGTAATAAATTCCTTGCATTCCAAACAGATCATGATCTTGTACACGTAGGCAAAACTCATGGTCCACAGATCACATGCAGTCCTCTTTGATGTCTTATTCAGTATGCTTCAGTTCTCAAGTGATAAAATTACATGCTTCTTTCCAAATTGACATGCACAAATAACCTTAGAATGCTGATGCACAGCTAAACCCAAAGATTTCTACCACGTCACCTTTTTTAAGTGGCCCTTAGTAGACACTGAGTTTGACATGGCCGAATCCAGGATGATCACAAAGCAATATGTCCCACTTACACAGATGTTTGAGAAGATGGTCCCAGAAACCAGGTACACACATCTTGGATCCAGATTTACCACATCTGCAGGAGAGTATATAACCCACAGCGTGCACACAACAAAGAAGAGTGTGACAGGTGCTAACGGCTTCACTGCCTCCCAAAATGGCCGCATCTTTCCTGTTCCATCCCGGTATGACCTACAATAATAAATTGCAAATGGTATCAACATAATACTACCTATGTTCATGAACATACAAGTGATATTTCTATTGTTATTGTTGTCACTGGTTCTCTTGTCATTATGGTTCATCATTATCATTATAGCACACCCTCCTGTTCGCACACGGCAAAACTGTGAAGTGTGTTCAGACCTTACGGGAAAGATGAGGTTAGGGAAACCAAAACCACATGACACATGATACTTAATATGTATAATCAATTAATAAGCATGGAAGCATAGGTGTTGGTATTTACTCAGAGGAAGTCAGCATTCCTAGCTGAAAGATATCAAAGTGATCAAAGGGCAGCAATCAGTTTTAAAAATTGCTAAAAGTACAGCTGAAGTACATTCAACGTGGCATGATATGTAAGCAGTTACTGAGACTGGTGTGCAGATGAAAGTTGTAGTGTATTTACTCCATGTCTCTGCAGAACAGCTATTGCAAAGAGAGAAGGGCCTGCACCACAATGCACAAATATTACCAAAATAATTTTTGTGAATAAGCAATATCGCAATGCGCAACCCCTCAAATGAGGGTCTGCTGTATAATCAAGGGCAGTCAACAGTATTATTAATAAAACGGCAGGGACTTCCTTGTAAAGTTTATAGTTACTTAGCCGGTCAACTGTCTGCTTTATTGGAACCTCAAAATTCATTACTGTATTCACAGAGACTTATCACTAAACTCTACAGAGAGCCAGGTGAACCCAGTTCATCCCTTAACATTCTACTCCTTCAAGATTAATTTTAATATATCATCATATTTACAGCTTGATTTCTTACTCTGCATAAGAATTTACTTTAGTAGAAAGTTTTTAAGTACCAGCATAGTAAATATTTATGAAGAAAATATTTTGACAATTATTTTGCTCTAAATAATAAAATATTCTCACGTGATATCTGTAAACAGCTGTAACAACCAACTGTTTATATTTATATTGGAATTTATTACTGTATTATGACATGTTCTATATCCTTGGCTTAGTACAAAGGATCTATGGGATGTAAATAAATTCTATTTAATTCTACTGTACCATTGAAGGAACTGTCAAACTTCCTGCTAACACCCTACCACATAGAACTTGCCCTCTTGATCTAAAATGCATTGATATACCATCCCATACAGGTGAAATACCATATGTAAATGAAAAGGACCTTTTTAATGTCAGTCTGAAGACACACCTGCATATTCTGCTTGTTAAAAATGTCATGTATTGGGGCCCAGATCTTCCATTTAAATTAAGATAGAGATCGGACAATAAAAATCTTCTTGGCTACTCATTTTATCAGGTGATGACAATAAGAATGTGTGGAATCTTACCTCCACACCTTCATATACCTTTGAGGTGTGGTGCTTTTGCACTGGGGCAAGTTTACCTTTACCTCTAGCAACTCAAAATATGTATATTTGACATAAAGTATAATGAAAGACTGTCAAAATGTGTTATGACTAATTCTGTGCTATATTATCCATAAAGTTGACATTAGTTTTAGGAATGGCAATGATTCATAATCTTAACTTACTTATATATATTCCATAAACACATGGGTAGGTTTGATACAATGGCACATATGTAGAATGTTAGTTCAAACATGTGGCCAGCTGATATCCCACCTGGCAAGGTGAATGACCAAACCTGATGGCCAAATATTGATGTAACTATAAATATAAAAATGGCTACCTGAAAAACATCAACAAAAATATTATAATAGAAGAACTGGCATTAATACACAAACAGCAATAAATCAAGGCCTTAAAATAGCATAATTAAAATAAAAATACACATTCTTAATTTACTTTCTGAGGTTCCTCATAATTTGAACCCTGAACTGTGGACCATTTACTCTGTACATAATCCTCCCAATGATGGCTTCAAATTTACTAATCCACCTCCAGCAACAAGAGTAATTTGCCACATTCCAAGCACAGTGGTCTAAAAATTTTATTGTATTTCCTCGACTTTAAGACACACCCTTGATTTAGTAATAGGTTTTTAGGGAAAAAAGATGTTATATTGATTCACATATGCAATAAAACGTAAGAAGCACCCTGATTTCAGAAACTTTAAAACAAAAGAGAAGGGGGAAAAATGAGAAGCTGAAACAGGACATATACCCCCTATTCTTTATTACAGTAAGTAATGGAACACAGGAATAAAAAGAATTATATAGAGTTGTACATTACTTTTCCATACATAAAAATTATTTACAGCACTTCACTAAAAAATGGTACTGGTGTAATAATATCACAGTTCAAACTATGTAGTTTTTACTTCCATAGCTAGATGACACATGCAAGTACCTTATGCAATTCCTTGAATGATCAATCAACTGCCATTCATTTATTTACATGCAATATTTCAAAACATTAGTCTAGTGCTAAAAATAGACAGGCTAGATGGTAAGCCAGCAACAGAGTACCTAGGAGTGAACAGGTCAAGATGACTTTATAGCTAAAGAGCTTATTATGAGCTGTATGTAACAAATGTCTTTGAAACTTATGTAATAGATCAAATTAAATGTAAATCAATGTTACATTAATGTTAGTATAACCAAAAGTAGAACAAGAAAATTAACCCCATAGAAGCAACCTGCAAATCTTCACACAAGACAGATATTTCTGCCTGAAATAATGTCAGCAAAAACAATGAAGAAATACCTTTGGTAAATTACATATAGACTAATTTATAGTGATAAAATTTTAACAAAAGTTCCAACTTACCACCATTGAGGCGTCATAACCCCAAGGCAAGAAGAGAACACCCGTAATGTGTTTCTCCCAGTGAGAGAGATAAAAATTAACAAATACATTCCATAGACAGAAGTACATTCGGAGAGGAGGTATACTGTTCACCCCACGACCAAACACAGAGAACACACAAGTTGGGATTAGAAATGCTGTCCATGAGTCCAGCCCATGGTCAAACAGCTCACCGAGGGGGCCACTGGTCTGGGTCCGTCGGGCCTGTTTCCCATCAATACCATCTGCAGCACATTCAAAGATAAAATTGATATGACAGAGCCCTCTGAATCATGCAACTTACCATAAAAGCAATGCTTCCAAATTATTTTACCAATTGGATATAACAGCGATACTGAATGTTAGATTTTAACTTTTCCTGAATGCTCTGAAATTTTTTACTGAGGGAAACAAATATAATCTTTATCCTTTACTGATAGATTTTCTCACTCTTCAATATAATTATCACTACTACTGTCTTTACTTAATACATTGTCTAAATATTCTGTTATTTCATGAAACTGTATCAACTACTGAGGATAAGTAAAATCAAATAAATATGATAAGTGACGAGAATGATGAACTGGGATGAATGGAATGTGGCTGTGGCCTGTTTCAAGATATCACCCTGACATTTTCCTCAACAATTTTAGGAAAACCATGGAATAACAATCATGACATCTGGTTCTTTGATGAGGTTCAACTTTGGATCTTGATTGTGAACCATGTGTGTTTCTACTGCTTGCCAATACAACCTTCTGTTTCCACATCTGTTGTATCAGCATTCACCTAAAGACTGAGGAAAACCACAGAATGCTGTCTGGCATCACTCTGAGCACAGAGGAGAAGCAATAGAAGCATAATGTTGTGTCAGAAATTTCAGAAATGTATGGAGGACTCAGAAAGAAGCATTATCAGAGCCATGTTCATTTTAGCCTTTTGACTGTTTTGATTCGTATAACTCGCCTTACATTTGTGCAGACCCCATGTTCATTTTAGCCTTTTGATTGTTTTGATTTGTATAACTCGCCTTACATTTGTGCAGACCTGTAAATCACATCATGTATAATGTATGAACCCATGCTGGCACATATTTTCAGTCTAGTCTTTTTTCCACACTTTTGCTGGATGCCTTCACAGCCACTTAACAGATGGTGCATCATTATCAGTCAGTTACACTGTAAAAGTGTACGTAATATTCTGACAGAACTAAAATTTAAATTCTCTGAAAAAATATATTATTTCCTCTCAATGTACACACGCACATTTAGAAACATTATGTTATTTAAATGATGTGAATGGTTCATTAGTCAACTCACCTAATGTATACGCTAAAAATATATTAAGGGCTGCCACAGCCCACACCCATTGAGGAATTGCTGGAACGTCTGAATGTTCATCACTTGATGCATAGAAATTATAATCATAATATGAAAATATCATGAAATTGAGAACCGTAAACAGGAATCCAGCAAATGTCAACAGATTTGGTGCAATCCATTTTGGACACCACTGAAAGATGGGAAAACATTATGTACACATAAAATAAAGAGGTTAATGAAAACTTTTTATCTGGAGGCATTTAGCCTCACCCAAAAATCTTCAAGTCCTCCACATTTGCCAGTACATATATTTAAAGCCATCTGATAAGTCTATAAACTAGATTGATTAAACATGCTCAAATACATAAAAAAATAAAAACTCAGTGTTAAATTTAAATTCATTTCATTTCATCACTTCCAAATATTACTTGAGAGCATATTCACATTTCAAGCTAATCACTTGATAGGTTAGATCACATAAAGTACCAACATGAAGCAAACTTCTGCAATGTGAACATTTAACTTACTTCAACAACATAGTTCCAAAAAGGATGCATCACATATATACTCAGCGGACTAGTATCCACGGCACTGTACTGAAATACAAACAAGACATGCTTATAATTAAAAAACAAACATTATTAAATAACCAATGAACTTGAACATCTGGAACACAGCTGCTACCTTGCTAATAAAAGGTTCAGGAAACAAAAGATGTGACAAAAGATCAAGTCAAAGCATGGTTCTGAACTTAACCTCTTCTGATTCACAGATTAGTAAACATCAGTGGGTTTTCATAAGATCCATATCCTAGCTTTCTCACACTGTACAGTACAAATAATAAACTACAATATAACTGCAGCCAACACACCTAAACATCTTTACTTACACACAAAACAAATGACTTTATATGGTATTATACATCATAATCATTCACACTGAACATTAATAATAAGACTTACACATGAAAGTGTACAAGTGTGTGTGCACGCACACATACGAACAGACCCTACCCCAAGTCAGATAAATTCAGTTCACTCTTCACAACCCATTTCTGTAAGGTACACTTTAATATTATTTTCTTATCTATGCCCTATGTATTCAGACTTGGTATATGCCTTGTCTGTCTCATCAAAGAAAGGATTAACATGATTTTACTTATTATTTATATTACTCATGTTGTAAGAAACTATTCCAGTCTATTTTTAAAATAATGTGAAGTTTGTGAAAGTCTATAAGAGCTTTATTGTCTAAAGATGGCTGTCTTCTGGGATGTAACATCATGATATGTGTATCAATACCTACCAGACTGCACACTGCACAGCACTACATCCCAGAAGACAGTCTCGAACAAGGTTTGCATAATTTTTACAAAAGTTCACAATTGCAATGTATGTTGTTCCTTCTAAGTTCACTTTCTCTCCTTGCTGAAGAATTATTTTTGCTTTCCTACTAGTGATACAATGAATTCAATATGTTCCCTTAAAGTGTGTAGTAAAGAACATTCAGTCTGAAGATGGCTGTCTTCTGGGTTGTTGCACCATGTAAACTTCTATCAGACCACACGATGCAACAACCCAGAAGACAGCCATCTTCAGACTCACTGCAGTGACAACCTCAAATCCTGCAAAACATTCAGTCTGTGTCTAATGTGTACAGGACACACCATGTTCTGAAAGAAACTGGAGAAATTCTGACAACGAATTAGGTCCAGTGGCATACTCTTGTCATGATCACGATGAGCTTTAGCATTAACAAAAATTTCTTGATTGAGAGAATAACAGTAATTTTCTAAACAAAGACCATGTACCATAATACTGATCACAAAATGAAGACACATCACATTCAGACTGTAACAAAGTGTGATTTCCTGGTCTAATTGTGTGTGAAGGAACTTGTACAGCACATTTTTACTGTCCTGTTAGTGGAACATAGCATTTCAGAAAATTAATAATTCACTATCAACAGATAAGGATGGGAAAATATATGTTTCTAGTATCTGTCAAGTATGTTGGCTGACTGCCAGATACCAAATCAAAGTTCATGGCCCTAGTCTCCTGACTTAAACTGTCTTTAACTCAGTAATGTCTGGTACTGTGCCCCTCTGTCCCTTTTATTGGAATTAGGTTCATAATACAGCTATCTAAACTAGGAAACTGCACTTCAAGAATGATAGGGAAATCTAAAGCAGTAAAGACACACAGTCAAAAATACATTATAAGGTCAGAAAGCCCTTAACAGCAAATAATCAACCAAGCAATCTATATCAAACACTTACTTATTATCATGATCTTCAGGGACCTTCAATATCCTGAGAGCGAGGATGAAGATGATACAGATTGACACACTCCTTATGAGTAAACCTACATGACGGGACTAGACCAGGAAGAAACGTGCAAGAGTGTTTCTCAAGAAAATAATGGTTTCTCAGATAACCAAGAAGTTTCCTTCAATTTATGGAACCCAAATTTTCATTATGTGTTCACATTATTTCCTGTTCCGATTATTAAGATTCATTTTTATACTATCCTCCTTTCTATACCAAGGTCTTCTAAGTCATTGCTTTCCTTAAGATTTTCAGAGAAATTTGTGCATCTTTCTTGCTTCCCCCATGGAAACATAAGAGTTAGCAGGTGAGAGATAAAGTTTTATGTACCCATAACGTAGGCAATAGATTGACATGCAGGGCAAATTAATTCGAATACATTTTCGTATATTAAGGTATTTTACATTTGAGGAAAGTTATCGTGACACTGCAAATTTAGCTTGAGTAAGAACATCACTTTCGCAAAATAGCTTTTGTAAGCTTACCTCAACCTAACCTCAAAATGCACATTATTACAACGTAGTATTACAATATGCTCATACTATGAACGAAAGAAGTAAACGGCGGCAAATATATTTCACTGCTAGCGTACAATTACCTTATAATTTTCAAATCCAGATAAATGTTCCTGGCTTAGGTACTGCACTTCCATTTTTCTTTGTACGTTTCCTTTCACTATTATATTATTTTTATCCAGTTACCGGAAGAATGCACTCAGATTTATCATAGGACCAACGCATTTCTTTTTTGTGTCACATTTTATTATATAAAACACATCTATTACCACAAGAGGCATGCACTACCTCGGCAAGCGAATAAAAAAACACAGCACAAAAATGGACAAAATTGACCACAGATGAACGAAAACTACTGACCACACAGCACAAAAATGGACAAAATAGACCACAGATGAACGAAAACTACTGACCGCAATTCGATTTGACTTAATGTTTCTATTGTTTTAACACTATCATACTTTGGCGCTATTTGACATTGTTACATCGGCAAATGCGAACTTCACACAGACGATGTCAATCACGTAAGAATCGCGCACATAAAGAACGTGGTAGAAATATAAGCCAGAGCAGGGTGTTTCTGGGACTGATGCAAATTACCGCGTACTGACGGTTCCGGAGAAACTGACGTAAATACGTTACCGTAATGTAATGAAATGTAATAATTCTTATATAAGATAAGTACTTGTGATATTATAAAACGTTTTTATCAGCACAAAATTATCTAGTCTACGACGCACTTCTTCTACAAGCGATTCACAGCTCAGTTCTTTCCGCAATAACGAAAGCGGATTGTTGACTGCAGTAATGTAACACAACAATGCACGCAGTTCATATAAAAGCTGACTATTTTTGTAGGTCCATATTTACACATTGTTGATATGGATCTTACACAAATTCGTTACGCTTTTTTGCCGAATGACCCTTCCGTATGGACGTATTTACGTCAAAAGAAATGTGCATGTAAAAAAACTCCTGATGTAGTCTGCAGATAGGAAACGTACATTTTCAACGAAAATTAAAAAAAATGGCTGTCTTCTAGGTTGTAGTGCCGGGTAGTCTCGTAGAAATTTACCGTCTTTTCAGAGGACCTTGCTGCCTTGGTCATCAAGAGATACCATTAATTCCTATTATATCAATGTCTTTCATATACTAGGGCAGAACGCTCCTTTCGGAGTTCCTCGGAGGGGTTGGGCAAGTTTTTAAAAAGCAACGAACCCCTTCGGGGGGTTGGTTGCGTTTTAAAATCTTGAGTAAGACACTAAACTCGGCATTGTTGATGACGTAATTTATTGACGACAACGAGGAATCACAAATTTTTATAATAGATTCTCCATTTATTAGACTCATGTTCTGCAACAGCAGCGCAAATTACCCTTTTTCCTTTCATACAATAATTTAGATGGCTCTTAGAAAAACTATGGTTTATTCTGCTAACCCCCCCCCCCACACACACACACACACACATTTTCATTTACTGAAGATTTTATATTTGTTCTTTTGGTTTACTCAATCCTACCGACATTAAAACTTTACATACTACACTTTTCCCTTGCCCATTTACTTACTGAATTTTTTCTTTTGCAACCACCAAATAACCACTAAACACATATCACTACCATATTTCCTCTATGGACTTCACTGCTTATATCTAATAAAATGCAATGGAATTAGCTTCATGTCATCGCATCATATAAAGTCCAAATGGATGGAAATACGAATGTCTACAAATTATTCTTGACAATTAAAGCGGTTTTTTTAAGTGCTGAAGTTTGCTACTGCAACTCAATGTTATTAATTTACTGCACACCCACATTCTAAATTATCATTTTTAAAACACTCCCCATCCCCACTTTTGTACTGAAATGAAGAGTTTATAGACTAGGATAAAACTAGTCCTGTATTTGATTCTAGAGATTAAGAAGTAAATAAAATATGTAATTAACTACACTTTATTAAAATATATACATACATATATATATATATTATACATTTCTCATTTACTACTTTCTGGTAAATTTTAAAACCAGTAAATATTCACCTCTGACCTTACGCTCCTTAACAACATGCATAATAAAACCCAGATCATTCATGAGATGCTTTATATCTTCAGGACAATTTTCTGAAATTACAACCAAGTAGAAGACACCACATCGACTCAGAATATCTGGAATCTTTGGAAACAGTTGGTCCATAACCTGTTGGAGACACAAGACAACCCAAAATAAAAATCAGAGGGCAATGTACACAAAGTTTAACAATGACAAATTGATAATGACATGGACTGTAATGGGGAAGTTGGGATCTTAATGGATTATATAGATTTGGGTCAAGGTCAAGACAGGAAGACTGACAAATCAGAACCAAGAGAAAGAAGCTGGAGCCAGGAACATGAAAGTGATCTTCAAGGGTCACCAGATATAAAGGCCATGAAAACCTCCAGTTATACATGTGGCTCCTGTTCATTCATGACACGCAACTTGCACTGTGCAGAATGTAGTGAGCACTGGTTTTAGACACCAGTCTCACAAGAACTGTCTGAAGAAATGTATGGGAACCTTAACACTTTCACAGTAAGCTGACTAGTGAAATCTTACAGAATGCCCATTCTAAGAGTTATGCACCCTTCTACCTCAAACTTATCATGCAGCCTTGGGATGGTTAAATGTCATATTGAAACATTAGAATTATTGCTTCCTGATGCCATAGAGCTACATTAATTTATCTCACCATTACAATATTATGTTTTATGAATATCCAAAATGTGTAAATATATTTTAGTGACAGTGCATACATCAAATACACCAATAAAAATAATTTTCCAAACCAGTCTCTAACTTCTTTACCTCATCCACAGAACTATTTTGCCAACTGTAAGAAATGTTGATACACTGATGTCAATTGTGAGACATTCCACAAATGAAGGTTTAATGGTAAAAATAAATGTGTGTAGACCAAATATTGTATGAAATTGAGGTTATGTTTGAGTAAATATGGCCCAACAAAATGATCACTACATTTTTCTCGAATAGCAATTACATACTTATTCAAGCAGACATCAAATTACCAACAGAAAGAATGAATATTCTATATGGATTTAATTTAACATTTGACTTTATTTATATCCATAGTAACAAGTCCAAGTTTATGTAACACAATATTCTTGAAATACATTTTTGATAAATACAAATTTTAAAGTCTGAGGTTCTCATAATGTTGGTGATGTTGATGTCAGTCTTCTGCATTGTAACACTGTATAGGCTTGTATACAGATACTGCTGTTTTCAAAGAAAATATGCCTTTGTATTCAGGAGTGAAGATGGTGACAAGAGCATACACTGTTGCAACCCAAAAGATCAACATTAACAAAATATATTGATACATAAATCACTAACTTATCCATCTTGTGCTGTACTTACTTCTCGTCCTCTCTCTCCACCAGCCCAAGCTCTTGTAAGATCTCCGTACATTTTGTTCCCCAAAATTTCTTCAGATGGTGTTACAACATATGGTGGATTGAAGATCAATACATCAATTTTGTTGTCCAAGTGGAATCCTGACATCAAATCCATAGCAACCACTTCCACATCAGTCCCATTCAACTGTGCAGTCTTTTGTGTCACTTTGCATGCGACCTGATTAATGTCAACTGCAATATAGAAGCTGGTTCTACCAAGAGCTTTTGCTACTGCAGTGATTACAATTCCAGAGCCACTCCCCACCTCAACACACACAGTTGGTTTTATGTTTTGCAACAATGCCAGATCTTCCTCTAATGCATCAATGAGGAGGAAAGTGTCTTCCGCTGGTTCATACACATGGTCATATTCTATTTTGGACAAATGAGATAACGAGGGTGTATCCATACTGATTATGGATATACAGAAGTTAAAAAAGGTCCTTCCAGTAGTGAAATATATGACAGAAACTAAACTTACTCCCACAAAAGCTTGTGATTTATATAAATATTGTTTTCAATTATAATAAATATTACCTAAAATGAATACCATTCTCCCAGCATATTTAATTTATTTTCAATTTAACATTTAGCATGTTCCACAGTGTTTGGAAATGGCTGAAATGTGTTAAATTTGTATGTCTTAACAAATTAGTCCATACTTAAAACCCACCTTTGTATGATGGGTGCCAGATAACAGTAACAAGAAAGGAACTCCAATAACAAAAGTAATAAACAATAAACATCTAAATTCTGTCAGCCTCCCTTGGAGGTTGGGGTGGGGGAATGCACCCTTTATGCTATAGTAAAGAAATGAAACCAAAGTTGATTATTAGTTGTGGTTTCAGTTACTCACTAGCTGTAACTTGATGCTTCAGCCCCTTATATTAATAGAACTTCCACACAAAAGCTTCCTGCATATATCATGGTACCTTACATAGATCTATATTTTAAGGAATGGCAGGATTTTTGGATATGCTTCTTCTATTGGATGGAAGGATTTGTAGCTTCAAGGGGTGTGGATGTAGGAGATGGCTCTAACAGAGCTCTTCGTCTTGACTGTTCCCTCTCTATTTGTATATGTACTTTATTCAGGCGATCCTGCAAAAGAATATACATAAATTTAAAGCTTTATTTTTATACTTCTTCAGCACAATGGCAGGAGAAAGGAGCTCTACTCTACTTACAAATACTGATATACATTAGACAAAGCACTGCAAAGTAAGGTGGAACCAAAATAAATGTAGATAAAAACATCAAAATTATTAGTGTTTTCCAAAATACAAATATAAATGCATTCACATTTATTTCTCACCTAGTGCATGGCATCATTTCTAAAAGTTATGAGCCATACATACTAACTTCTAAATGAAAAGTGACCATTCACAAAGTATGAAAATTCAAAATATTAAAGTTAAATCACAACTAAGACCGCCTATCAAAACATTCTGAGACTGATGTATTTATTCAAGAAACATGATGACTGAAGAAGTTCTGATAAGGCGAGAACACTACTGCGCACTGGAAATCACTTGCAAGTAACCCCACCACTACAACAGCTGCACTCAACGTACGCAAGGGCATGTTTAAGCACTTCACTGTATGTGTAAAGATTCATGTTAAATTTGGTGAAATAGGTTTAAAAGCACACAATGTTACAAACAGAATTTGATGACGAAGCATTAAGCCACACAACGTTATGATAGCTTTCCAAGTTTAAGAAAATCCGAACATTAGTACCGGAAAGTCATCCGTCAATATTCATATATAAAGCAACAGTCTCACATATAAGATTTAATTAATTTAATGGTAACTGTCCTTTGTCAATTCATAAGGTTGCTAACTAAACTGGTATATCATAAAAGTTGTAAAATCAATCCTCACCAATGCTTTAAGAATCTGGAAAGTGCAGGGAAAATTTGTTTTATGGTTACCATCTGAGGCCATAATGAACACTGCATGCCTGTAAATCTCAATCTCTGGTCTCGTACCACAAAAGATCCAAACTTTCTAAACACTATGACCGGTGATGATTCTTGTATATAAGACTATGATCCGAAAGAAACCCAATAATCATCCCAATCTGACACCTTATAAAAGCATAGCAGCTAAGATAACATATGTTATTGGTATTTTTGATCACGAAGGCCTAGTTCATAATGTGCACCTTATTGAAAGTCAATAAGTGACTGACATATTTTATTGATGGGTTCTGGCATATTTGTACTATTCAATCAAGGGTAAAATCTGTAAACTTCAGAAAATGTCACCTGGCCTTCAGCATGGTGAATAAGTTTTGAGTTTGGTAATTATTACCCGGCATAATTTTAGAAACACTGCTTCCAGAAGTTATGTCAACTTTACCTGTACAGTCTGCAATATATTGCTGACAACAGTTACTTTTAACTTTGCATTTACGAGTTTCCTAATATACAGATCAATATCCAAAGGACATTGTTGTGATTCTGAAATCTTCTTTAGTTCTTCAGACAGAACTTCAATTTGTTGCTTCAACTCTACTTGGCTGATTCTGTGAAGAAAACAAAACATTACAACCGAGCAGTAACACAAGAATTTTGCCTTCGGGACAAGAAACACATTTATCCAATATAGGAAAGATTTCATAGTGGTGAAAAGGTGGGTCATCTAGTCATGTGAGAATATAATTTAATGAAATAGGGTAGGAGGGTGTTGATTGGAGTCATCCTGCTCAGGGTTGGGACCAATTAAATTCTTGATAAGATGAATGGTATTAGTTTCTCAAGAAGGACTATACCCTATGAGTGTAGGCAATTACCAACATTTCAGATACACATACTACCTCATTCGTCTGGGTATTGAAAACAAATTAAAATATATCATCAATAATAACCTACACATTAATTACACACAACTGTGGGATTTAAATTTTCCATCCAAGATAACATTTTTACATGTACCCGCGTTCCTCATCAAGTACTCCCAACATTAAATCGGCCACAGCGAAATTTGTAAGTAGGGCATTATAGGTTATGTAACATTAGAAATATGAAAATACAATAGAAATTTTTATATTACCGTGTAGCTCGTACTCTTTCATCTAACTGATCTATTGTGGGCTTCAGTAAACACATTAAACCTTCAGCCAATGTATCCCGCGTAGGATTTTCGCAGAAATCTTCAGTTTTGTCATCTATAGACGTCGTAGTACTCTCAGTGTCCAAGTCCATGATTTCGCATATAAAACAGTATGACAAGAACCACCACCCATCACAGATTAACCACTGTACTCTGTGAATACGGGTACAGGTGCCAAGGATCACAACAATTTTACCACCAGCGAAGCGCACGCTTGCCATAAACTATGAGTGAGTAATATGATTCTGTCATTTAACTTAGGTACATGTTAAAATAATTTTACTTATGTCAATAATGTCTGAATGCCTTCACTTCAAATATGAAGTTACAGAAATCACGTTTAAAAAGTACATAAGTACTAAATCTCTTTAAATTAATGATGTCGACAAATTACATTTCACAGAAGATTGATATGTGCTGTCACCTACAGGACGAATGGATAACCACTACAATAAAAATTGCAAATCATGAGATTAGGGAACTGAGGGCACTTTTTGGGAAACTGTGACCCAAATATGTCAACAAGAACGAAACTCCTTGACTGCTCGATCAGGATACAATTTTTTAAACATGCAGGTGACACTAACCAAGTGGCCAGAGTTCGAGGGCCTATAAATACAACATTCAAAAAATTCGTTACATTCAGGAACACAAAATTTTCGTCGAACAGTGATGTATTTTGGTCACTTTTCCCCAACCCCTTAGATTTTACTCAAGAACCAAATTAACGACTAAAACAAACTCCATGGTGCTAAGTCTTTCTTGAGGAGTTAGTAGTAGCTCATCTAGGCAATAAATATACCCTACAAAAATATAAACAAGGTTCGTTGAAAAATTCTTTCATTTAAATAATGTAATAAACTTAAAACTGCCTCAGATGTGTGTGGTTTAACAATGGTGTTTTTATGCAGTTCATATCAGATAAATACCAACCTGTTTACGCTATTTAGCTGTGTATTCTAACTGCATGGTATTCCAAGGACAGTTGATAAGTATTTAGCCGGTCTGATTTTCTTTTCCTGCTTTTATGAAACACCAAGGTCCACCACCAAGTCTACAAATGCTGGCTTATGGACACTACTTCGACTAATTCATCCCAGTTAACATCCTCACACTATTTCGGTTTTATATAAATTGTAGTCTCGGTAGATTTGATGCATAACAAGACCCAATGATTTCTACTTTAGTTTGTTGGTTACTGGCTAAATACGTAGGAATAAATATATGAAAAAATAAAACGATGCAGGCTTTTCTAAAAAAGTTGCCCCAAACCAAAATTTATAGAAGTTTATATGTACTACTGTAGTTCAAATCTGATCCGGAAATTTTAGCAGCGCTTCAGCAAATCATCTTGTTCCATATTAGTTGTATCGAGATACTTTCCATCGATATGAACGTAATCTATTTTATTCTTGCAGTCCCACAGAACAGAAGTTTCAGAACGAGTTACCAGCTAACAAAACACCGAGAAACAAAAGCACGTTTCGACCATGAGCCTCCATGAGGAAAACAAGATAAATGTCTTTTTTATCTTTATGTTAAATAGGTATTCAAACTCAAACTGTGTCACGTAAAATTTCAGGTTTTCAAGGCGATGAATATAAACATGACTTACTTCAAAGATTTTAGAAGAAACAAATAGATAATTTTGTATGTTGAATGATTTATTGATCAACTAACTGCATGCATTACATATTACGTGGGTAGTTCAGTAATCAGTAAATTTACAGCACATATGACCAAAGAAATTGTTTCTCAACAGATACATGTGTTAGTACGAAAAAAGAAACCGATTAATCACGGTAGCCATACGGACCTTCCCATGTATTAACCATGGTAGTTTATTTCAACAAAGTGGTCTTAACACTTGTTTCCTTAACATTAGTATTCCATTTGATTTCAGAACTGTTGGCATATTTTTCTTTCCTTTTCCTTTATATATTTCTTCTTCAACTGTTACGAATTCCAGTCCTGCCCTTCTTCAATGGAAAGAATATACGATTTAGTAAGAATGTTAATTATGAAAGTATAGACAGTGTTTATATTTGCTGTAATCTCGGTGATAATTCGAGCTACGACAGGCAGTTTTAATATGCGATCGAAAACACTTTGTAAGACGGTTTTATTCCTACCACCGATAATAACAGGATATTCTTCATCAGAAGAAGCTACTGTTACGAATTCCATTAAACACAATACGGCCAGCAGCAGCAGGACCATACGCGCTGATGACTTCATAACCTGAAACATTATAAAGCATTACTATTAAGAGGTAGTAACGGGAGCCTGGGAACATGCCATGAAGAGGAGCTTTATATTTAATACTCTTCTCTAAATATAAATAAGGTGATCAGATCAAGGAAGATGAGGTGGGCACGGAAAAAAAATTAGACGTAAAACCAGAATGGGAGGAACTACTTGGCAGTTCTAGACGTAGATGTAGGATAATATCAAAACAAATCTTAAATAGTCTGTGATAATGTGGACTGGATTCATTTAACTTAGGGCAGAGATCTCTGGTTCCCGTGAACACAGTAATGAACGTTCAGATTATATAAAGGGCAGAGGAATTTCTGACTAGTTCTCTCCTCCTCACGTAGTTATAAGATTGTTTCTTAATGTTTCACTGACACTTATTTACAGCATGGCAAATTTAATGTGGCTTGTATAAACACAGCCTTCTAATTACTCTCTGGATCTGAGTTTTTGGATTATATATGTATATATCATATGGACACTGATCACGATTACGACCATAAATAGTTCAATTGTGCAGCACTTAAAACAACATAAAATTTCAATCCTTAAAATATGTTATCTTGGTAACAAACCTTACCTCTAAGCTTGTAATTACTCGTTCTATGTGCCAGCACGTCTGACAAGTAAACAACCGGACTGAAACTAGTACTGCAACCGAAAATAATAGTTGGTGTGTTCATTTACACGACTTTCAACACCGCTTACAATGTTATTTCAACGGAGCATATCTACAAGGACATTTGAAACAAGTCGTTAGCAAATATTTAAGATAGTCCCAAAGTCTTCTATATCTATATATTCTCTGTAGACAAGAAGCATGCAATCTAAAAGCTCATTCTAAATGATGTCCTTAGACACTTTCAATGCTCAAGCATAACTTACAGAAATAACCAGACCCAAAAAGATGTTACAGTACTCCCTTGATGCATGTCATTGATTCCTTAAAAATGCAACATATAAGGAAACATTAAATAATTTGTTAAAATGACAATTTATTCTGGGAAAATAACACAAATCAGCATCAAAGAAATTTTTTGGATAAATAAGCACAAAATTTTTGGCGTTTATTAATTTACTAAATAAGTATTTTATTCATACAGATATTCACATAATTATTAAAATTGTAATTTTATTAAAAAAAATGACATGGACGATTATGAATGTCATCTTGAAAAATTAACTTTTAATGTTTTTATTATCTACTGTTCTTCCTGTTTTGGGCGGTATTTCCCATTCACATCTAACACTTACCACTAGCTTTCCACCTTAAAACCCAGAAATAATTTTTAATTTTGTTTCCAAATTTGTGACTTTTGACTTCACAGACATGGTCATCGATTTTATCATAAAATAATTTTGGTAACAAATCATCAGTGTACTACTGGATTGTGAAACAAAAGGAGTGCTGCAGGTAGACTGTGCTGTGTGGTGAAATATGTTCTGAGAGTCACAAATGCTCGGTGATTAGAAAATAAATGAAGGAAACAGGCAGATATGAAAACAATAGCATTTAAGAGTAACTTACAGATATGAGAAATGATTGCCAGAGTTCACGGATACCGAGGCTTACTGTACTATATCCTGATGTGTGAGACTCACTGTATCCCTGCAGTGTAAGCTCAAACATACCACAGAACAAAATAGTGAACCATTCTTGAAAGCATTTGCCTAATTTTAACTTGTACAATGTTTTACATATTGTTGGTACTCTGTGTCAAGTGGGATGCCAGTGTTCATTCTACCATAAAAGTACTATGTGATTTTGACCACTATTGCTCATGGTTAGTTTCATAAATAATAAAAGATCAATTGAATCAGTCCAAAGAAAGCAGGGTATTATAAATACTATGGAATGACAAACACTATGAGACTTTAAAGATGATTCAATAAGTCTGAGACTTGGTCCCTGTAGCCTAAATCATTGGTATTCAATCTCTTTTTTTTACGTACCCCCAGATATAATTTCTCTTCAACTTTGTACCCTCAAAGTTGTTGGTGTATAATTGAAGTTATACATAGTATATAATCTACATCTAAAATAAATTACATTACTGATTACTCAGTGTTTAACATAAAATATTTTTTAAAATTTCACGTACCCCCTAAGATGTCTTCGCATACCCCCGAGGGTACCCAGGTTGAATACCACTGGCCTAAATCATGTTGACACTGAACAAAGTCAGTACTTCAAAAAAATCTTCATACTTTCAAGATCAATTCTGGCTCTTGTACACAACTCTCGTGCTCCTGGTTTATGTACTGAATTTTAAAAGAAACGTGAAAGAGAGTTTAGCTAAACTTGATTATGATAAAACAAACAGAACCTTGACAATTCACTATCCTTTCAACCAAGGTAAGTAAAACAAGAACTGTAATGTAACTAAGATAGTTACTTACCATTACGTTCATCACAGGTTGTTGCAAATTCATTCAACTGCAAAGCTGTGACTCGCAGAACGTTTGTCTGTAAGCCCACAGTTACAGTTGGCAATTACATGCAATTCTCCAGCCACTGTCAGAATTTATAAAGTATATTTATTCTGAGAAATTTTTTTTTATAATAAACTGGCTACAATCAAATCTGAATGTAAAATATGAGTACTGAGAAAATGGCTCATGCATACACAAAAAGAAAGGAAGTTTATGAGCCAAAATCCTTTTATGAATTTTAACTTAGGTTAGAACTTTCATTCTGAAATGCGTATCACACTTTCTTAAAACAAAAGCATGTATACTGCTTAAAAATAAAAGTTTTAAAAACAGTTACATGGCACTGGACAACAAATAATAAAATACAAGAGTGTCATAAATAACAGTAAACGTGATGTCGAGAAGATATTCCAGTCTCTTCAAGCTTAAAATACCATACACATATAGTTCCTCCTCAGCAACAAAGAACCCTTGATAGCCATGGATTTGCATGTTTGAGTGAACTGGAGTTCTTCTTTGCAACCTGCTACAGCTGCATATTGCTAATTGACACTAGCATCATAAATTTTGAACTGCATGTCACCTAAAATGGCTGAAACTGTTTGCATGTTACATGTTTTTTTATTGAAAAATATGACATTTTACACTTCATAAAACCTCTAAACATAATTTAAAAATCAAAATTTATCGACATTTAAAAAAGCTGATGCAATCCTTCAGCTGAAGGTGGGTGGAAAATCATAACTGAAAACATGACAAACTAATGAAAAAAAAGATGAGTGTAATGCTACATGATGAACACAAAATGATTAAGAATGGCACCTCACAGGACTGCACATTCTGGAACCTCAAGTCAATGCGACCTGCTTCAGAGATACAAAGTTCATGACATCACACCAACATCTAAATAAACTGTAATAAAAACACTTAACCTTATTTCATCGTCTTACTACATTAAATAACTTATTTTTTCAGCCATTTGTTTGGTTTTCTTACTTTTTTTAAAGTTTGTTTATGCATTGCAAAAGAACAGTTATTTGAATACAACATATGTCATTCATGATATTAAAAAATGCAATTAATTTTAGCAGAATACGCTGTTTAGTAAAGACAGAACAAAAACTGTATACTGGTACTTTCCTCCTTCTGTTTGCCCATGAATTCCTCCACGTACACCAAACACACACATTCACTCTGGGCCTCAAAGACCCTGAAGTCACTACCGCCCTTCACTCACCAGCTCTAGTGATCAAAGCGATCGAGCCAAAATTGATCACATCTGTATCAGTACCATTCTCAAACACAACAGATATCATCGTAATAAGTACATTCCGCCTTTACGCAAAATATTGCTTTTCTGGCGTTTTAATGGGCGTCCTCTTCCAGAAACATTATTGCTAGGACTAGCGTGTGTTGAGATCTCTGTTATGTTGTTTTGGTGTTGGGGGTAAGTACCACGAGGGTTGTGGTGAGGAACTGAAATACATATAACCCAATATTATTATGAATACAAGTGTTCGTTCAATAAAAACAACAACCATCATCATGCCAGAATTACATGTCAAGACATTATAGAGCCCGAAAATGTAAGCTGGAGGGATGGAGACTAGCTCCTTCTAAAGTGGCCCATCCACGTACGAGTCTGGCTCGGCGAGCTTGACTCGTGAGCCGGGATCAGATATATTTCACCACACATGCATAGCAGACTCAGCTCGTGACACTCCACTCACAAACGAGTTTGGCTCGATGGAACCCGAGCCAAGCCGGACTCGCAAGCCAGACTCGTAAGTGGATGGGCCGCTTAAGAGACACTACACAGTAGGAACCCTTTAGTCCCCCTTATTTTACCTGATGACGGAGACATATCCAGTCCCCAAAATGCTGTTATGAAAAACAAAAGACAATGGATAATGTCCAAAATGTTTTGCCAAAACCATTACGATACACCATCAACAATATCCTTTACAATGATCTTAGTCAAATATGTTTTCTTATTTTGGGTGACAACAATTACATTCCTACCTAGAGATGCATAAAATCTTTCATTTTTGGAAAACCCCTGTTGTGTGGAAGGCGCCTTGGGAGCCATCGGTGGTATGAAAGTATGTGTAGCAACAGATGACAGTCCCACAGATGACAGAGCACTACCGTACCGGTTTGAACCTCGACTGCTTTCAGAATCCTAAAAACATAATGCGGGATGATTCATTACGACTAATTTAAAGAAATAACATGCTTCTCTAGCCTGGCACTCTTGAAGGCAAAAACCTCCTGAAGGACAGGAAACATGGTACACTGCTGAGGGGTCTAATGTCATCAGAAAAAACCTTGCACCACAGCTGATGGCCAATACTTACTGTGTCACTGCCAGTTCCAGATTCCAAGGTTGAGGCCTCACTACCACTAGAAGATGATAAAGAATCATCCTCATCATGATTTGTGATGGCTGATGTGTATGATGGGACAGGGAATGTTTCACGTATCCATGCCCGGTAGTCAATTACTTCATCTGTCACGCGGATTATACGACCCAAGATACTGAAAATATCACATTATATTAAATCACAAAAATAACTGTAAAAGACAGTAAAAAGTGAACAGAATTTTCTAAAACGAAATTATGTAGAAAACCATGCACAGAATACCTTCACATATAAATAAGCCCACCTGCAACAGAAACAAGTTCTGGAAGATAATAATATTCAATGCTTACTGCACACATTTCCACTGTCTATTGTGAACAACCTACTTTTCTTTAAATGCTTCCACCTGCATTTAGAAAATAGCTGGACAGTCAAAGAACAAATATCAAAGATTTACACTGCTGCCATTTTTTTAAATTTAATGCAATGAAGAATGCTGTTCATCTACCAGGCTACAAAAGTTAACTGGCTGCTACTATTAAACTGAATACAATTTACAAAGCAACTATGTTTACTTTCTAAATAATAATGATTAAAACAGAAACTGTAGATATGTCACTAAACAAAATTTTAGGTGGTCATATTAAATTGTTGTTCTTTCACCCAACTCTGGAGCCAACAAAACTACTACTCCAGCACTGCTGACAGTATGGAATTATAAAAAATGCAGGTGGAGTAACCCCCTACGGCATTACATCCACACCAAGTTGCATGTATGCATAAATACCCATCAAAACCCAAATATAACATAGCAAACGACATGTCAAACCTATGCTTTTTTCATTATAATGAATCTACATTAAAATGTCATAATATAGTTCCATAAGTTGTGCAACAGCAAAAGCTGTCACTACAATTACTTCCTGTTACAAAAAAATTAAAACAAATATAATGATATAAACTCCTCTCACATATCCAAATCATACACTACAAATGATTCTTCAAAAATATACTCAGACACTGCTAACATGGCAATATATTTATACCATATGTTTTTACCTGTATTTATTAGCATCATATATAAAGGTGTTTAGAGGATTCACTGCTTGTGTTAAAACAATGTAGGCATATTCAAAAGTTTGTTTCACTTGTAATGCACCATATGAGCTACGACCGATGTCATTTCCTGGTGTCAAAGGATCTTCTATACAAAGCAGTGATGGGCGATGACCATCAATCATACCACGCAGGACCTGTAATACATATATACAGAATTTCACACACCAGTTGCCTACCAAAAAATTAAAACAGGTTTCTTTACATTAACATTTTTAGACAAAAAAAAAATTCAAAGGAGAATAATGTTTCTGAAAGAGGTACTTCATTCTTAACACTGAAAAGAGTGAACATTATTCCCTTCTGGAACTTCAGACGTTTTTAACCACTTCACATTTTCATACATTCAGATCTTAAGGCTGAAACTTCAAACATAACACTTCCTCTGTTAAATGCTCATAGCTGAGAGATTCTAATAAGGTGCATGATTCAGAACCTGTTGTAATTAATGTAACAGTCAATAAATAGATGCCTCTTAAAACAATACGACAATGACAGAATGAATTAGGCAACATGTAAACGTAAAATGTTTTGCCAAAATATCAGTATTTCAAAACACTCTCTGTAAAAACTTCCCTCGTGGGTAAAATAGTCATAGCTATAGTGGGATGAACTGCCAGCGAAGTTTGAATGTGATCTTCAGAGATATGATACCATGTAATTTTGTGGGTAATAACCAATGTTTTGTAGGAACCTAATATCTCCATAAATCTATCATTCTCACTAACATTTTTCCTACAGCTTGCACTAAAATTTTAATACCCTGTCAGAAAAAGTATATACAACTAGCCCTACGACTTGGTTTAAATGCAGCTACAAAAAGACTAACATTACAATACTGTGTCAAATGTTCTTTGAAAAACTTTTGACGTAAATACGTCTCTATGGAAGGGTCAGTGTCATTCCTCAAAAAAGTGTAACGAAAAATGTGTAAGACAGTTACCTAGGAAATATCAACAATTTGTAAATATGGACCGACAACAATGGTCAGCTTGTATGCATTGTTATGTTACCTAGGAAACGGCATCTGTTTACTCTGCACTGTTGTGTTACATTACTACCGTCAACAATCCACTTTCGTTATTGCAGAAAGAGCTGAGCTGTGAATCGCTTGTAGAAGAAGTGTGTCGTAGACTAGATAATTTTGTGCTGGTAAAAACGTTTTACAATATCACAGGTACTTATCTTATATAAGAATTATTAAGAAATCTATTGTTGCGTTAATTTGTTGCATCATACTATGTACAAGATGGATGACATTGAAGCTAAAAGACTCCATAACGCAGAATATATGAGACAGTACAGAAAACGTAAAAAAAATAGAAGTATTAAATAATGAACTCCAAAGTGTATGGTCAATGGTGAAAAAGTTTTAATTGTAACCCTGTATATTTGTAACCATTGAGACACAGAAAATCCTAATACAATGCCGATAATATTGACAGGAGATTTAAACATTGTTTTAAAGGAGGAGGAAAATCAAAGCTTTCTCACATTTATGGAGAAAACGTTTGGCTTAATGTTGATGTCAAATCAGTACTACTAGATCAAAATCTTGTATAGATATGGTGTTTGCACAATATGTTGATACTCTAAAATGTACAAATTTTATAACATATTTCACCTACCACAGACCCATCTTAAGCGTAACTAATTCAAGGTAGGCAGTACTATCTTACTCAAACTTTAATCAATTGTAAAGCGGGTATAAAGAAAATATTTAGAATAAAGCCACTATATAAACTCCTTACCGTATAGACGTATTTACATCAAATTCTCCGGAACCGTGGTTCCACTGTCACTTTTTATCATTAACAATAGAGCAGACCCTCCTTGTTCTGAGGTATATGCACTGCAGTTTTGCTTTATTTGGGGTTTTAAGCTCAACATTAACTTACCCAAAAAAAAGGGGAACCCCCACAAACAGCAAGGGTGTGTCATATTGAAAAATTAATATTTAAACAAACTGAAGCCAATCTAATTAAAACAATAATTTAAATATGGCCAGCAGCATGCATAATGGTTAAAAAATGTTAAAAATAAGCTCGTCATTTATAAGTTCACCTATAAATTATATATGCAATAAAATGTTAAGGAGAGGAGTATTTCCGGATAGATTAAAATATGCATTAATAAAACCATTATATAAGAATGGTGATATATATGATGTGTCTAATTATAGACCTATATCACTTTTAACATCTTTTTCAAAAATATTTGAAACTATAATGTACTCAAGAATTTTGGATCATCTCAATAAATACAATATTTTAAGTACTGAACAATATGGATTTAGGAAAGGATTAAAAACAGATAATGCAATCTATAAATTGACTACAGAGATTTTAAATGCCATGAATAACAAACAAATAGTGGGAGGCATCTTCTGTGATTTGGAAAAAGCTTTTGATTGTGTTGATCATGAAATTTTGTTATTTAAGCTTAAATTTTATGGTATCAATGGGAAAGATCACGCACTCTATGAATCTTACTTAAATAACAGATACATTAGAACAGTATTACATACTAATGACAGTAACAATACAGCCTCGGATTGGCTTAAAGTTAGATATGGAGTTCCACAAGGGTCTATATTGGGACCTTTGTTGTTTCTTTTATACATAAATGATTTACCCAGTATAATAACTAAATTTGCTACACCTATAATTTTTGCTGATGATACTAGCATCCTATTTTCTCATTCTAATACAAACGACTTTAATAAACACATTCATGCAACATTTGAAAATATAAATAGATGGTTTAGAATGAACAGATTATCACTAAACTTTAATAAGACACATTATATTAATTTTAAAATTAAGAGAAAAATGTCAGATACTGTTACAATAAGTTATAATAATAAATTCATTAATAATATCTTCTGTACTAAATTCTTGGGAATTATGATTGATGGTGCATTAACTTGGAAGAATCATATTGATCTACTTATTAAAAAATTGAGCAAGGCTTGCTATGTAATTAGAAATATGAAACCATATATGTCTATTTCAGTACTAAAGACAATTTATTATGCTTTCTTTCATTCCTTAATGAGCTATGGCATCATTTTCTGGGGAAATTCATCTAGTAGTTACACTATTTTTCTCCTTCAGAAAAAGGCAATTAGAACAATGATGGGATGTAGCAATAGAGTATCGTGTAGAAATATATTCAAAGAATTAGATATCTTACCGTTGGCATCACAATATATATTTTCTTTATTACTGTTTGTATTACAAAACAAAACTCTTTTTCCATCAAACATTGACTCTCATACTATTGATACTAGACAGAGACAAAATTTGTATCTACCCCAAGCCAATTTAACTATTTATCAGAAAGGAGTTCACTATGCGGGTATAAAGATATTTAATAAATTACCCACAGAGGTTAAGAATACCTCAAATAATTTTAAAAAGTTCAAGGTTGCATTAAGGCATTTCTTAATTACTCACTCGTTTTACACTGTGGATGAGTACTTAATTGGATAACTATTGTAATAAAAATACTAATTATATTGTCTTGAATTTAGTACGCTGCTTGTCTAGATGTAATTTTTTTAATGTATGTATTTTATGTTTTTATACTTGAGTTTGTGACGTGTTCTATATCCACTATTGGATTCTTGGAACTTGTAAATAAATAAATAAATAAAATAAATAAATACAGAATTTAGGAAAACGTTCCATTTTCAGGATGATCCAGTTCTCGGAAGTTACGGAACGCTACAGATGCTAAGCTCTGCCAAAATAAAATGTAAACAAATGATCTAATACACAGACATAAGCATAAGATTCCTGATGTGTTCACCTCCTCTTTGGATATGTATGTGCCTCCATCCTTCACTCGAATCCCAGTCTTCATATAATTGAACTTTCTTCCATAAAGTTCAAAAAATTCTATAAGAAGAACGCCCAAATTTGCTCCAGGACAGAAAGCATTCTGCCTTGGATGTAGCTGAAAAATACATAGAACTATATTCTATTAAGTGAAAAATATAATTTATCATAATCTTAAAAAGTGCAACACTGTGAAATACCTGCAAGAAACTGATAGTCATCAGTATAAGGCTATAAGAAGAAATGCCTCCAGTGAACACTTCATTAAGGTCTCGCTGAAGAAGAAACTGTTTAAGTACCAGTACAAGTTTGGACAGCACTGGAAACCGTTGCTTGAAATCTTTTATAAGTTCAGCTGATTTTACTCCATTGCTCATGTTGAAACTGATGTCCACTTTCACATCAGACGCCTTGTCAGTCAGTTTTACAATAGGGACCTGAGAGGAAAACCGTGTTCTCATAAATTAGACACCAAACAGGACTCACATTTTAACTTCAAATCACACTGATTCAACATTAACCTATGCATAAATCACAGTGAATACAATAGCTTAGTTAAAACCACTGGGAATAATGATCTTTTCATCATCACATCACCCAATAATGTACAGTAATTTAATAAACCATGGACTAATACAGTAATACAGATTACATTATGGGATCCATTCTACAGCACTGTTGTCTTTGTGGAACTGGGTCATTAATGGGTCCATTTCCCATACTTTTAGCAAAAGAAGGGGGCCCTGAACTAAAGAAATAACAGATACCTTATGCTATAAAATTAATGTTTCTTTTAAATGCTGCAATTATCCTGGAAAAGTTATTCTATTATAATTGTATTACTGATGGTAGATTGCAAAATAGATAAGTTGAGAAGCCGCTTGCCCACACTGAAGCGTGTAGGTTCATACTGGCGATACCAACCGTCAGATAAATTTACCCATGGAACTCCAAAATTAACAGGAACATAATTTGAGAATCACAGACCTGATCTCTAAAATGAATCAAGGACAATAATGCCAAGTGTTATCAAGAGCAGAGAAGTGGAAACATAAACAATAGAAACCCTGCATATTATAATACTTACTGTGGCTTTGTCCAAAACTTTTAGTGTGCTAGGATCTGCAATGCCATGTTCCAACAGAGACTGTTCAAGAGTTCTAAGTGGCAATGTTTCCCACTTACCAATCACAACCAAATCAATATCACTGTAATAAAATAAATATATTATCATCTTAACCAAGTTGACCACTATAGGTTATGCAAGAATAGACACACAATTTCACATAAACTGAGTAACACAAAATATGAGATTGTGCCTAAGATAAACACAACTACCAAGCTACCACAGACAATTAAAAAATTCAGCAGATGACCTAGTTCTGCCCCCTCCCCAATAAAAGTAAATAATATCATTAATAATGTAGCATATTTATAAGGACCACTTTTAATGAGGTAGTAAAAGGTTTTAAAAACAGTAGAGGCAGAGGAATTGTACTAAGGTATGTCTTTGCTATTTCAGATTTCTTCATGGATACAGCTTTCAGGTCTTCTGTAGCAACAAGTGATTCAAAGAGAAGACATATCTATTCTATCTTTAACTGTAATCCTCTTAATGCAGTATGTTTGATTCAATTTACATTCTTTTCTTGAATTCATTGATTACAGTGGAATATGAACTGATGTCTGTCCCTTCTATATTTATAAATCTTAAAATAACAAAAAAAAGAAAACTGCTAACATAGAACAACTGAACAGTTCGAAGGACACAAGGTTCTTGTGGCTGGGGGGATGACAATGTTCTTCTAGGTTTTCACGCAGTCCAGACTTGTAGGAAGATATCACTGTTTTGGAGAATCATACCGCTTCCACCTTCAGTTTTCAGATATGCTGGACAGAACAATGTCACACTGTAATATTTCAGGAATCTACAATTTAAGATATTAAAATGTCTCAGCAACAATACGTACTACTGTCATTCCTAACCAAGTATTTCATTTTGTCATATTTTAGAGAGAATTATTATGCATATTTTGGGAAGGGAACATCCTATTCTGTGTTACAGAGAGGGATATCATGGCAGGCAAAGTGTTTATGAACATTTTCACAAACATTACACAAAAATCACCTTTCAGATGGAAGAATTTATGAAAGGCAGTATCCCCAATGATGTTATGCAGTAAATACAGCACTAGAAATTTTTATATGAAACATAAGGTCAGTGCTACGTGATGTAAATTCAGACAAATGTTCATGGTGTTTCAGTGCCCAACATAACAATCACAGACTTAACAATTCAGAAAGTGTATAAAACATAAGTTCCATCCAAAAGTCAGTGTAAACATATCAGTACTTATGAGAACTGAATCAGTAGATGAAAAGAAACATACATTAATAACACAATTGCAGATTGATAACACTGATAAAATTATCAGTTTCACATTACCTTGACCTTGTAACAGCAAGATAAGATGAAATCACAACAGACAAAACTCAAGTAAAGAAACAAAGTGTGAAGGAGATAATTACTACAGAGGCGCCAACATTAAATGTAACACATTTTAACTCAACATCCAATTTTTCATAAAGGAACTGCTCCATATTAAACTGCCATAACCATCTTGAAAATGTTATTCCTTGAGCAGCTGATAGATGTTCAGCTGCTTAAACTATGCCCACTTTGTATGGAACCTGAAATGTAATGCTGTCTTCTTGGAAGTCCAATCCAGATGTATATAAAAGCAGTTTACATATCCCAAACCAATCTACATAAGATCAATTTCAATATTATCCTCTGTAATCGCAATTTTTCATTGGGTATTTTTAACCAAAACTGTGTCCATTTGTTTTTCATCCATGATACATGACTCACATGCCACTGCCTCCTGAAAACAAATACCTTGTTTTTAATGACAAGAGTGGGGTAAGACAGAGTTCCTTGGTACTGTGGGTACTGTACCAGTCTTTGATGATGGTGATACCAGATTGAGTTTGGAGCTTTGATGAAATGATGAACAGCAGGATAAACTTACAATAACCACAGAAAACCTTGGCAGTGAAGCACAACTCTGTCCATTATAAATCCAACTACTCTGGAAGCAAACCTGAGCCTCTGCAGTCTGAAACAGGAGCTATGATACAACTTACATTCAGATATCTAATATGACAACATTAACCGTTTTTAACAGTGCAGCTTACCCTTACACAAGTTTGGTGCAATGAATTTTGGCACCACTGCAAGTCAATAATTCTCATGAATTGTATGCAATACCAAGGTTAGATAAGACATAATAAATTTTGTATGGATGTCCTCTGGTCACATATGCATAACAATAGCACATCAAAACATTTGCGGGTTATTTAAGCAATTTTCAAAATTTCTTACAAACCTTGTAGGAAGATAAAGCCCTGTTCTGAAGCTTCCAAAGATCTCAACCTTCGCATCTCGCCATAAACCAAGAACAACCTTTTCTATACGACGAACAACACTGACACGCAATTCATGTTCCTCCGGCGTGGGGCACATGTAGTTATAGAAATCTTCAATCTCTTCATGAAGGCTAAAATCATGAACAGTACACAATAACATCAACTGATACATCATACTTAATAAACATCAGAAAAGCCAACCTCAACGCATTATTTCACTCAAATAAACCCAAAAATTACTGTGTAAACTGTTTTTCTTTCCACGTACCCTATTACCCCTCTACCGTATGTTTTATTCGGCTTCTTCCAAGGGCAACCTCCATGATCGCCGATAAGAGTTGCTTGGTTATGGTTCATGCCATATGTACTAGCACGATTCTCTCTTTTCCTACGTTTACGATTAAAATAATTGTTACAGTTCGCTGTCACACGAATATGTTGATCATCACTATTCGTTGTACTATCCACTGGAATGTAATCATGTGATTTTGTACCTAAACTCGTATTTACATCTATAAGATTCATGTTGTCCACTCCTTTTTGAGTTTCCCAAATTCGTATCCACAAATCTTTCGCAGGGCCTTCTTGTTCAGGTTGAAACCAACCAATAATCGGATCCATCAAAGGCACCTTGCACGTATGCAGGCGCTTTGACTTTTCTGACGCTGCAAATATCTAATCGAACACATACACATGCATTTATAGAAATTCACAATTAACACGCCTATTCTACACCGGTTGGCGGTTACAGTAATACCAATGATTAGTACTACTAACTATCACAAGATGACAGCTTCATAAGGGTATCAAGGTAGGAATTAATTTTTTACACTCATTATTGATATATCATCAAAAACGAAAAGTAGTCAACAGATAATTACAATAAAATGAAAACTGTTTTACCAATGAGTCTTTGTTTATATAGTATAAAAATGAATTAAATTACTATAGCCATGTAAGCATATTTTAACTGACAATTTTTGAATAGGCTCAAAAATAATCTTCCCTAATTGTTATACCTAGCTTTAAAATGTTAATAACTGCATGATTCTAATTTGGAAGTCCTATATCTCACGTCTTAGTTAATTAAAATGCCTTAAAAAATTAATTAACATAACAGAACCTTCTCGAATTACATTAGTTCACAGTTTCGTCACAAGATGGAAACTACTCTCTTGTGGCGGAACAATACGAATGCACAGGAACAAAAACCACACATTAAAGGTGGCGACTGACTTGTAACATTTACTTGTAATGTAACATTCGCGGCGAGCATGTTACATTACACCACAACTGGTGAGGCGTATCGAATGCTCGTTTTGAACGCTCGGCTCGACTGTGCTCATGTGTGCTCCATTCATTTCATTCAATATGTCGGACGTGGAGGTTGTGTTATCTTTGTTTCATTTAATACGCTACTCTTATCTAAAGAACTCGTGAATGCTCGTTACGACGCCGCTCGACTGACTGACTGACTTGTAATGTAACACTCAAAGGGATTCGCGAAAAAACCGACAACACGATGGAGCGCCCGCGAGCGTGAGCGGCTCGCATCGAGCGGCTCCGTTCGCTGTCTTCACTTGTGTAATGCTCGATTTGCAACACGTTACATTACAGGCAAATGTTACAAGTCAGTCGCCACCTTAACAAAATCACTCACACCTTGAAACCGATTTTAGACTGACAATCCTTATGCGTCACATCATCTGTAGTTTCAAGTAACTGTTTTGCGAATTTGTAAATATACATCACATTAAAAATTCACTGTCATTCCTGCATAAAAACGTAGAAATTAATAATAATTTACCAAACTAATTTTATAAAAGTAAACTCCTTGATAAATCATTAGTTGTTCAGTTTAAGCTATTCCCTGCTTTTTATGGACTTCAAAGATTCATTAATGCTCACAAGCATATATGAACTGGAGCATTATGCTTGTTCCTATCCTGAATCACACAAATCCAGTCCACTCCTTTCCACCATATTAATAATTTATAATAGATTTTAATATAATTCACCCACAAATGCTTAGGTCTTCCAAGTGCTGTCTTCGCTTTACGATTTCCAACCAAAATTTTGCATGTACTTGTTAGCAGTTCCACATATGCTATAGGCCCAACCTATTTCACTTTTCTTTAGTTTATTAACCCAACATATCATGAAGAGTACAAATAATGATCTGGTTGCTCAGTTTCATGATGAAGGCACAACTGTGGGTGACACACTGGCAAAACCTACTAACACCAGAGATTTTTACCAGAGTTATGGAGAGTCATCACTACAGCAAGGCTCTACAAAGACAGTGATGATGGATATTCACAGGACATAATTTTTCATAATTAATATGTGCACATAAGATTTGGAAGAAATAAATTATCAACTGTCATTTACAGGTTTTATTCCCAAGTATCAGGTCATTCTGTATGAGATATGGGGATAACACACTATGTTCTAAACCTCAGAACTACATGGAGGCAAGAGGTAAGCTTCATGCCTTCCCCAATTTTAAGAATTCTGCTAAATCACACTTTCTGTCCTCTGATGGCCATTACATTTCAGTCACACTGTTGTAAAAATTAATGTGACAGAATGACTGGCACAGAAGACACTGTGTTAACATGCTGAAAAAAGTTGCTCATAGTGGGAAACTAAACAATATTGCATATCAGCAAGCACAATAACTTTACAGCACTTCGTAAAACAATCGTAAGATCCAAAATGAATGCAATGTTAGCTCGGCTTATTGCGGCACTTCCTTACTGGAGAAGGGTGGGGTCAAAACTTATGAAGTTGCATAAACATACACAACATTCTGATTCTTACCACAGGTTTTGTATTTGCTGGTCCTAGAGTAAATGTTATAATAAGGCTGTACTGTACAATATAAAAGATCTCCATTCACGCATTTAGCTCCGAGTCATACGATGTCACTAATCAAATGATGAGAACAAAAGGGTAAATTTTAAGAACAAAGAGAGTTTAAATAGGAAGAGTGAAGGATTTCAAAATGGCTTTCTGGGCCAACACTGATGATTGAGACAACCTGCAGAAAAGTTGGTTTATTGTACTACCATAGATTCTACTTGTCAAAAAAATTCTTAATACAGAGCATGTAACATAACACCTCAGTCTTCTGTTCGTGGATTGTTTGACTGATACAGTTAACTGACAAACATTTACAATAAGGTCTTCCAAATAACACATTCTTTCATGTTAAGAAATATGGTAACTTTTCAATATTACACAAAAATGAAAACAATGCTCACTTGTAGCATAACTAAGGAACATCACTGAAACAAAATAAAAGCCACCAGATGGAAAACCTAACTTTTAAATGCATAAATTATAAGGAAACAATGATATACAACTTTAGGTAAATTTAATATCGTGACGCGCACCAATCTTTATTATAGATTCAATGTGTAATTTTTATCAGCAGTGGAATATCATCACTTCAATTTAATGTGCCAGTTACTCAAAATTAAAATGATCCAAAATATTTGGTTATTAAATGCTTATTGTTGCTGATCATAATGCGCTATAACACGCAATAACACAACTGTCAGCATACGATAGAACAATGTAACAATTCAAAACTCAACTTGGATATGTGCTTGAGCTCAGCGATGCCAATTAGAGCTTTAAACCTTTACTCCACACACAAGAATGTTCTGTATAGGACAATAATAAGTTTAAAAGCTGCAGAATTCATCTCCAGAACAAGGAAAATGTTTTCAATATGACTAACATAATACACTCAGCTCCTAACATTTGGCAGTAAGTATGAAACAGAGAATTGTATATATTCAAGCAAGTCAGTTGCACTGACAGGATCATCAATACATTACAAAAGTGTATATAATACAAGAATTAATCAGCAATTTAAGTAAGGACATTTTGTAAATATTTTATGGAACTCTGACTTTACCCTAAATAGTCTTTGTCTTGCTTCCTTCCATGCTCCACATTTCAAAATACCTCTTAAAACTTCAAGGTGTAAGGTACTCCAAGAGACGATAATCTGAAACAAGGTAGTTAGCAAAACAACAGTACTCAGGGCTGCCTTAACCTTGAAGGGGGGAGGGGGAGGTTTAACTGAAAAATTGTAAAAATAAAAGATTGCTGCCATTTCCTTACAGTTCATGCCTGCTGTGCTGCCTCTGGAAACATTGTTTTCACAAGTTCTTTCTTGTTAACTTTCCCCATTGCATTCTTGGGTAATTTTTCCACTACTTTAAGTACAGTTGGAATTGCATATGGTGCCATCCGTTCTTTGGACCATTCTCGAAGTTTAGAAAGAATGATTTCCTTGCCACTTTTTGGAACCACCACTGCTGCCACCTGTATGACAACAAATACAATAGACTTCTATTACATACCTACCGACATGTTAAGATAGGAGCACGGCAATCACATCTATCATGATTTCAGGAAAGATGGGTGTCTTGTGGGTTGTAGTGCCATGTAGTCTGGCAGAAGTTTATCAACAATTCAGAGGTCCACGCTGTCTCCTTCATCAGGACAATATCAGTAGATTTCTATCAGACTACATGGCACAAGGTTGAAGACAGCAATTTTCATATGACTTCATACAATAAGAAGCCCAGATATGCACACAAACCTAACGTTCATTTATATCCAACAAATTTTCAGTAATTAATAACAATAAACTGTCTCTTCTATGTCAGTCTGTGATGCGCACCTTTTGTCCCCATGTAAGGTCTGGTACACCAACCACAGAGCAGTCAGCTATGTCTGGATGTCCTAGAAGATGAGTCTCTATTTCCACTGCGCTAACCTTATAGCCACCAGTCTTGATGATATCTACAGATGTCCGACCAAGAATCTTGTATGTTCCATTATCACAACGAGCTGTATCACCTGAAACACGGTACGGTACTATCCTGTAAGCATAAACTCAGGCTGGCCAATCAGGAGGGATTCAAATTGGGTGGGACATGTCAGCTTCTAGTCTATGCTGACAATGTAAATTTATTGGAAATATATACATCATAAAAACACGGCCTAAACTCGACTAGACACTAACGAGGAGCTTAGTCAAAAAGGAAACAGAGATTTTATCATGTCTCATCACCAGAATATAGGTCAATACCATAATGTAAAAACAGCTAATAAATTCTTAAAAATATATAGCAAAATCTCAGTTATTTGGGAACAGTGCCAACAAATCAAAATTATTTTCAAGAAAAAATTCTGTACAGACTAAATATAGTGACTGCTATAAAAAACTTAGATTAAAATTTGTCTGAAAACACATACCTCTTGTAACAACAATTTCTTGAGAAATACTGAAAATGGGTGACAACATCATTTACAAGTATATGACAGATATAAACAGCTCAACTATAAAGGGTTAAGTGCCCACAACTTGAAACCATTAAATAAGATCTGTGGTCTTACCCGTTTTAAACCATCCATCTTCTGTAAATGCCTTCCGTGTTTCTTCAGAATTTTTCCAATAACCTTTAAAAACATTTGGACCCTTCACGTGCAATTCACCACTTGTATACTTTGAAGAGAGAATGTTTCTTCCTTCAGCAGCAGGCCCCTCTACTAGAAATTCGTAGTCTTCATTATGAGTTTTCGCTATCTGTACCTGCATTCCCGGCAGTGGAGTTCCTACATATCCTACAGTCACCAACAATTACAAATTATTTTCCATTAATACATTTATATTTCAAATTTTGAACTGTAAATGCTTTAAAGACCACAAACTTTGCATTTTGCCCAGAGTGCATTTATTGGTTCTGTAAGATTATCAGAATAAACAGTGATTATTTCACTAAACAGCATTAAACAATCATTTTTTTAACGGAGATACAGTGTTTTCTCTGAGGAAAGAACTGACTAGATATTATTCAGATGGGCTTTGGCTTCAAAGGGATAATCTCAAAGGTACATGACCTTTGAACAATGGACAGTTATTTAGCACAGTATATGCAGAAATCAGTGCTCTGTGACAATTCTCTCTCATACCATTCACTGGTGAACAAACTGTAGTTCACAGACAAAAATACTTGCACAATTTTTAAAATGCTGATGTATTTCTATATATCAAGCAATTTTAAATATGGACAAAACAAAAGACTGTGAAAATATTCTACAGAAGCTGTTCCCATTTCTAAAGATCATGTGTGAAGTGTTCCCAGAAACATTTATCAATAAATTGATCTCTGTTAAAACATTTAAGTTAATCTGTTATCAAATAAATATGTTATATTTTAACACAATCCTAAACATGGTAAGCCATTTCCTTGTACATTCAAAATTAAAGTCCCAGTAAAGGTGTGAAAGGGTGAACATACACTGTATTAATTTCTGTGGTTCTCACCTGGTTTTCGAACACCTTTAAGGGAGTTGGACAGAACCATCCCAGTCTCTGTCATTCCATACCTTTCCAGAAGTCTGTGTCCAGTGATTGCCTCCCAGCGTTCAAACAGTGGTGATGGCAGAGGAGATGAGCCACTGACCATCAGTCTGGTAGAGCGGAAAGCAAAGTGCACTGGGTATACAGAAAAGCTTTCCCATAAGACATCATTACCTAACAATAACATGTGTTGTCTAGATGTATATTACCCTCAAGACTCATTAACCCCCCTCCATTTCCTGCTTCTGTCCTCAGTGACCTCTAACAAGGTACATGACATTCCACATCACTTGTCCCGCAGTTAAAGAAGAAACCCAATAATAATAATCCGTGGTGTAACAGCCCTATGAGAGCCAAAGCCGACTAGCTGGCTGCTGGCCTCACGTTCACATGCCTAAGCAGAGGTGAACAATCATCCAACCAGATATAGGGTGACGTGTGGTCAGCACGACGAACCCCCAGCCATTGCTAGCTTTCCTGACCGGATTAAGGTACTCATTGTAGCTCCCCAATTTCCTCACGATGCTGGGTTGGCACCGATCCCATACACTGGTCGAAAATCTCATGAGAAATTTCTTTCCCCGAGACTCGGACCAGCGTGCATTCCGTATCACCGGTCCGAAGCATGATGCCTCAGACTGCGTGGCTACGGCGCGGGACGAAGAAACCCAATGAGGCTGTAAAATGAGTCACTTCTATCTGTTTAAGGTTCAATGAGCCTATTAGGTCAGTCCAGGCACCAGATTCTCCAGCATGTTTTGATTTGTTATGTGAACAGAAATCTATACATGAAAAGTATAACATGTGTAGCGTGTAGTAAAGTACAGTGACTGGTGTAATTTGCACTTTCATTTTTTAAGTGTAAATATGGCAGTCTGTGATGAAAAAAGTAGGTTCAATATTTACTAAAAAGTGAGGCACCATACTGCATATTTAAATGCACTCTGCCTTTAAGACTTCAAAACACAAAAAGTTGGAGGTTACTCAGTCTGGATGAAATGCTGACCTGTTCTTATACATCACAATTACTGTTTCTCAAAAATTACCAAATTACATCTCTTTAAACTAATAGATTGTATAAGTATACCAGTTTCCATTAAACTGCAAGGTATCAGGGCATAAAATTGCATTTCAACTGGTTGATTACACATGGAATGACAAAACTGAGCATTTATTGTTTTTGAAGTTGATGTGTCATGGATATTAAAATATAAAACAGATGTGAATCTTGACAGATCTTCTCAGTGTAAGGCAGTGGTCCCCAACCTTTTTGTGCCTACGGGCACATTTGAGAGTTTATGAGATCGTGGTGGGCACCAACCAATTAACGAAGCCAAATTTTCTTTTCTCTGGACAAATAAGATATGGAACCAAATAATATGCAAAACAACACGACGTTTAATGATACAAGAAACCATGCAATCAAAAATACGTATTTTTGTAAGTACAATTATTATTACTCAAGTGGGAAGTTAGTACGATGTTTGGCGCTGCATTTCATCAGCCAGTTTTTCAAATTTGGGAGTGTAGGATGATGCTGCTGCTCGCAAACAATCGTCAAGATGGGCATCAGTAAGTCAAGATCTGTGCTTTGATTTTATAATGTTTGTGGTTGAATGGCCTTCATTATTCAGTATAACCTCTTTCCATAACAACGTCGGCACCCAAAAAAAGCCTTGGCGGGCACCGCGTTGGGGACCACTGGTGAAAGGCATTGAAATAACAGACAATCCCACATATAACCCAAGCAGTAATGATTTACAAGTAGATATAAAGCAATAAGAACCATTCTAGGCAACTATTTAATATTTGTATATTACAGTATGGTAAAAATCCATCCCAAAAGCGAGATGGCTGAAATGAGCCATAATAACTATGTAATGTGTCCCACTTAATATGGAATTCACCATGGCATCAGGGAGTTATAAAAGCAAGCAAACTATAGAACACAGCTGTCAAATGATAGCAGATGGGTTCTGAACTATGTGGGCTCCTATGTAGAAGTGGATAGCTACTAACCTTATTTTCTGCGAACATACTGTTTGTATGTATTCCTGCATGCGGGCATTCTTGGTAAAAATACGATCATACTCTTCCACTAATTTCATATATATAGTGGGAACTGCCATGAACATGTTCACTCGTTCACTTGCCGGCATGTTGATTGCTAGAAGATGACTCCACACTCGAGAAACCTCAAATTTTGGAAGCATTACACACCTACGAGTTAGTCAAACAATCAAAGTCAAATATCCAACTAAAATATGATTAAAATTTAAAACCACTACAACAAAAATAATGGAATATAAACATGTAATAATGTTTAGTGGGCTGCTTCCTAATGTGTTCTTTACAAACACTTTTGATGTTCATTTACCACAGATACAAATCTACTGACAGGGTTAATCGGCATGCATGCATAGTTTGGCCACATGACCAAAGTTTTTCATTCAGTGAATACCTGTTGCATACACCAAGACATAATAAGCCAAGCCACAACTACTATGGAGTGAAGACGTCAAGTAAACTGATGTGGACAGTTCCCACTCAAAATGTAACTAAAAGAGTCATGTCTTACAATTAAGCATTCACTTTATGTCCAGAACGCAAGGAATGTCCAACATACTCGAAAGAAGGAAAATAAATTGTCGGTGGAGAGGGCTGTTTGTGATATCACCACTGCTAAATAATTATCTGGAATTGAACGTTTTAAAAAGATGTACCTTCCAATATATTTTAACAAAACTGTGTCCCATAATTTTAAAGAATGTGGTAGTACCTGCCACCAACTGCAAGAGGGCACAGGAGAACATTCACAATCCCATGTATATGATGAAGCGGTAGAGTGTGGAGTACAGTGTCCTTTTCTGTCCATCCCCATGCCTCAACAAGGGAAGATACCTGGGCATGTATATTAGCATGAGTAATAACTGCCCCTGAAACAGAATTTTAATAGAGTATGTACTCATATTAAGAGACAGATATAAACAGATAATTACACAAATATGTAATAAAATGGATGAACCCCATTACTTCTCACTTCATAGTAAAATATGAATATTCAATCCATGGCAACCTGTGTCAGTGCTAGGCTTAAACTGATGCAATTAACTATGGTTATTACATCAATTCAAGTTTGCAATAAGCTTTCACTGGAATGTAAGTTTATAAACCAATAATAAAACGCAATTTAGCTCATGGGCTAGAATGCTAGATTAATCCATTGATAATCATAGAAGTTTGTAAAACATAACTTTCAGACCTCTCGCTGTCAACATGTTTGTGTAATCGTTGATTTAATAAACAATATTTGATGCTGTATAGCCTTGTATGACATAACTGAAATGACAAAAAAAATCTTAAGTATACCCTTGGGTGGTCCAGTTGTCCCAGAGGTATAAATGATCAATGCATCACTGTCATTATAGAACTGAGGATCTAGTCCGCCTTCCAAGGGTTGATCCTCTTCCCATGGTGAAGGTACTGGTATTGCAGGCAACAGTGTAGATTTAGGGGCAGACTTCATGGCTAGGACACGAAGTGCTTCATCAAATACCAACAGTCTGGCTCTAGATTTAACTGCTAAGTTCTGAAGACTATCAGCATATTCTGTAGTTGTCACAACCAAACTGGCCTCACTATTGCTAATATAGTGTTCATGGACAGGAGATGGATGGTCTGCCATCATTGGAACAGCTGTAAAATCATTGAAAGCAAGCCACAGTTATTCAACAGAAATAAATAATATTATAACATTTTGTAATTCAATGTCAAAGGCCAATTTTGAGAATGTCTAACAAAAGCCAACATATCAATAACTCTGTTTATCTTCACTGTAGAACTGTGATTTAATAATCTCATGGTCCTGCTTGTGTCATGTAGAAAGCCCCAATTCAGGCAGAAAAATGTAGCACTGTTGTCAGCTTTTCATTTTAATTCCAAACACAGAAGAATGATGTTGCAACCTGGTAATGCTCACATTACATTCCAGTACATTCAAGGCGGAAAGAATGTTCAGGTGCTTCTCTGACAAAACTGAGCAACTGGCAATTAGCAAGGAAAATATGTAACTGTCAGCCAATGCTGTTTTGAGACACACCACACAGCACTGATTGGAAGGATCATAAATTGTGATTCTAGTACAATGTACTCTCTGAACACTCAACACCTGAAGAAGTACAAGTCTGAATACATAAATCAGATATCAATCACAAGCATGAATTTGTGCTCCAAGTCTGTAATACACCTTACCTATCTGACCACTCATCCAGCATGCCCATTGAACAATGACATATGATGCATCATTGGGGCAGAGGAATGCCACCCTCTCTTGCTTTTTACCGTCCAAGTAACTCGACAGTTCTCCAGCAAACTGACGGCTACTGAGGAATATTCCACGATATGTGTAATCACCATGGCGATCCCGCAATGCAATTCGATCACTGTATTGTGGTGCATGTCGAAATATTGGCACTACTGAAGATTTAGGACCACTGACTGATTCCCTGGTTGCGGCACAGGCTGCATAAGTTTGCTGCCAGCATCGTGAAGACAAATAGTAACCCGCTGACTGACGGCCACAACAAACACCCAAATAGCGACCAGCCAGCAAACATGCCATTTTTAATGTTTGTAACGATACCCCTGAAACTTGAACTAAGTAAAACACTGATAATAATACATTAATAATTGAAATGAAATTAACATTTCAATAAATGCTGCCTCAAAGTATACCCTTGTTATGCGAAATGCTAGTCAAGGTATTACTTAACTTTAGAATGCTGCACTTTCAAAACCTATTTGGAAGTCAACACAGGTTTTTAAATCTGTCGTTGAAATACTTAAGTTGATCTAGTAGTTACTTACTACCTTCATTTCAATTCTATGCACATTAACAATGAAAACTGGACAAACATTATTCCAAAATAGTACGTCAACCTAAAACACGACTAATTTCTACAGCCGCCGCGCACCCACACAGATACAGACAGGCGCAACCAAAGATGGTAAAATACAACCTAAATGCGCAATACAGCACTTGATCAGAAACATACTCTACTCTTACAATTTCGAAGGACATCCAAGATTCCAGAAAGGATAGTACTTCACATATGAATTATCGCAGCACATCGTATTAGTTTATTCTTTTCGCTAAGGTCCCATTAGGAACATTAAGGACATATAATGTGTACATTACAGAAACCTTACAAATCAATGTTAATCATACGATAGTCGATGGACCATTATTAGCGGCATTCACACATTTTAACACAGATGGAAACATTTGTCGTACAAGCACTAAATTCTTTTTTCCATTTCCCTTTAAAGCTTAGACTATGTATCATTATAAATTCCTTGACATTTTACGTTCTCATGGCGGCAAGAGTAAAAATTACTTTTCCGGGACTTTCCTTCGGCTTAACCACGCCTTTCTATCTTTCCACCAGCCTTGATATGACCAATGCACGTAAACAACTGCGGAGAATGACTATTTCAAAAGTGTCAACCAAATTCCAAGGCAGTGAAAATTGAATATATACATCATACTTTATCTTCCATGATGCACAAATGGCACACACGTAAAAGTAGTACAGTACTTATGCAGAAATCATTACTGTACTTCATCCTTCAAAATCGTAATCTCATTTATGGTGAAATATTACAGTCCCCATTTGTTTAGCTATAATTCACATTGGTGTCGATTCTTCGATAGTTTTGTTTTAATGTGAGGATTCGATAGAGAACGAGGTGATAAGTATTTGACACTAGTACCAACGAATGTATGTACTCTTTCATGAATGATAAATAACAGTTAATACCTGAATAAGGTGTGAAGCCATATATTATAAATACGGACGACATATACAAAGACTTACTCGCTGTAATATTTATACAATAAGTGAGCAACACAATAGTTTCCCCGCTTGACGGAAACGTAGCCGTCACAGTCGATTAGTTCACGCTCGTGAATTTGGGAGGTGCGGGGTTCAAATCTCGTTTCAGAGACCGACTATCCTGACTCGTTTTTGTGTGTTTCCTCAGTTTCTCCAGGCAAATGACGATATAGTACCACAAATAATGGCAAGGCCGCTTTCTTTCACATCTTTTCCAGTTCACTGTTCATTAATCCCATCATTTCTAACTCTAATTCACTTAATGCTGAAAAGCCTGAACTACCGACATTGTCAAACCGAAATAAATAAAAATAGTGGCGCAACGGTAGGTTCTTTTTTCATTTGGCTTTCCCATGCTAGTGCTTATTCCATCATACCTGTCTGATTCAACAAGTCTGACCAGGGAACACATCACTATGATCTGAAACATTGCTGTCCACCTACAGGTCCACACATCATTACAACACAAGACCAACATGGACACTTTCTTTGTGTTTGCTATATGTCTAAACATTAAATAAATTGAGATTTGCAACAAATTCTATCATAGATGTCATTTTGGGACATACTAAATACATGCTTATTATTGTTTTAAATTTAAGAAAACACAATTTAAAAATTGTGTAAAATTTTATGGGTTTTATGTCACTGGTGCTTTAGACATCTTGATGCATTTTTTTTTAGAGATTAATAGTTTATTTTCATGAAACAGTCATTAACTTTAAGGCAGTGAAACACAAAGGTTTATCACTACTAATACCAGAGGCTACCTTTTATATTGTGGCCATAGAAAAATGTATAATTGAAAATCAGTAAACTGTATGAATGATATTAAAATACCAATATGGGCAGTCAATGCAGGAACTATTATTACAACTCTTCAAATCTGTGTTATGATAATTCTAACTTATATCATAGTTGTTATTCCTCATGTAGTTCTGTTTTACCAAATTTTAACATATAGTGTGAAGAGTAATCGATTTTGATGCTTGATACATAAGCACTTTAATATGTATGCACAGTTTTTACAAATTATGGTTTATATAAGTAACGACATTAACCTGAGCTGCAATTTTCAGGCACTATGGGTCGCACTCGGAAAGACAGTACAGGGACTAACACAGTGGATCACTATCGGAAACAAATTGGTACGAAGTGAAAGTGATATTAATGTAGCCATTTAAGCATGATTTTCAAGTACTTCCTATAGTACATAGTCAAAACATTTTGTGTCAGTATAAGTTGAAGAACTTGCAAATCAAATATGTAAGGCAAGGAACGACATTTCACATTCAGTATGAAGTACTAATAAAAGATTGTGATCTCATAGTATGATTTTCTTTCCCTCCTCCCCACCTCAAGTTGAAAAGCCATGGTTGGTATTCAAATGGGGGCTATATTTTTTGAATTTCAAAACTGCAAAATAGTATAGTGCTAGTTTCAATTGTGTTGCACTGAAGGAAAAATGACCAGTCTTATAGGTTATGTTACTTGTAGGTATGAATTATTTTAAAAATATTTAATTATTTGTTGTATTAAAGAAACTCAGAAAACTTCCATAATTCATAATGGATATATTTTGTGTGTGAAATGTTCACCTGGACATCATAAAATGTTCCTGATATTGCATACATTATTTTTCCTACAAATACTCCATGTATTTTGCCGATTAGAAGATGGTAAAGACTGTATAATTAGTATTATATATAACTGTATAAGAGATAATGATTGCCAAATTCTAACATGGACATCAGTTTTCTGATATATAGGTGTCCCAAAAAGAGTATACACACAAGGTTAACATTTCCTATTATTTGTATATACATCTTCTTGTGACAACCTGTATGTAGCCTTTACCAACACTTAATAAGGTACTGTCTAAAAGGATAACCTTGAAGCACTTGAGAGTTCAGAGGCATTCCAGATATGTTGTATTACCAACTTGAGCACTGTTTTGTGTTTCCATTCATTTCTATAATATGGCATTACACTTTTATAGCAAAGCAAGAAGTAAAGAGGACCAAAGAGACCTTGAAGGGGATAAAGTTCCAGTCAGATAAAAAGGCAAATGCTCCTACCATGTATAAGGTACAGTACAAACCATACATATGCTACAGATATATGAAATATTTCAACATGAAACTATGTAAGGATTAATATTTTGTAAAGTTGTGTTGAATCTTGTGTCATGCCTTGTTATTGCAGGCATAACCAGGATACACAGAATGGTGTACAAAATATTTACCCATCTCTTTTGTTTGTTAAAATCACATGTTAAGAACTGATTTCAAACTTTGCCAGTGGATGCAGCAGTTCAGGAAGTTACTGTAGGTGACAGCTGAATACTATGTTGCTAGTGATGTAATGCAATAAGTGAGCTGACAGTATTCACTGCTATGAAAATCTCGAATTCAAGTGTGAGGCTTGTTGAGCATAACACAATAAGAGTGATCTTTTTTGTGGAAAGTTACATGTCAATCTAAAATAGATAAACTTTTGTGCATACTTTAGTACCCACAGGGTCCTGCAAAACAAACAAAATGCACGATCACCAAACAGTTTGAAGAGGGTGGTTGTAATGGAGTATCATCTTCATGCTCTTAAGTGTCTATAGCCTGGGGAATATTGAAATTCTGAGTTACAATGCAGAGATGCCCAGAGAAGAACTGTAATGTGCCACATGATTTCAAAAGATTTATGCTGGAAGTCATCTCACTTGCATTTGTATTGAGGTTATAAAGCAGTCTGGGGTTCATACTGAGCATGTGGGATTTGACGTTTTCACAGTGGTGAGGATGATGATATGAGTTTTGGCACTGTGAAGATGGAGACATTATATTTCTCAAAAACGTTGGCACCAAAACCCATATCATCATACTGAGCATGTTCTGTGCTGAGAACCGCATTCCAGACTTGTGTACATGTAGGATTTATTAATTTTGATTCTAGTTTCCATGTAATGTTTAAATAGGTAAACATGTTGTAGACCACCATGTATCCATATGCAGCAGGTTCCAGTTAATTAGGCCATCGGTTAATCAGGGCAGCCATTTATTTGGGACAAATATTAAAGAACAAATTTTTTTAACTCTTTACGTGGAACTTCGCATAATTGGGGCAGCCACTTAATTGGACCAAAGTGTTCTAGTCCTGATGTGTCCCAATTAACTGGAATCCACTGGATTTCCCACTCTAACAAATATAGATATTACTTCATATTGAAATAATTAACATTTTTCCTCCATCTTTTCTTTGCAGGATATCAGCATAATGGTAGGAGCTATGCTTTTTCTCTGTTTCTGTGTATATATCATTTTCTATGGTCTTTTTTCTATACAGTGAGCAAAGGAAAATGAAACATGTTGATTTTAATCAGAAACTTGAGCTTAATGAAGTATGTGTTTCTGTTCACAAACAGTGCTCCATTTTCACTCAGGTTCTTGGATATCTCAACTCATGAAATATTGGTCTAGTTTACAAACTGTTATTTTTTTGTTTTTTTATATATCAAGATTCTACAAGTATGAATCAATTAAATGTTTTAATTTTTTGCAATCAACAGTTTATTACTGTTACTGAATTGAATTGTTCCTCTTTATAATAATAAGAGAGTGAGCATGAGTTGACACTCTTTGCTGCTGGTAACAAGTGACTTTTATCTTTTATTGCACACTATAATATGATATCCACCATTTTGTTAGCTTATGCTGCAATCCTTTTTTCAAATGATTTTATAAAGAAATATGAAACTAGTATGGGAAAAGAGAAGTCTGAAAAGCAAAAAGACTCTACAAATGTGCTTCATGACACTAAAATATAACAATTAGTTTACCTTAGGTTTATTTGTTATAATGTACAGATATAATCAAGACATACCTTTCAGCAGTGTCTTTATGGCTTATTTTGTATTTACAGAAATTAAGTAAACAATATATCAAGTTTTTAATGATAACAAAAATAATACCATATACATTCTATTACCCAAGTCACTACAACACTACTACCCTCCTTAACATTAGCCAAAATTATTGCTATTGTAATATTTCTGACTCTACTGTCTTCCTCTGATGATTAAAAATAAATACTTTCACATTTCACACAACCTTCAAGCAGCAACACTGATTCTGTCTAGAAAGCAAGACTTGTACTAAACATGGTCTTACCTTCACAGTTCACTGAATGTACACAATGGTGGCATAATGTATAATGAAATTAATGCTGTTTTAGTGGAATGCCCAGGTGAATGTATATACTTCTTCAGCCCTCCATTTCAAGTATGAACCGTAGTTGCTTGCAGAAGCTTCCACTGGAGATTACTGGCCAACATCATGAAACTTTTGGTCCTTATCATAAGGGGCCAGAATAATAATTGAAACATTTTAAGAAAAACAATGTTCATGGACAGTTACTTTGCAAACTACCCTGTTTCAATTAAAAACAATGAAAGTACAAGGTAACAAGAGTAGAAGTAAAGTACAGAGTGATTTAAATATTCGTGTGCCTAGACAATTTATTTTTATATTTATTTAACAACACTACCAATAGCTCAGGCTGTATAGTGTCAGACAGTTTACTTTTTATGGAGTGTCCCAATTTTCATTAAGTTTCCAATGTCATACTCCATAACCGTCAAGTCATTCTAGTCCCCTTTCTCAACTTATATGGTGGCCTCTAGGGTTGATACAGCATCCTAAAGTGCCAAAAGACACGTTAACTATAATTTCACTATCGTGATAAAGGCCCACAGAAACTTATAAGTCATTGTATATACAAAATGCATTTCTATCTTTAAAATGGGGGATATGATGGTCCCAAAGCTACAGTGCCATTTCAGTGGAGATTGCCTTCATCGGCAGTCATTGGCTTTAGTCATATACTACAGGCACCGTGTCATGTTACTTAACGTAGCCGTTATAATGTTACAGCACATGCTAAACCAATGTCCATATGTTTGCCACTATGAAATTTAAAACGAAATATAACAAAATACTTCAGATATCTGAGTCATCTGAGATATATTCTACAGACGTTGATCACCGACTTCAGTCAGTACAATGACGGCATAGGCTGGGTTTAACTTCTGATGGATGCAAAAGATTCTTCTCTGTGCTGCTGTGTCTAGACTGCTCTGGGGCCTACCCATCAAATGGGTAGGCCCCAGGGGTAAAGCAGCTGGGGCATAAAGCTGACTACTCACCTCCATCTTGTGCCGAGGTCAAGAATGAGTGCAGCTATACTCACCCTATACGTCTTCACGGCTTGGTGCTTAATAAACATCACTGACAGGTTTATTGCCAAATCTAAGCATACAGCTGGTAGTCCAAGAAGAACTCATTATACTAAGTATACCTGTTGCCAAGGTAGATATGGTGTCTGCCAGTCCAGTTCATTTTTAGTTTGTTCAGTTTTGTTCCTCACATCATCGTTCAATACATCTGCATTCTGATACTAGATTCAATGAATGTAAGTTAGAAACATACTTTTGCCTCAAAGCCCATAATATGTATGTGTGTTAATACATGGAATATTAATATCAGATTATGCAATAAAATAACATATTTTAGAAAGGTTTTAGGACTACTTGATAAAATGGCAGATCAGATAAATGGAAATTACAGAATACAATTTGAAAACAAAATCTACAAAAAACAAAAATTAACTACAAGAAAGGCTGACAGATGCACAAAATAGTGGGAAAGTTGGTGTGATAAATAACGACACCACAGAAATGAACTTAAGATAATATACAAATATACATTTCCCCTTAACTCAGGTCAGGAAGAAATTCTATGCTTAAATAAAATAACAAACTACATAATCCTGGAGCAGATAGACCAAGGGAAGTATGACAATCTTGCTAGAACAAAAATGGTCTTGAACAGCACATACATCATAAATATACATTACTACTGTCAAACATCAAAGGTAGCTAGATCTCAAACTGAAATGTTTTTAAGCCATTCACTGCTGCCCTTTCATGCAAGTGTTCAGTACCATGTAGATACATGAATGCATTATCTGAAAGCTACACTACATGTTTAAACAATTACGTTCATCACCAAGTGGATATATACATAGAAGCCACTAATGAATTAGTGCATGCAGTTCAGTAGGTCTTACAGCGTGATACATTATTATAATAAATGCATAATACATGGATTCTGTTAATACTGTTAACAAAATTGCTATATATTAAAATGCTGGCTGATAACTTTAAAATAACATGTTTGAGTCAACATTTATGTTTTAACATATTAACTACAGACGATATGTAGCATGACCCTTATTTTTAATGTCTCAGCATTTTAATATATATCCATTTTATCTAAAATTTAATGGATTCCATGTATTTAAATAAACATTTATCATAATAATACATGACAAGCTGTAAAATCTATTGAAAAGGGATCCAGTGCAGCTATACTCACCCTATACGTCTTCACGGCTTGGTGCTTAATAAACATCACTGACAGGTTTATTGCCAAATCTAAGCATACAGCTGGTAGTCCAAGAAGAACTCATTATACTAAGTATACCTGTTGCCAAGGTAGATATGGTGTCTGCCAGTCCAGTTCATTTTTAGTTTGTTCAGTTTTGTTCCTCACATCATCGTTCAATACATCTGCATTCTGATACTAGATTCAATGAATGTAAGTTAGAAACATACTTTTGCCTCAAAGCCCATAATATGTATGTGTGTTAATACATGGAATATTAATATCAGATTATGCAATAAAATAACATATTTTAGAAAGGTTTTAGGACTACTTGATAAAATGGCAGATCAGATAAATGGAAATTACAGAATACAATTTGAAAACAAAATCTACAAAAAACAAAAATTAACTACAAGAAAGGCTGACAGATGCACAAAATAGTGGGAAAGTTGGTGTGATAAATAACGACACCACAGAAATGAACTTAAGATAATATACAAATATACATTTCCCCTTAACTCAGGTCAGGAAGAAATTCTATGCTTAAATAAAATAACAAACTACATAATCCTGGAGCAGATAGACCAAGGGAAGTATGACAATCTTGCTAGAACAAAAATGGTCTTGAACAGCACATACATCATAAATATACATTACTACTGTCAAACATCAAAGGTAGCTAGATCTCAAACTGAAATGTTTTTAAGCCATTCACTGCTGCCCTTTCATGCAAGTGTTCAGTACCATGTAGATACATGAATGCATTATCTGAAAGCTACACTACATGTTTAAACAATTACGTTCATCACCAAGTGGATATATACATAGAAGCCACTAATGAATTAGTGCATGCAGTTCAGTAGGTCTTACAGCGTGATACATTATTATAATAAATGCATAATACATGGATTCTGTTAATACTGTTAACAAAATTGCTATATATTAAAATGCTGGCTGATAACTTTAAAATAACATGTTTGAGTCAACATTTATGTTTTAACATATTAACTACAGACGATATGTAGCATGACCCTTATTTTTAATGTCTCAGCATTTTAATATATATCCATTTTATCTAAAATTTAATGGATTCCATGTATTTAAATAAACATTTATCATAATAATACATGACAAGCTGTAAAATCTATTGAAAAGGGATCCAGTCTAATAAGGTCATTATTTCAACAGTGGCTGATAAGGGTGGAAAAATGTAGTGGTTTTTAGATAACACATCCATATATAAATGTGTTTTGCTATACCCAAATATATGAGTAAGAAGAAGTTACAACCTATTACTACAAACAGCAAGAATGTATAGATAGCTGTGTAGAAAATCTTACAGCTGTCACGACATGCCATATCAATACATCATGTAAGTAACAAACATGGTTAAATATGATAAGAAAATACTTATAAAAGAATGTACTTGACTGATTACTGCCTTCTATAAACATGTTTATAACAAAATTGTTTTATCAATGTGGTATTCATAATATTGTTTTCCATGTAGATTAAGTTCCAATAACCTGCATGTAAACATTTACAAATAAAATGATTCCTCAAACAATGAGATAAAATCAGGTAGTAATATTTATACCAATATTCATGGTTTTGATATGATAAAATATGGTTACACATTATTATTACACCACAATGTAGCACCTCTGACACTGATTAATTATCAAGTATAAATAGTATGACTTTCAATGTATAACTAGTACTGTCCTCCATAAATATACTTACATAAACGATTTTCATACACGCTTCCCTTGTACATAGCAAATTAAGGTCAAGAATATTCTCTAGGGATAAAAGATTTAAAATGTACGAAATGCTGTTTTTTAAAAGATACATACCTGTTAAAGACTGTGACTGTACTTCAGCTAAAGTTATCACACAATAATTCCATAAAAAATTACATAAAACTGATTTATTACTTCAATTTATGGTACCAACTTTCTCCATTAATACCAGTAATCTCTGAATGTAAAATGAAAATCCCACCTGACAAGCTTTATAACCTTTCCACACGCTATGAGGAACGTGACCTGGAAGTTCATGACAAAATTCCTACTACCATATAGTTGAAGCATTACTAGTATTACTAATTTGATGATCCACTTATGATAATTGAATTGCTATTATTATTTATTCTCCTTCAAGGTTTTACACGATACTTTGGCATTTCTCATGGATTTTCTGGAATGGATGTTCCTTCTGCCCTACAAAGTCAAGCTGTCAACTTCATTATATAAAATAATTCCCGATGAGGTTGCATTTGCCATCATGGTGTGAAGATATTTCCTTTTCTGATTCTCACCACTCAGACTGCCCAATGAGGAACTAACTGAAAGTATAGTTACAGTTTCATGTCAGATTTTTTTTCTGAATTGAAATACACTGCATCAACTGAAGAAAATTGTGGCAGTGAGTGGATAATACAGGAAATAATGATGAAACAGGAAAATCTCATGCATGTTATAAATGATATTTTATCTCATTAAATACCTGATGACACTTGTTACAATTCACACAATTTACAAAAATGATGTATCGTTAACTATAAATCAGGGGTAAGGGCATGTTCTGTGCACAAAACCAAGGAAAAACTTCTATAATGAGATATACAGTGCACTTTGCAGAAGCATAAGGACACCACTACGACCACATTTTGTAATTTGTTGTCAAAACAGTAATTCATAATGTTGGAATCAACAACTTGTAAATAAACACTTCCCTGCAGATGTTATTATACCGTACCTTTTATTCCACTGAAATAAAATGGACCATAATATAAAGTGTCCCAACAACCTGTGTTTGCACAGACTTACTTATTTTGCTATTTTTGTGCATAGAACATACCCCAAAGGCAGTGCTGTATAAGAAACATCATGTATAATAAAACAGAAACAGAAATAAACTACTCCAACCTTCAATGTCAATGCACCAAGGCTTACACTTCGTCCTGTTCGCCACAGCAGCATACCGCTAAAGCATGCTAAACCCATGAGTGAAGTCCAGCCAGCAGCCCAATAGGTTTAAATCCCATCTTCCCATATGACAAAGCTCAAAAATGACTTGACATTTTAAAAAAAGTTTACCTGATGGATAACAAACTGTAGTTAAGAAGGTCCAATCACTGAACTCAAAGAATACTTATTAATTTCTCATTATCATATCATACGAGAGATGAACACAAAAATGAAAGCAATAATAATATTGTAATAATATGTGTATAAAACAAAAGATATTTCCTTCAATCAATTTCAACAGCATCAGTACATGCTTTGTATCTTACAAATTCTTAATAATCAAACATAATTTTGTAAAGTCTTACAGTATTATTTACACATGGTTTAAGTTACAGAACTATGATGTTGCAGATACGACTGTAAACACTTCCTTATAAATCCTTTTTTCTGAACATGAGGCAGACACTATAATTATAATGCAGCTCACCTTACAGTGTGCCTATTGACCCACAGATGGAAATCTAGTTCAATGCAGACAGCGGGTTATACCGAGGTACACAGTAACTTCCAGTTCACTCAGTAGTCTGAATCTCCCTTAGTTCTGAACGGTGATTTAAGCAGGTGACAAGAGTCTGTTACAAGTGAAGCCTACATTAGGTATACTATTCTATTAATAGGGATACGATTATTAATTTATGACTGTCTCTTAATTACTTAAGTCAGGCATGCACAAATTTCTATAAATTCTGGAGCCACCTCCAAAAATTGTAAGCCAGTTTGTTTATATCTGTGTCAGAAATGAAAATATTTTTAGCTTGTTTGTTAAGAAATTAAATACGAAGATTTCTGTCTTCTGGGTTATTGCGCTGTGTAGTCTGGTCGATGTTAACCAACGTTTCAGAGGTCATACTGCCTCCGTCATCAGGGCGATGAATATGCCAATAGGAAACCAACCAAACCAACCAAAAAGCTAACCGAGGCTCAGATAAGACCAAGATACAAAACCACAATAATAATATGCTGAAAATTCTAGGCACTAAAATGGCAATTTTAGGTGCCATAGTGATCTGGGCTCAGGATTTGTGCAAGCCTTAATTGTGGAGTTTCTAATGGAATGATGCCACTGTTATATTAAAAATCAGTTACAAGCGAGGTTCAAATCTGACCCAGAATTTTTACTGTTTTTCACAATGTGGATCAGTATAAGTTTTGCAGTCATTGCAAGGGATGGGGCAGGTGTGTATATGTAGAGAAAGAGGACATCAAAAAGACTGCCTAATACAATGAAACAGGCAAAATTATTTACTGAAAAACCACGAATAAAACTCCAGTTAACTACTTATGCGTGTTATCTGTTCAACCATTAAGAAAATAACTGCCGAGTACCATCATGATTACAGGAGACAATGCAAGTATTAAACAATTCTTATGTAAGATTTGAGGTTTTCAAAGCGGTGAGTATGAAGATTTCTGTCTTCTGGGTTGTTGCACTGTGTAGTCTCGTCGATGCTAACCAACGTTTCATCGCCCTGATGACGGAGGCAGTATGACCTCTGAAACGTTGGTTAACATCGACCAGACTACACAGCGCAACAACCCAGAAGACGGAAATCTTCATACAATTCTTAGTTTTTCAAGGAAAAAACTACATTCTGCTTAATTAAAGAGCTACATACCTATTATTCTATGGTTGTAGATATTTACCGTATCTCACACAGTTTGGGATAATCTACAAACTCAGTACCATAGATCATGATTGTTGCAAATGTAACTGCTACCATTGATCCCCAGAATAAAAGGTATAGAAGACTTTCAGTTGTATACTCTGCAACACAATATATCTGTTTGTAAGATTACTGACCATTAATAACAGTTAAAGTTATTCAAAGCAGTATTTGCCATGGCCACATTCATAAACAAATTAATAAAGTACACAGTGGATAGGAGGATGCAAGGAATAGCTCAGTCAGTAATGTATTCTATATTTTGCACTCAAATTAATAATAACCCTTCATTTTACAACTCTGAAATTAAGAAATAAAGCTTGTATGTATTAAAATCTGTTTTGAACCTGAGTTCATTGACAAACTTACCAGATGGAGTGAAAACGTTTGCGAAGAACATAGCGATGGCAATCAGGAGAACCAGTGGGAACTAAAATTAGAAAAACATAGCTTCAAAATGGATGTACAAACTCATACAACACTGTGTCACACCAAAGGTATAAAACTTTTTAATATTAGATTTATAATGCACAAATAAAAAGCTTTTTATGAGTCAGGAAAGAAAAAAGATGCATCTGAAAACAACTGAGATTACAACAGTCCTTTGTTCAACTTTCTGCCATATTAAAGTACTTTACAGAACTGTTTCAAAGTACACTAGTTTGACACCCACTGCTATGCTATTCTGCCATCAGTGTGAGCAGATAATTTACGTTAACACACAGGTAATATACAGTGATTTTTAAAGGAAAAATTCCCTTGCTGTACTAATTTTCCTGCTATCTAGACAACCATAATTGCAGGATCTATCAATCGGCTGCAATCAGATGTGTCTTAGCACTATACAACTATAATTTTATCAACTGTTTGTATCGGCATGAAAGTGGTCTCATTCAAAAGAAAGGAGGAAAAGAGGGTATTTAAAAACAGTGTTAAAAGAGAATATTGTGACCAAAGATATGTGGTCTAACAGGAAAAAAGGAAGACAATTACATAACAATGAGAATTCTTCACCTCATTTATTCAGTTCTTAGGGTCATTAAAATCAAAAACAATGAGGTGGATAGCCATGCAGCATTCATACACAAAACAGGAAATACAGAGAAAAATTTGGGTGAAATATCTTGAAGAATGAGACTAATTTGAGAAACAGGAACCAGTAGTTTATAATTCCAAAGCTTATGAACCTATGTGGGACGGGTCTATACGCTATGCTGCTGCTATGTCAACAAATACAACAAAATATTCACAGTCCCAGTGGTTCCGAAAGTGTGGACCATCAGGATCTGATATTCATTCAGGCAGTCCACAGAACAATTGGGATTACACACACACACACAAGAAATTAACAAAAATAAAAGGACAGGAAGTACAAAAATGTCAGGACACCCATGGAATAAATTAAATACAATAATAATGTTTCTTTTATCTTTAGCATCTACAGCACAGCACATTAGAGACAGATAATCAAGTGGTCTGCTAAAACCACAAGCAATTTTCAAGTGGTCTGTTGGGAAGAAAGTCTCAGAACCACCGATCTATCCCATACGGGAGCTACAAAACACAAGTGGTTAAAGTGACAAAACAGTTAACAGGGTAATCTGAGCCTGATAACTTATATTACTCACGGTAATATACTTCCAACCCTTTTCCACATCAAGAGGGCATGGTCTTGTGACACCTTCTCCCTCCTCTACCATATACCGGCCCAAAAACAGGTCAATAGAGTCCTGAAAAATTATATTAACCGTGGCAGAATTTAGCAGTCAATTAAACTTCACCAATATCACATGTTCAAAACAAATTACTGTACAATATGGACAAATTAATACGTCAATCCATATGGTTAATATTTCAGCATTATCATCATCATTTCACTGAATCACATACTATATGGACACTAATTTTTTCACTGCAAAATTAAAACAATTTCTAGTATATTATATTCTTACATATAATGCATGACATCAATAAAAAATCTCACTGCTAAATTCTACATTAAGTACAAAATCTGAAGTGAACAGACACACAGCGCATTCAGCATAATGTTAGGCAGTTTTTGAATTTAGGCAGGACACAAATGTAGCCAGCTGTGCCCTTAATCTTACAATGCCTAATTCCCTAAATCATAAATGCTGAAATGGCATTCAGTTCAGAAAAGTAATTCCATTTCCACACCTTCACATACAGGCAAAGACAATCAGGGTGAACGCAGACTGAACAGCTGGATTCAGTAAAATTGCAATGCTGAATATACAATTTACCTTCAAGTTTATCCTGCCAGTAAAAACTGACAATAAATGCCTATAAACCTAATGTTTGGCAACACGAGTATAATATATGGTTTGGACTCAGAAATTATAGTGGTTTCACTTGGCACCCCTGCAAGATTTTGCTCATTTTTATCCCCCAATAACATGACATGCATTTAAATTTATATACAAATGTGTGTGGTAGAGGGACACCGGCTTCCTTCATTTACAAATTTAGTCATCCCCTACATTCATGTGTCAGAAAGTCCATAAAAAGTTTGTTCCAGATCTCATTTTGCTCTTAGATAATAATTAACGTGTTAAATTTTCTTACCTGGCGGAAACCATCTGCAAAGTTATTCTTATAGTATCGAGCAAGGGAGTTGATTGCATCACGAATAAGCCCCCATCTAGTACGTTTGCCAGTCCGAGTAAAATCAGTCTTCAGGGCACCTGTTCCAGAGTACTCTGTACTTAAAATATCTGCATTGTCCGCCCACACACTTTTGAAGAGGGGCTCAAAATATAAATGATCTTCTACTTTCTGTCCAGCCCTCAAGATTCCTAGTTTCTGCAAACAACAAAACATTATATAATTTTCTCCACAATGTACACAGCTTGAAATCCCAGCTCAAGAATGTCAACCTTTTTAACTATAATGAGTATTCAAAAACAGAAAGAAATTGGTTGGGTGCTGGTACCATGACTACTTTCATTTCAGCTACTAAAGATGTATAAGCCACACCCATGAAGAAAGAGGATATGGCAAAAACACTGATATAAAGCAAACAAATCACAATCAACAGCTGAGCATGGTACATTTATGCAGATAAGGTAATATATTTCTGTGGTTCAAGGTTTGACAATTTCACATATGACACTCACTTTAAATTTAATTTATCAGTATAATAATTTAAACTTTAAATAAATCACAGTAGGGGGAGAGACGAAGGCTCTGTGAATATGGTAATGAACCTTCAGGTTTCATACAAGGCGGGGAATTTCTTTATTTGGATCTCATGGAATTTGTAGAGGAGATCTCACTGTAGCACAATAATAATAATAAAAAAACCTGCAGAAGTTAACAACAAACCAGTGCAAGGACAATTTGTTTTTCTGAACGATGCACAACAAAGTAGAGACAAATATAGATGCCCAGTCAATGAAAACATTTTAATCTATGTATTAAAGCCAAATTTTCTGTTCCACCACACAACCACCACAATGATTCAAAGCAGAATAACTACAACTTTTGGTACAGAACATATCAAAAGTTTGCAACTGCTACCACATTCTTTTACTGAAAATACAAACTTTAATTTTCAGGCAAGCATATCACGATTATAATTACAATATTTACATTCCGTATTCCACGTTTTCAGTATGAAGAGAGGGCCACAATCCATATGTGAAAAAACTGGTACATGGGAAAATACAGTTTACATTTTATGAATGACATTTATTACTTGTATCAGAAATTATCTAAAACAAAGTAAATATGATAATACAAATAGCGATAAAAGACCTATACAACATACCTGCATTATCTGTGTCAAACTCCGCCTGGCCAACATGGTTTGTACCACGTTGGTTCGATCAAGACAGTCAATGCAATTGGTCCGGAATACCCCATCCTGAAGTGATACTAAAGTCCCATCCCTTGTGAGCAGAAAACAACCAAACTCATCTTGCTCATGAGCCAGTCTGTCAGTCAAGATCCTCAGCCGATCCCACCGTAGATGCCTACATTCTGCATGGAAGTCAAAAGACTCGTACCTTTACAGAGTGAGAGAGAAGTCCATATTATTAATTTAATGCAATACAAATCTTAACAGTCTAATAATGATCAGCTTTTCACACATGTAATCCGCAGCCTTTTAAACTTCCTAATGACAGTAATACATGCAGAACTGATTTAATTTTTTACACCTAGATATGAAATGAGATGTATTTTACCTGATGTTTGCATTGCCCAATTGATTCACCATTTCACTGTAAGATTCTTCCAGTATACCTTCTGCTCCTTGGTGATCAATCTGAAACATTTTAAATAGAGTACAATGAACCTCTCTGAGTATGTTGTGCTATAATGCTAGACGGCAATCAAACAAATATTATAAAATAATGAATAAACATCATAATCTTATAAAAATCACCAACTCAACTGCAGTTCTATATGCAGCTGTGGATAATTTTACCTCATTGCTGCAGAATACATCCACAGAAATTTAAGCATCCTTCGACCTTATGCCCTCAACTATTTAAGTGTTGGTCACATTGTTACCATCATTACCATTTACCATACTTGTTCGATAAGATACAATAAATTACAGAGCTGGTTCTGTAAAAACATGGTCACTAAATTTAGCAAGTGTGACCACATTTAAAATACTTTCCTTCTGACTTTATATGCAAACTTCACCTCTGCTATGACTGTAAACAATGTTGGAAATAATTTACAAAAAGTCATTCCAGCACTACTCATATTATTGGATTGCTTTGAATGTCTTCAAGTACTTCAAAATGAGATTATTTCAACAGACTTAATTTTGGTGAGATGAAAAAGTCACATAGAGCACATATTTGACAAACTAACAAGACACTCTGCCAGCAAAACACTTACATAACCACAACACAGAGTGAAATAAACTTGTTTGACACAAAACTGCTGAAACATCTAGTCATGTGAACCAACATGTGCCAAAAAATATCAGTTTGGTAATCTGTCAGACTTCATATTTTTATTGTAGTACTTTTACTTAATAAATATGCTGTTTGTTTTTGAAGTGTAGCACTATTTTCTGCCTAGCAAGATGTTTGATTGAGGGCTTTAAACTGCATACACTTCTAAGCTTAACCCAAACAAATCAGATGTTCCCAATGGATGAAGCCTCTGTCTTACGACCATACGCATAATCGAAATGATACAGGGGTTTTGACACTAGATATGACCTCTCTTGCTGCAGTAAAATAATCAAGGACTATACTTAAAATGATAAAACTGCTGCATGAACAAACCAGCATTACTGAAATCAAAATATAAAACTCACCAAGTTGATGAGGACCTGCCTGCCATAATTGAAAATTTGTGTGTCGAAATGTCTTGAGAAAGCCTCTGCATGATTCTCATTCTGGATCAGCCGTGGCTTAGGTTTTAACTTGAGGTTAGGAAGTTGATTCCAGAAAAGGGGTATTGAGCCACGAGTCTACAAAATACCAATAACAAGATGCAACCATTTTTGAATTCATGTATCATAAAAAATACACTACAATATTTATGCATTCACATAGAAGGTATATTATTATGCAGTGAATAGCATCTGCTATCATTAATGGCTTAATGTCAGCATTTCACTTATTTTGATACAACAGTGAAATGAATTATATTCTTTCCAGTACAGTTCCTTGTCACAATCCTTGAAGCAATGCACACTGTACTTCCTTTTATCCTTGTTTCACATTTAAACCTTCCCCAGTTGAAATGATGCAGAATAGCAAGTTGTTTCCATTTTGACCAAGAAATAAATGCTAGAACAATTACGAATTCCAACAATAATCCATTTTTTTTACAAAACATTGTTTGGAGCATCATTATAATAAAATAAAATAAAAATCAATGTACTCACTTGAACAAAAGAACTCCTGTCTCCACCAAACTCCACTATTTGCTCTGTCTCAACAAAGTTGGCAACATTGCCCTGCACATCGATGCCTCTGGTAAAAAGCCGAGTACCAGCCCGAAAACAACAGCGGCGCGACACAACTGTCCACAAGAATGGCTTACCATTTAGTGAACACTGGTTAATTGAGATAACTGTGTCATCCTCGTTAAGGAAACTAAATCGATTGTGGCACAGATTACAGAGATCTTCACCAACTTTCTGAGATAAGCTGACTAAACAATCTCTGAAAAGAATTCTTCCAAGATCCAATAAATGAACTGACAGAATTAATCTTAATTTAATTTAAATTCAAGAAGGGCTTGTGGAAGGTATTGATTATAATTAACAAAAAGTTATAAAATTTGCAAAGTGTAATGGGAAGGGGGGTTGGATATGCTTGTCTTATTTTCTTAAGCACGTATGTTCTCTTATAGTATTAAGGATACAACCATGCAGCAGTGGTAAGCAGAATTTGGATAATTCAGGCTGATTTGTTAATTCTCGAAGCAGGTGTCCATTCCACACAAATCTTAGATCTGCTCGTTCATGGTAAGGCATCTGGAGGTAGTAGTATGTATAATACAAAATAAACAGATTTATATAAATGTATAAAAACTAAGGATATCAAACATTTCTTTTCCAGACAGAGCTACTAATTTACCTGTAAAAACTCTGGCGTGGTATTATGTAATCTCTGCTGTGTGTGTGTGATATCGTACGAGTACGAGAAATATAAAAATGGTGTATTTAGTACATTCTCAACCATTGAAATGTACAGCTTGTTTTTTGAGATCTGTAACAGAGAGAAACCTTTAATATGTCTTGGAACCAAAGCAATGCAATAACCACAGACTGTAGCCTTTTTAGCATGTATCATCATTTTGCCTGTCACCAAATTTATCGCAGTAAGTGAATCATTATGCTTACTAGACACAACAAAAATGTAACTAATACAAAGGAAATCAATCTAAATGAATATATATTAATACATAACCAAAATCTTTGTTAAAGATATATAAAAGTCCATATGGCATAAAACTATTTTATTTTTACAATATGGTAACAAATTACTTATGTACCTTTTCCTCACATGATGTTATAAATTAGTTACACTATTTACCAATAGATGTCTGCAGCTGTAATAAGACAATCAAAACAATCATTCTCTGTATACACAGGCAAAAAACAAAAAACAAAAACAAAAAAACCGACAACAACAACAACAACAACCCAGTGGAACCACGGTTCCGGAGAATCTGACGTAAATACATCTATTCAGAAAGGAAGTCTATATATTAGCTTTAATTACAACAATATTAACAATGCCGAGTAAACAGATGACGTTTCCTAGGTAACATAACAATGCACGAAAGCTGAATATTGTTGTTGATCCATATTAACACATTGTTGATATGGATCTTACACGTTTTCCTTTCACTTGTTTGTCAAATGATCCTTCGGTATAGATGTATTTACGTCAAAAAAAAAAAAAAGAATAATTTACATACCACTTATCATTCAGTTCAGGACTGAAATCTCATATAGTTTCTAAAACAATAAATCAGCAGACACAGGCTCAATGTTCAATGCCTTCATGCTTGGCAAAGAACATTATAATTTGCTCTCATGATACAAACCCATACACACCACAATACAGTAGGTGCCAACGTATTGATACCATCAGCCTTCTAAAAATACCCAAAAACTAGTAACCATTGCCTAATTTAAGGTCTCTCACCACCTTACCTGTTTTTCAGTCAGATGTAACAAGGTTCGTGTATAAGATATTACTTCTATTTCAGCAACCTTCCATATTGTTTCACCATTTATGGTTCCAACTTTATCTTTCTTTGTAATTATCACGAGATATGGACCAGCCAATAACTGAAGAGTACCTACTATTCCACATATTGGCTTACTACTGGAAGCCTGAGGAATCTGACCATAATTCACTGAAACAGAATAGAATAAAACAAAACAAAACTGTATACTCCAACTTAATGCAATGCTGAACATGACACAAGATGTTAAAATAGAATTTCACATTTTTGTTCATTTAACAAGTCAGTTGCATCAGTTATACAGCATTGAGGATGATGAGATGGAGGATGAACTGGAAGGAGCGTGAAAGTGGTACCAGTCTTATTCTTACACATTATGCCAGGAGAAATGGAGGAACACCATAGAAACCTGACACACTCAATACCTTTGTTGTTGACATTTGAACCAAAGGCCACCTTGAATATAAAGGACAAGTTTATACCATGGGATCATGAGTCAAAAATAAGAAAGCCAAAAATATAAAGTACTGAAAGGGAAGTATTACTCCTAATGTCAATAATTCATACAGATATAGCTACTTATATAAGCCTGTAATTGATTTACGTAACCACGAACTGAAGAAACGTTCATTACCAGATAAGGTTTACTGATAACAAAGTATCCTATACATACATCACACTGGTGAATAGCATACAGACCTTGTAAAGAAATTTCTTGGCTCACTCTGTCTATAACCAGCAACTCATTTCCATCACCAATTGCTTCAATATAAAATTTCTCAGGTGTGATGTACCTGAAATGAAAAATATTACATAATTATATATACGATATAAATTAAGTTTTATAAATAGTGTCAGATCAAAACTGAGCCATTACTTACAATATAAAATCAGTATATAACTCTGCGACAGTAGCCATGACTCTTGGGCACAATCGACAAATTCCACAGCAAAATACTTAGAATGTTACAAACTATTGAATAACTTCAATTGGTTTAAAACACCAACTGAAGTAGTTCCCTTTAGTCATCTTCCAAAACACTATAAAAACACACCGAATCGTTTCAGAATACTTTCTACTACATGCAAGCACGTAAGCTTCCTTACACCCATCCAGTGCAGTTAGAAACGTATGACGTCAAAGTCCATTTGCAATGTCATAGCCGACTTTTCAGCCAACGCATATAAAACAACGCTCCTATAGGGTTATATAGGAACCAGAATAGCGTGGTGTAGACGTCGGTAGCTAGTCGATAACACTAGAGCACTACTTCTCCATTTTAGTTGCGTAAAAACATAAATTTATGCTGCAAATGTAGACACCACAAATAACATCGGCACACTGTCAATATGGCGTTCCCACTCATTCTGTAGTGTTGAATCACTTATCACTTACCTCTGAAGTTGCTGCTTTACTTGTGACTTAAGTCAACATTTGTTTTAACTTTGCTAGCATTTTCAGTTAACACTAAATCAGCAGAGGGTTATGACTTTTTCAAATCAACACAGTGGAATAAGCACGTGAAACTAACAATAGTAATGGGTTTGGAATAATAAACTATGCAATAAACTAATCCATTAACTCTAATTAACAACTGGGCATGAATTTGGGCCTTAATGTTGAGAAGCTGGTGACTAACCACTGTGCTATGGCATGGCCTTGTCAGGATGATACAAAATTACAACAAATATACAATTTTATTTACTGAATCATTATATAGGCTAGTACACAGTAATATGATTACATATCATACAAACACTTGAAACAAGACATTATAATCAGTTATACATAATAAGTAACAAATACATACCATGTAGATTATTATTGCAGCAATAATTTATAAGAATGAAGTCTTTTTGTAGACTCTTTTGTCAGGCAAAAAATTTTGTTGTGATACACTGACACAGTCAACTCTCAAGTAATTATGATAATGTGTTCTTGATAAAAACTGGCAGTGCAGAAAAAATAAAGCAATGTAACACTCACAAGGATTATATTTAAATCGTAATAACAGTAACTTAAGAAAGAAGAGTTGACCAGGTAAAAATGTTGTGCAAGTGACAGGAAGTTAAGATTAAGACATTTTAAATTCAATTTATGTTACTGCTGTTACACAAGTATCCATTGTATAGCACAAAGAATATAATTTATGAAAAATTAATTTTTAATTTGCACAAAGAGACGTAAAAGAAATGACTTACATGACATATATTATCTTTCCACGAATATATCAAATTGGCATAAACAACAGTATTCATAACAGACATAATTCATTATTACAATTAGAAATAATGTGAATGTGGTTAGGATGTCTTTGTTGTATGAGAATATTGTTTTCAAATGTGAACTAATACAACCTCAATCAATGTCCCATACACTAAGCAACTGACTGAAAACTGTACTTGTGATAATGTATTTTTATTCCACTTTTCAGACATTCATGTTGTGAGAGAATGCTGCTTTTACAGTGAGAACAAATATAACCTCAATCAATATACCACACATTGAGCAACTGACTGAACATTGTATATTCACTCGTATACTTCCACTTCTCAGATATTTATAACAAATCATATAGACCTTCTTAACAATACTCAGAAAATATTTTCTCTGTACAAAGAAGCTCATTCATTACCAGTATCAAGTTCATATAACAGCTTCACAGCATGAGACAGGATATTAGCAAATTACACGTCTTTTCTACTTTATTGTGTCCAAAAATCTCTACATTGTACCTGATTCTGGTGGCATAAAACAACACATTTTTGTTCCCCTAGAGATTCTAGTTTTCTTGCTAAATCTGTGGAATCAGAATTGTATGTGGCTTGATATGCGATGTTATATAAAGCATGAAGAAAAGGTATCAGGCTTATTTCAGCTAAAGACTTTTGATCATTAAAACATGCACTTTCAACCTTTAGACTGCGGCAGTGAGAAATTTGAAGTTATAATGTTAAATGTCTCATTCCTGTCTAGAAGTGACTTTAGCATAACCTATGTACAGTAGGTAGTAAGAAAACTCTCAGTAAGGTCGAGTTATATTACAGAATAGGTTTATACATGTACATCTGAATAAAATGCATCACTACAAATTCAATTCACTGAGCACATATACTCTGGTTTTGTGTGCATCTTATCAACAATGTATTATTCAAAATTTGTGAGGTTAGTGTAGTGCAGGTTCATGTATATCTGACTGATAATTCAAATTTAATTCAATGGCAATTTGTTTGTTTTGTTTTCTGCAAATGGTTGATACTGTTACAAATTGTACTTGACAACCCACATTCTAAATACACACTGAGGAGTAAGGCAGACAGATCACAAATGTTTTTCAATGGCTAGATATCATACGTGGGGATGAATACACAAGTAATGGTTAGTTCCACACATGAAGCATTTTGACCACAAAGGCTACTTTATTAAAATTTTGTGCTTGAATTTTTCTCCTCCAGGTTTTGAATACTTATGGAGTCTCTGGCTGGGGAAATTAATTCGTGCACAAAGAATACTGACCAATGTGGGGAAACCTTGCAGTATTTATGGGTTATTTTGGAATAACCTCAAATTTTGCTACAACTTAACATCAGGTCCAGCATATCATTATTTTATATTATATTTTCGTATCCAGTACACACCATTCAGCATGGAGTGCATTGGTGGTTAGCAGGATTCACGACCCATCAGTACATGGGTGTGATCGGGACCGCGACATTTAACGCGCCTGCTGTGACCCCCTTTTTGCTAGATGATGTTGAAAGTGTAATAATTGTTGGGATGCCACGGAGAAACCGGGGAGACCCCAGAAGAAAACTCCGTGATGTCTGGAACACGGCCCTGCCCGATACAAGTTGTAAATCTAAGCACCGCCGGGAATCGAACCCGGGACCCCAGTATCACAAGCCCAGAGTTCTAACCGCTAAATCGTGGCGGTTATATAATTAGTAAAGGGATATTATATATAGGAGGCTAACTACGATAGTCATGTAAAATCAGGGTTTAATTCAACTATGAAGTATTTTACTATGCCACGCATTTCAGGATCTCTTCACATGAGAAGTGTACTTTATGGAAGGTATCAACTTACCAACCACTGCCCATCGTGGAATTATCTGCTACCCATCTGATCTTTTAGTTAGTCTTGCAAACAAAATTTTGACCTGGAGATTAGTTTCCTGACTACTGTTTTCCATTGTGTTTTTAAGCGTGCGCATAAGAGGCACAGATATTTCCATATTGTTCTGTATATAGGGACGAATAATGGAAACTAGTTCTGCATTTGCCGAGTTATAAAATTGCCAGTTCTGTTTCAGAAATGAACGAAATATAATTAATAAGTGGATGATTCCCCCCCCCACCAGAATATCAGAGATCAAATCAAAAAATTTTCATGACTGGCCTTGAAGAAGGAAGCACCAACTTTCTCTGAAAGATCAATAATGTTTACCATTCAGGTAGGGACCCAGAAGAATAGTGAATAGCTACTTTTAAAGGAGATAATATAATTTGGTAAGAATTTCAGATGTTCATTACCCCATTTCCTCCTCTGGCTTCCACACAGAGGATAGGGGTCTGACCCGATGTCAATCGACGTCTGCGATGTTGGTGGTAGAGGTTATACCATTCAAGGGCACAATCTCAGTGCGCGCAGTGTAGGTAGCGCTGCCACCTGTTGTGAAGCGGCAGATGTATGTACTACTGCCGGCGTGTATTGTCGACATGTGATGTTGACGGG